CCCTTATTGGAAGTGCACAAATCTCAGCCTTCCAGAGAGAGCAGGGTACTTAAAGCCAGTGCCTGTGATGGTGATAATAATAATTTTATTATTTGTACCCCGTCCATCTGACTGGGTTGTCCCAGCCACTCTGGGCATCTTCCAGCATATACAATAACATAATAAAACATTAAACATTAAAAACTTTCCTATACAGGGCTGCCTTCAGTAATGGAGCTGGAGTACAGTAGGCATAAGCTGCAGTTCCACTGTGGAGGCAACAGGCAGGGATGATGGGAGTTGCAGATCAACAACAACTGGAAGGCTGCAGGCACCCATTGCTGGCACAGAGCAAGGGTGGGCAACCCGGCACAGGGTGTGTTAGAGAGGTCATTTGCTGTCTGTGAGGGAGCTAGGCAGATCTGTCAATTTTGGAGCTCAAATTTTCTCATTTTTCCAATCTTAAATTCAGTTTTCCACATTTCTGGAGGTATTTGCATTTTAAAAAATCATTAAAATTCATGAATTGATTTCTCCTCATAAAAACATTTTTCTATTATATTTAATTTATTATATTATATTATATTATATTATATTATATTAATTTTGATTGATATACATTTTTGCAAACAATTTCCCCTAATATAGTGCATTTTTGTATGTTATTTTTACTAATACACACATTTTTATGCACATTTCCTCCTAACAGATGCTTTTTTGTATATGTTTGCTTGGAGAACTGCATCTTAAAACTTGTACAAGTGCAACTTTTAAATATGTTTCTCTTTTGGTGTTGGTATATTGGCTCGAGAAATGCAAATTCAGAAGAGTTTATTTTCATTAAAATGCAAAGCAAAGCAAATTTGTCCTCCGTCTCCACTCATTGCCCAACAGCCTCTTGAAAAAAGGACAGAATGTAATTAGGCCGAACCCAGCTAACATGCAACTAATCTGCTGCCTGTGGCCCACAAATGATAGGGCTGGCTAGGAGTGCAAGATGTTGCTGCTTCAGTTGTGTTTTAAGATTCCGGTGACCCTTCGCCAGCTACATTTGGACAGTTGGATGCATCTCCTCGTCAACTCACATTGGAGACAATCTGTTCGCCATTTAAGTGGCCTCTGGAATGGCTGGCTTGGAAGCAAACAACTCCCACCTGCTTGTGAGTGCAGGGGCAATGTGCTGAAATGTCACCCAGGTTCCCATCTGCTTTTCCACATTGTAATCTGCCCATGATTGATACGTCGGGAAAGAAAAGAGAAGGTGCAAATGAGACCCAGAAGAACAAAAGCAGAGAAATGGTGAGGGGGAAGAAGAGAAGCAAGCAGGAGAGGGGAGAACACAGGTGTGGCAATAAATTCTGTGTCATAAGCACACATGTGGACATTGCATATGCGCAATGGTTTTCTTTCTGCCCCATTGGCATAATATTTTACAGAACAGGACGATCTGGCTTATTGGGGGTCAACTGCTCTGCCTGCAATCCAAACATCTCTCCTGTTGACTTTGACCTTGTGCAATCAGACTCTGCAATACTTAGGCCACCAACAGCCTGATAACCTTACAAATTTCCATTGGTGCAATCTGCCTGAAGGGTAACGTATCTGTAACTTGGGGTTTTGTGCTAGAACAGTCATTGGTATGACCAACCCTCGGGGAGCTATAATTTCTAAAGGAGGGAAAACAGGCCTTGAAATCTTACAAGATATAGGACATAGTCAATGCCTTAATATCCACAGGCATAAATTGTCTAGCCAGTAGAAAATGAAGGTTTTTCCTCCACCCTCAAAACTTGGAACCTTTTTACTTTTCCTGGGGATATTCTTTAGAAAAGCTTAGCTGCCATCTAGTGGAATATCTATGCAATGCAACAGTGTTCAACACATGCATTTTTTTAATGGAGTCTTAATGGCGCTGTGGTAAACCTCCTCGTTTGGTGTCATCTGCAAATTTGATGAGCATGCCCTCAATACCTTCATCCAAGTCATTTATAAAGACATTGAACAACCATGGACCCAGGACAGAACCCTGTGGCACCCCACTTGCCCCTTTTTTCCCAGTATGATGAGGAACTCTTCGGGTTTGGTCAGTCAACTATATACAAATCCACCTAATAATAACATTGTGTAGCCCACATTTTACCAGCTTCTCTGCAAGAATATAATGGGGGGCTTTTTCGACATCCTTACTGAAATCAAGAAACAGTACGCCCACAGCATTCCCCAGATCCACCAACCTTGTAACTTTTTTTAAAAAAGAAAAGAAAAAAATGGTCTAGTATGACTTGTTTTTGGGAAACCCATGCTGGCTCTTAGTACAGTGGTACCTCGGGTTAAGAATTGAATTCGTTCTGGAGGTCCGTTCTTAACCTGAAACTGTTCTTAACCTGAAGCACCACTTTAGCTAATGGGGCTTCCCGCTGCCGCCATGTTGCTGCTGCACGATTTCTGTTCTCATCCTGAAGCAATTTTCTTAACCCGAGGTACTATTTCTGGGTTACCGGAGTCTGTAACCTGAAGCGTCTGTACCACTGTAATCACAGCATCCTTTTCTAAGTGCTCATAAGATCACTGTTTAATGATCTGTTTTAGGACCTTCCCTGGCATCAACATCAAGCTGAATGGTAGGTCCTCCTTTTCCCCCTTTCTGAATATGGGGACATCGGCCTGCCTCCAGTGCAAGGACCTCAGCCCCAGGGGGGCAGGTTTTAGACCACTTTGCTGGTCACCTCCCCCCGTCCTGAAGCGTGGGAGATTGTCAAGGAAGAAGGCCCCAAACAAGATGGCGGACGTGGGCAGTCGGCCAACCCTCATTTAGGATGCCGGCGCCGACTTCAGCATCAAGATAGCGCTACTTCCGCCCTTTCGGCTCCCCGCTTCCGGTCCCAGAGCCTCTCCAAAGATGGCGCCCACGCCTTCAGCGTCAAGATGGCTCCGCTCCCACCCGCTCACATTGCCTCTCCGAAGAAGCCCCTCGCGACTGGCACCTCATCCAGATGGCGCTGCTTCCGCCCTTCCTCCTAGTCCGGCCTCCTCTTCGCCCGCACAGCCTCTCTCAAGATGGTACTGCTTCCGCCCTTACATCTCCCCTATCTGCCTTTCGCCCCGCAGAGCCTCTCCCCAAGTGGCAGCTGCGGACGAGGGTACCGTAGAGCATGTGCAGAAGGCGCCACACACACACCGGGGAGCTCACAAGGACTTCAGAGAGGAAGAGTCCAGCCATGCCTTGTCTGCACGTAGCCCCACCCCCACTTCCCCAGGCTGCTCAGATCGTGACACTTAACAGAACTGCTTTTGCAGCTTTTGGAATAAATGCACTTGTATCCAGTTCCTGTCTTGCTCTCTTCCCTGCCCCTCCGTGTTTTAAGAACATAAAAATAGCGCTAGTATATGAAGCCCAAAGGAACCCATGTATCCTGTTCTCATAGTGGCCAACCAGATTCCCCAATGGGAAGCACACAAGCAGGACCTGAGCACAAGAGCAACACTCTCACCTCCTGAGGCTTCCTGGAACTGGTATAAAGAAGCATTGTTGCCTCCAAAATAGTGGCTATTAGCCATCAATAGCCCTCTCCTCCATGAATTTGTCTAATCCTCTTTTAAAGCCATCTAGGGCATCGTTGCCTCCTGGTGGGGTGAGTGCCATGGTTTTAACTATGCTGCATGAAGAAGAACTTTGAGGTCCTGGGAAGATAACGGTGGTATATAATCGTTACATATTTACGTAAAGATGCGTATCTACGTAAATATAAATGTAATAAATAATAATCAGCAAAACCAAATAAGAGTATTATGTTGCCTTAAAGTCTTAACAAACATATTTTGCAATAAGTGTTTGCGGATTATAGAATTATAGAGTTGGAATAAGTCCAAAAAGTCATCTAGTCCAACCCCCTGCAGTGCAGGAATCACTTTGTTGGGTGTGCGAAGCGCAGTTATGAGTCACGGTAGGATGGAATTGTCAAGTGAGGTCAGGTGGAAATGAAATGCAAAAAATAATAATACAGACAATGAGAATTACCTTATTAACACCATCATTTTAGAAGGATGTTGACAAGATGGAATGTGTGCAGCGGAGGGAGACCAAGATGATCAGGGGTTTGGAAACCAAGCCTTATGAGGTATGGTTGAGAGAACTGGGTATGTCTACCCTGGCAAAGAGGAGACTCAGAACAGTTGATAGCCATATTCAAAAATCCAAAGAGTTGTCACATGGAAGATGGGATTTCTGTGAGCTGACAAATGATGGACAATTGCCTTTTTTGCAGTGATGGTACTTTCTAAGCAGCAGGAGGTGGTGCTTGCAGGAGATAAGAGGAAGGCTATAGTACCAGCCAAAGGTCTCTCACAATCAAAGAGTCCTGAAACCTACACACACAAAGTCCAAAGTAATTTGAATTTCCCCCCTCCATATGTGGAATTAAATCCAGAGGTGCTCCATCAATTCGCCCTGTCATGACACTGAATGGTGAACAGGAAGATACTGACCTAAAGCGGATTCCTAATTTTTCTTTTTCCTTAAGGGCAAATACCTCCCCTTTCACAGAATCGTAAAGTTGGAAGGGACCCAAGGGTCATCTAGTCCAACCCCCTGCAATGCAGGGATCACTGCTAAAGAATCCCTGACAGATTATCATCCAGCCTCTTTAAAAACCTCCAACGGAGGAGAGTCCACCCACCACCACTTCGTCAGATGACGAATGTGCTTTCCACCCTGGAGGGCAAAGGAATCCCCACAGAATCTGATCTCTTCAAGAAACTGGGCAGATACTGTCCCATTCATCTGACTCCTGGAGCACTTTCTTCTACATATCACCGCTGGCAATATTGACTGCAAATCCCCTGGCGAAATCAAGGAAGGCCTCCGAATTGTTCTAGGGCAAAAAAGAAGGGGGTGCAAGAGAGCATGAACATGGACCCTTTTGCTTGCAGTCAAAGTTTCTAGTCCCTGCCACTTTGGACAAACGGGGAGCCTGCTCAAGTGTCCTTGTACATCTTTTAAGAACCCCCCCAAGGCCTAAATGTCAGGTGCTGCTGTGGACGGTTAACAAGACAAAGCTCTTCCCTTGCGTATCCTGCAGAGATGGCTTGTTCTTCTGAAGACACTGCTTGAGCTTCTCCTGGAAGGAGGTGGTGGTGATGGTGTAGAGGATCGGGTTCAGAGCGCTGTTGATGGGGAGGATGAAGATGACCACCCAAGAGGTCACAGTGCCTGTCCAGAAAGAGGAGTTTGTATTAATATAATCACCCGCCTTGCACCCTGTGGTCCCAGGGAGTCTCACAACATTACAACACAACATTAAAAACAGCTTACAAACAGAAGGTGGGTCTTAAAATGTGCGCCTCAAATGTCAAAGTCCAGGGTAAAGAGGTGTGTTTTCAGCATCCTCCAAAAGCTGTACGATGAAGGTGCCAGGTACACCTCTGGGGGGAGGGAATTGCACAGCTTAGGGGCTGCCACAAAGAAGACTCTCTCCTCGACTGCCACCTCCTGAGCCTTTAAGGGCGGAGAAGCTAGCAAGAGAGCCTCCTCTGCTGATCTCAGCACCCGAGAGGATCTGTAGGAAGGATGTGGCCTTTCAGGTATTTGGGGCTTGAGTCGTTTAGGGCTTTGAACACTTAACTGTCCTCCGACTAAACATTAGGAAGAACTTCCTGACAGAGATGTGGAACAGACTCCCTTGGAAGGTGATGGACTCTTTCATTGGAAGTTTTTAAGCAGAGGCTGGGTGGCCATCTTTCAGGGATTCTATAGCTGCAGTTCTTGCATTGCAGGGGGCTGGACTAGATGACCCATAGGGGTCCCTTCCCAGTTACACCTCTATGCTTCTAAGATGAGTAAGGTCAAGGCATCTACCTGGAATGTCCAGGTCCAGCAACGAAAGCAGCTTGAGGAGGAAGATGGGGATCCAGCAAAGAGCATTGGTGAAAACAATGAAGAAGAATCTCTTGGCTAGGGCCACCTCCACAGAGACAGCGCTGCGCTCGCCTATCCTGGCTGCTGTGGTGTGGATGGAATAGAACATGCTCGCGTAGGCCAGCACAATGATGGCAAAGGCAACCAGGTTCAGACCTGTTGGGCAGAAGGGATAAGAGAAGTCTTAATAGGCTCTGAATTCTGCAGACGCCACTCAGGGCTACTAAAGTTGAAACATGTTTTAAATCTGGGAGCACGTTGACTGACATCTGACTTGTAAAAAAAAACCTTTGCTTTCATAAACATGTAACTGTGAAGAATATATTTACAATATTCTCATTCGTATTCACTTTGTTCCTTATAGAGAGCTCCTGCCAGGTTTTTCCCTATTAATGTTTAGGGATCTTCCTCTGTCTGTTTCACATCAGACAGATCACACTGAAACACACATTGTCCTCAGCAGTATCCAGAGAAACTTCTCTCAGCAACCATTCTCCCTCAAACACGTAGAGAGAGAAGACAGTTAAAAACCAGAGTTACTTGAATAACAGTCACAACAGAATGGAATAGCTCTCTCACGTGACTCACAGCCAACCAATCACATGAGAGCTACTGCCAAAGGAAATTTAACATAAGGAAACATTCCCATTTCAGGAAATTCAACCATTATCCTTAACAAAAGTTGCATAGAACACTTCAGCATAGGCACCCCCCCACCCCTCCCTCCAAATCCGTAAAGCTCTCCAGCTGAGTGAGGAGTGCTTACCCAGGAATATCCCTGTGGAATAAACCCGAGCCCCGTGGCGCTCTGTCCCATCGGACTGGAGTGGAAAGCACACGCCGTTCCTCCCGTAATACGTCCCGAAGGACTCCTTGCACAGAAAGGGCACCAGAGTCAGGGAGAAGCCCAGGAGCCAGATGACCGCCAGGGTAGAGAGAGTCCACTTCTTGCTGGCCCTGTGGTGGCTGAAGGGGAAGACGACGGAGAAGGATTTCTCCAGGGTCATGTAGGTCAGCTGGAACACCGAGACTTCGGAGGAGAGCATGGCCAGGCTGCCCACCAGCTGGCACGCTGAGCTCGCCATCCAGGCTTGGGCGTGCTGGTTGTACTCTCCAGAGAACCTGAGGTCAAAAGCTCCGAGGAAGAAGAGGTAGATGCCCATCAGGCAGTCGGCACCTGCAGGAGAGGCAAGGAGGAGACGGTCGGGTGCCTGTCAAACTACCCCTGCCCTGCTCTTCTTCAGCCTGATGTTAGCTCAAAGAGTTGCAGCCAGCTGGACTAGATGACACTTCCCAACTTGACTTCCCCTCTCCCTCCCTTCCAAGCTTACAGCAGAGAGATTTGATGGCCAAGGCGTGGTTGCTGTTTTCCGTGGTGATGAAGGACCTGGTGAGGATGACGAAGAGGTTCCCCAAACAGGTGATGAAGGCAACGACCCAGACAAAGACTCGGAGGATGCCGCTGGCCAGGAGGTTCTCAAAGGAGGAGATGCCGTCGGTGTTGGGCTTGCAGCTGCGGACGTGGGGTGCAAAACTGCAATACTGGAACTTCTTGAAGTAGCTGCCACGGAGGAGGAGATTTAGAGTCGAGGGGGTGGGAGGTAGTCTTCTCACCCAATGCAAATATTATTATTAGTGGTGGTGTTGCTAATTGCATTTATTAATTGCAGCTAGAAGATTGAATTCACCTGGCCTCAACCATGCAAGAAACACTTTTGTGAGAATTCCCTTGCTGATCAGCACTTAATGATGAGAAGCTGTGAATCCCTGGGGGTACCTTCCAACCATGATTCTATGAGAAACCTTCCTGGTTTCTGATGAAGTTTGGGGTAACTAACCCCTGCCTCATTCCTCCCTATACACATTTCTTTCCTTCTCCTAATGATATGAGGGATGGAGCAAAGTATTGCATGACTCAAGTTTTTTATATCTCTTGGTGCACAATGGAAGAAGGCACACACACCCATCCTCTCCCTAAACCCTAGGCTTAAAAAGGTAAAAGGACCCCTGACCATTAGGTCCAGTTGTAGCCGACTCTGGGGTTGCGGCGCTCATCTCGCTTTATTGGCCGAGGGAGCCGGCGTACAGCTTCCGGGTCATGTGGCCAGCATGACTAAGCCACTTCTGGCGAACTAGAGCAGCACACGGAAATGCCATTTACCTTCCCACCGGAGGGGTACCTCTTTATCTACTTGCACTTTGAAGTGCTTTCGAACTGCTAGGTTGGCAGGAGCAGGGACCGAGCAACGGGAGCTCACCCCATTGCGGGGATTTGGGCTTAGGTTTGCATAAAAAATAAGTGGCAAAAAACCCCTCTTGCCTAAGCTCCACCCACTAGGAATGCTTGCTGTTCCCTATGCTGCAGGTGGCATGGCCACTGTGAACTGAAGCTCTTGATGACACCTTGTGTTTCTATGCATATAGGAAGATTGTCATGGAACTTCACGGGGAATTGCCATGGAGTCACTGTATGTTTTATTTTTTAGTTTACTTGTACGTCCAGATCATTGGGCCCCAATGTTTACATTTTCACCCCTATAAATATTAGGGAGGGTGCCAGCAATAAATAACAAGCAAAATGGGGTGATGTGGAGGGCTCCCCTACTCTGAAGTGAAGTGAAACTGGGTAAGCCCTGCAGTTCTGCAGTCTGCCCTGCTCATGCCCCACTCAGAAAATTGCAGCTACTACTAGCTTGTTTTGTAGGGAGCGCCTGCCCTGTGTCAGGGGGCTGCCCCACACTGTGTTTTGAAGCTCTGAAAGGGTGACTTACATGTGATGCAGATCAGTGAGCTTCTCAAACATGCGGCTGTGAATGTTGGGGATCTCCAGTCCTTCCAAGCTCCTACAAAATGAACAGCAACAACAAAGGTGAGCTGGCTCTTGCAAGGAAGGATTTAAGGAGGTTTGCATCAGCAGGAAAACCAACCAATCAGGGTTTTGCTGCTTGGGACACTTACAGAGAGCGCAGGAGAGGGACATCGTCAAATTCATCTGGATAGATCTGGCGCAGAGGGTTATTCGAAATATTCCTGCAAGGAGGGGAAAGGCATAGGTTGGTGGGTGATGCCTTTGAAAGGAATCTCAGTTATCATCTGCTTAATAAACATAATTTCTAAAAACACAAATTTCAGAATTTGCATTTGATATTTTGAAAACTTTGACATTTCGTTTCTGTGCACCTTTAAGTTACTCTTGCTAATGAATTCGAAGGCAGTAACATTAAGAATCTGATGCCTTACAGACAGATGGTTTTGCAAACTGCTTTGAGGTTTTATTACAGTCAATCGAGCTGTGATTCCTATATTCCAAGGAGTTCAGCTAGATGACCCTTCCAGCTCTACTGTTCTGTGATGCTACTGCCCTGTCCGTCATCAAAACCTTTGTTTTTTTACATTGTTTCCCTATAGAAGCATCACGCTGCAGAGCTGGAAAGGACCCCAAGGGTCATCTAGTCCAACCTGTTGCAATGCAGGAATCGCAGCTAAAGGATCCCTGGGAGCAGCTCCCCAACCTCTACTTAAAAATCTTCAAGATACATACAGCTGCTGCAATTCATGCAGACCCTTGAAAGATGACGGCAGAAGATCCTTCAGCCTGTTGGAGGACAAGTCACTGTTGGAAGAGAAGAAAGGAAAGTTTGAGAAGAGCTGATTCATGGAAAGCCGGTCAGCGTACCACATTTTTTACTGCTGCACCTGATACTAATATATAGGTCAGTATGGTGTAGTGGTTAGAGAGCTAGCTGGGCTACTGCTAGGGAGATCCAAGTTCAAATCCCCACTCAGACATGAAGCTCACTGGATGACCTGGGGCCAGTCATACTGGGGCTTCTTGGTGGTGGCTCCAGGGAAACCAATATTTTATCTCCATGGTAAGCAGCATGCATCTTGGAGGTAAGGTCTGTTGCATTCAGTACTTTATTTCCTGAGAAGTGGAAAGGCCTGGAGGTTCCGGATTTGAAAGGATGGAGACTTTGGTTGCCGTCATTTCGGTTTTGGAAAAAGCAGCTCAGTAGAGGCTGACCGTTGCAGGAAGAGCAGGTTCCCCACTCAGATATAAAAGGTCATTGAGAGCAGCAGGGCTGGAGACAAAGGCCATGTATACACCATCCATTTAAAGCGCTGCGATACCACTTTAAACAGTTATGGCTTCCCCCAAAGAATTCTGGGAGTTGTAGTTTGTTAAGGGTGCTGGGAGTTGTAAAGAGTCACATCCCATTCCCCTTCTAGAGAGGTTTAGCAACCCCATGGTTGGATTGCATTTCTATCCCAGCTTTTTCTCTCCAAGGAGCTCAGGGTGGTGGCCTTGGTTGTCCTGCACATCATTTAATCTCCACAAAAACCTTGCGTAGGTCAGGTGAATATCAGCAAAAACCAGCCCACAAAGTCACACCCCATGAGCTTCATGGCCAAGCAGGCATTTGAACCCTGACCTCCCAGGTCCTAGTCTGACACTCTAAGCACTACACTGCCCTGCCTCTCTTCCCAGGGAACTCTGGGAACTGTAATTCTGCGATGGGACTAGGGAATCTCCTAACAACTCTCAGCCAGAAGATGTAAGTGGGCAGCAGAGAGAGAGCAATGTAGAAATGTCAAAATAAATGAATCCAAATCAACCTTTTCAGGTTAGGTAACGTGGAGCAGGTGTCAGTGGGAGGCACCACTTGGATTTTCTCCCTTCAGCAACAAACCATCCTGGCCAGGCAGGCCTGACCAGTTAACATGAAGGCTTGCTGGATACACTTACAGTTCCACCAGGCTGTTGAGGTTGGAAAAAGTCCCTGCCTGGATCCGCTCAATCTTATTCCTGTTCAGCACTCTGGAAGACAAAGGCAAGCAAAGATGAGCATAGGTTCATCATGTGTTATTCTCCTCCCTTTCTTTATTTTATAATATAATCCATTCATTCCCATTTACATACCATCTTTCCTTCAAGTCGCTCAAAGTGTTGTTCTCTCCTTCTCCTCAGTTAACCCCCACAACAACCCTGTGAGGTAGGCTAGGCTGCGATGCAGTGGCCAAGTGGAGTTGTCCTAGCCCAACATTCTAACCACTACACCACATTGCCTCCCTCAGTCTCACCACCCTCACAAGGACAACTGGCGCACATGGTTCTTGCCTTCCTCATTTAATCCCCACAACAGCCATGTGAGGCAAAGAGTGATCTTGGGGTATCCCCATTGGGTCATTTGGCTGGTCTCTGTGAGAGAAAAGGATACTGGGCTAGATGGTCCATTGACCTGATCCGTCAGGGCTCTTCTGGTGCTTGCATGGAACCTCCAGACCCAGAGGCAGTCTATCTGGATTCCTAGAATGTTGGCTACCTTGAGAACAGGATGTTGGGTAAGTTGGGCCACTTGCCTGACCCAGCAGAGCTCTTCTTATGTGTGGCTCAGAGGAGCCTCTCACAGGGAGGAAAGCCTCTCTCTTGCATCCTGGCTCCTTTGGGATTTAGCCTTCAGCAGTGAAGACAATGAGGAGATGGAGGGGGCAAGAGCTACATCATTCCCTGGTTCACACAGAAGGTCTTCGTCTGCTTCATCTCCCCTATAAAACTGTCACTGTGGCAGGGTCAATGGCAGGGGGTGTTTATGCCTCCCATCTTCCCTGTGTTTATCTTTCTGTGATGTTGACATGGGAAGGTCTTGGGGATCACATTCCTGGGCAAAGCCACAGATGATGGAGACGTCACGCTGATGGGAAGGCTGATGGCGCAGAGACTCTGGGTTCCATGAGCCCAATTATTCCTTGGGGAGCTCTTGCTGAAACCCTCACCTGAGGCGGCGGGGGGGACGGACGGTGCTTTATAAGAGATCTGGAGCCAGCTTGTTTTCTGCTGCTCCAGAGAGGAGGTGCCGAGTCAATGGATTCAAATGACAAGAAAGGAGAGTCCGATTAAGCCTTAGAAAGGACTCTCTGACAGTAAGAGCTGCTTGACAGTGGGACAGATTCCCTCTGAAGGTGGTAGACTCTCCTTCCTTGGAGGGTTTTAAACAGAGGTTGAATGGCCACCCATCAGAGATTCTTTAGCCACGATTCCCGCATTGCAGGGGGTTGACCCTGGGGGTGCCTTCCAACTCTACAGTTCTATGATTCTGTTAATCCAGTGGTTCTCAAAGGATGTGGTGCACCATACTGGTGTGGCAGGAGAGGATGGTAAGTGTGGCAGGAAGATTCAAGGACAATCAATATTATATTTTGGGAATGATTCATGTTCTTATGTAGCTGCATTGTTTTATACTTCCTGGATGTCCCACGATCATATTATATGTGTTCTATTTTTGTTTTCCAATGTACTTCTTGTCAATAAAAAAAATATTGGTGGGGCATGAGCAATTTTTTATTCTGAAAGTGTGGCCCATGAAACAAAAAGTTTGAGAACCACTGTATTAATCTGTCAGTTTGGGTCCTACACTCTGCAGCTGGAAAACACAGGCTTGCTCCATCTTCCATGTGACAGCCTTTTTTGGTATTTGAAGGTGGCTCTCATGTCACCTCTCCATCAACTCTTCTCCAAGCTAAACTTGTGCAATTCCATCAACCATTCCTTATAAGGCTTGGTTCCCACACCCCTGATCCCCTCAATCGCCCTCCTCATCTTGCTGATATCCCACATGGAAGTGGACAGAGCTCAGATTCAGAGCCAGAAGGCCTAATCCTGTCCCTGCCTACATGGATTTCCCATTCTCTGCATGGAACAAAAAGTGACAGGTTCAAGTGTGGCCAACAACTTGCTAAGGCTGGCTCACCCTCCTTGAATATCCATAGAAGCAAGTCAAGAGCTGTGTCTCTTTTGACTCTTGAGAGCTGGACATGTGGAACTGGACATTCCAAGGCTGCCTTTCGTTCCCCCGTCTTGCGGGGAATTTGTCTTGTGTACAAGTGTTATGTACTGAAGTTCTCACCCTGGGCCAGCAGGGGGATACTGTAGATAGTTATGCAAATGAAGGATCGAAAGTGACGTTCAGTGATTGGATAGTTTTAGAAAATGGCAACAGTTACATTGTTCTGGAGCTCTATATACCGTAAGCAGGCTGACTGAGCTCCTCAGTTAGTTCTGTTCCAGCTTACAAATAAAGAGCTGCTTTGGAAGAATCGCTGTGTCGTCTGATATGTTCGCCCACAACTTAACAACAAGGATGATATACACAATGCAAGGCAAGTGGATTGAATCCTCTCCAAGGGAGGCAACAAAACCGTCACACTTCAGAAAAGTGGAATGTGGGTCAGCCCTGCACGTTCTGCAGAAGAAACTCTTGGCTTCGTCATGGATGAGGAAAAACGAGCTGAGCTTGAATCCTGGCAAGATGTGAGTGGGTTGTTCCCATGTCTGAGAAATTGCTAAGTTGCCTGCCCTGAATTCAGTGGCACTATCCCTGAAGGAGCAGGCTTGCAGTTTGGGGGTGCTTCTGTATCCAACTCTGTCACGGGAGGCTCAGGTAGCAGACCCTCCAAGTGTCCATATTTTCCAGGGGCAGTCCCAGATTTACAGAAGCCGTCCCGGTTTCTGATTTGATCCCAGAATGTCCCACTTTTCTTTAGGGTGCCTCTATTCTCATCAAGGATGCGGGTGGCGCTGTGGGTTAAACCACAGAGCCTAGGACTTGCTGATCAGAAGGTCGTCAGTTCGAATCCCCACGACGGAGTGAGCTCCCGTTGCTCGGTCCCTGCTCCTGCCAACCTAGCAGTTCAAAAGCACATCAAAGTGCAAGTAGATGAATAGGTACCGCTCCGGTGGGAAGGTAAACGGCCTTTCTGTGCGCTGCTCTGGTTCGCCAGAAGCAGCTTAGTCATGCAGGCCACATGACCCGGAAGCTGCACGCCGGCTCCCTCAGCCAATAAAGCCAGATGACTGCCGCAACCCCAGAGTCGGTCACGACTGAACCTAATGGTCAGGGGTCCCTTTACCTTTATTCTCATCAAAGAAATTCCGGAGGGTATGACTGAATTACGTGACCCCTTCCAGCTCTACCATTCCTTGATTCTATTATTCTAATCGTTTGGGATCCCAACAGATTGCGATTTGTGCGGCTAAGGCTGTGTGCATGAAAAACAAAGAGAAATACGAGGGGAAGGAAGGAAGACAGTTACACTCACAGAACAGTGACTTCATTGCATCCTCGGAAGCTGGAACTTTGCAGAGTGTGAAGTTGGTTCCCCTCAAGATCCCTGGGTGGTGGAGAAAGCAAGCAATGAATTTTTTTAAATCCTGGGAACTGTAGTTTGTTAAGGGCATTAGGAGACCCCTCAGAGAGCTGCAGGTGATTTATCCATCGTAGAATCATAGAACTGATGTAGTCCAACCCCCGGCAATGCAGGAAAAACATCGATCCCTCTCACCTTCTGGGAATTGTAGCTCCATGAGGGGAAGAGGGATCTCTTAGTGACTCTCAGCAACATTAACAAACTACACTTCCCAGGATTCTTTGAGGGAATCCATGACCGAAGCAGTATCAGAGTGCTTTAAATATATAATGTAGATGGGGCCACCACCAGAAAGCCAGCCTTGCCTTTGTAAAAGGACTTGAACAATCTCAAGGCTTTCTATTTGATGTTGCCTAGCCCAGTCCTTCTCTGCACCCAGCCGGGGTGCCAAGGCCTGACCCCTCCATACACAACCAGCCAAACCCTCCACAGTCTTCAAAAAGGAGGCTGAGACAGGTGACCCTCCTCTACGTGGGTGCAGGCAGACAACAGCAGCACGTCCCTCTGCCTGCTGTCTCTCCTTAAACAGAGCCCTGCTGCCCCCTTCTCCAATCTCACCCACCCTCTAGCTAAAGCAGAGCTGAACGCAGAGGATGGCTGAACCTCGCCCAAGTCAGATGGGCCCCTCCCGGTCTCTCTGTTCCCCAAATTCAAAGGCAGGAGGAACTCACAGCCAGTTCAGCTTCGGCATTTCTGAACAGATCGATGTGTTGGGGAGGCCTCTCAGGAGGTTGTTGTGCAGGTCCCTGGAATGGAAGGACAAAGGGATCAATGGTGATGGACATTGTGCACCCAAGAAAATGAAAAGAAGTCCATGCCAGGGAATCATAAGGAGAGGAACTGAAAACAGAATTGCCAATGCCGTAATGCAGCTAGGGTTAGGGTTGGTGATGGGGTGTTCAGCAGCAAAACAGACTCTTTCAGGGGGCGGTGAGCTCTCCTTCTATGGAGGCTTTTAAACCAAGGCATAATAATAATAATTAATAATAATAATAATAATAATATAATTTATTTATACTCCGCCCATCTGGCTGGGTTTCCCCAGCCACTCTGGGCGGCTTCCAACAGAATATTAAAATACAATAACCTATTAAACATTAAAAGCTTCCCCAAACAGGGCTGCCTTCAGATGTCTTCTAAAAGTCTGGTAGTTGTTCTCTTTGACATCTGGTGGGAGGGCGTTCCACAGGGCGGGTGCCACAACCGAGAAGGCCCTCTGCCTGGTTCCCTGTAATTTGGCTTCTCGCAGTGAGGGAACCACCAGAAGGCCCTCAGCACTGGACCTCAGTGTCCGGGCAGAACAATGGGGGTGGAGACGCTCCTTCAGGTATACTGGACCGAGGCCGTTTAGGGCTTCAAAGGTCAGCACCAACACTTTGAATTGTGCTTGGACACATACTGGGAGCCAGTGTAGGTCCAGATGGCCACCTGTCAGGGATTCACTGTAAGGGGGTTGGAGGAGGAAGCCCAGCCAAAGCCCAGCTTCCAGCACCACAGTTCTATGGCTCTATAGTCCAAGTGTAACTTAATAGTCTGCCTGTATTTGCTTGCTGTGAATTAAAGACTGTGAGTGCCCCCGACTGAAAACACATGCAGATTTCATTTAAGCATGACATCATTCCCAGGACAGAATCTGGAGCAGAGGATGTGCAAGCAAGACTCCAGTACCCCCTTCCCCACCCCATAAACTCCATACTTACAGAAATAGAAGCGATTTCAGCCCCTCAAAAGCAGTTGCGAGGATTTCAGTTATGCTGTTGTTCTCCAGGATTCTAGGGTGGGGCGAAATGGAGATCATGGTATCAGTGAGCTTACTGATATAGCTCGATCCAGCATGAGATATTTAATCTCAGGGTCGAGGGTTTGAACCCCACATGGGGCAAAAGATTCCTGCATGGCGGGGGGTTGGACTAGATGACTCTTGTGGTCCCTTCCAACTCCACAGTTCTATGATTCTATGTACTTACAGCCATTTGAGACGAAGCAAGTTGTGGAAGATGCGAGGCTTCAGATGAGTGATGTTGTTGGAATTGAGATACCTGGAATGACAAGAGAAGGGTTGGGTTTGTTCTGGATAATACAGCCAAGGTTCAGGCTTCCTACTGCCTATGGGGAATAGGCAATGGAGGTCTCTTTCCGGCATTCTGGTTTTACAGGTCTATGCCTGATCTGGGGGGGGGGTCATTAATTCTACCTAGAAATCTGGAAAACAACTACACCTGGTACCTGGAAGGAGCCTGGTGGGAGGAGCAGGTGGGGAAAGGGGCAGGGTCCACTGAGGTGTGGGGCTGGGCTCCCAGTGGGGTGAGGGGTAAAGAAGCAGAGCTCTGCATCCAGCAAGGAAGGGGCCACACGAAGGCAAAGCTTTCTTTGCCCCAGACAAAGCATGTGTAGAGCCTCCTACCTCCAAGCCATCCATAGACAATACAAAGTCATAGGCAGCCCTGTTTAGGTAAGTTTTAAATATTTAATGCTGTATTGTTTTTAACACTCGATTGGGAGCCGCCCTGGGACGTGGGTGGCGCTGTGGGTTAAACCACAGAGCCTAGGGCTTGCCGATCAGAAGGTCGGCAGTTCGAATCCCCGCGACGGGGTGAGCTCCCATTGCTCGGTCCCAGCTCCTGCCAACCTAGCAGTTCAAAAGCACGTCAAAGTGCAAGTAGATAAATAGGTACCGCTCCGGCGGGAAGGTAAATGGCGTTTCCATGCGCTGCTCTGGTTCACCAGATGCGGCTTAGTCATGCTGGCCCCATGACCCAGAAGCTGTATGCCAGCTCCCTCGGCCAATAAAGCGAGATGAGCACCGCAACCCCAGAGTCAGCCACGACTGGATCTAATGGTCAGGGGTCCCTTTAGCTTTACCTTGGGAGCCGCCCAGAGTGGCTGGGGAAACTCAGCCAGATGGGCAGGGTATAAATAATAAATTATTTTTATTATTTTTATTTATTTATTTATTATTATTATTATTATTATTATTATTATTATTGAATCATCGAGAATCATCTCTCTCTCTGTCCTCCTGCACCTGTTCTTCCCTCTCCAAACCTGCAGCTTCTCCTGCCTCTGCCTCTTGTCTCCTGGCTGTTACTGGATCCCCCAGATCACTGATTCAGTCTTCCACATCAGTCCCCAATGCCACTTCTTCCAGACACCACTCCTCAGTATCCAGCCAGTCCCTCACACCCTGTTAACCTACTGGAATGAGTAAAGCTGGGGCTGGCAAGGTGATCTCCCCACCCCCACCCCCCGCAGAAGTCTTTCTTTCCTTCTTGCATGACCTGCCTGATCCCATGCAGCAAAATCAAAGCTCATCACTCACAGCTTCTTGAGCTTCACAAGTCCAGCAAATGCAGAGGCGGATATTGACTGGATCCTGTTATCTTGTAAGAAGCTGTTTGGAAAGAAAATTATACAAAAGAGAGATATCCTCAGGATTAATATTGTATCCATGGTATTCCTGCCCCCTCCCACCAGAACCTAGGAAATCAATCATGGAATCGTAGAATTGTGGCATCGGAAGCCACCCCAAGAGTCTTGCAGTCCAACCCCCTGCAATGCAATGATCACAAAGACCAGCATTCATTGTTGGATTAGTTGCATTTTACACCTGAGGGTTTCACATTGGCTCAGGAACATTTGATTCCAGGCTGGAGACATTTGATTTTTTTATTTTTTATTTTTAAAAGAACACTATGAAAACAGAGGCTTCTAAAATGCAGTTTTTTAAAGGCTGGTATCAAATCCCCTGCATAGGCCGTGCAGTTCATACAACCGTCGAACTGCACAGTTGGAAGGGTCCCGAGGGTCATCTAGTCCAACCCCCTGCAAGTTGCAGAAATGCAGGGATTGGGTATCATACTTACAGTAACTCCAGTTGCTCATAGGCAATGAACTGATAGTCCAGCAGGGAAACGATCTCATTATTCTTCAGATCTCTAGGAAAAGTAGAACAAAAAGTGACTCCAGCAGCTGCGAAGCCGGTTTCACACATTACACAGCAACAAACCCGGTTTGCAAATGAATGTATGTGCACCACAGAGGCACGGTCAATCCTGGCCCTCTGATGAGGGCACCTGTATGAAACAGGTGTCTATAAACACCTGTTGGATGCATTCACACTTTAGGTGCAGACCTAGAGACAGCATAATCGGGAGATTTTGCTGAATGCCCAGAGTCATCCCTAACAACTGAGCGACCCAGAATGGAGGGCTGGAGTGCCATTGGTGGATGGGGTGGGGGGGGGAGGAATGAATCATTGGACAAAAATCAGATGTGACTGCAAAAAAATTCAAATTTATATATTTTTAAATTACCTTTTCCTAACACTCCCAGTTAAAAATACTGTTGAAATTAGCAAAACGACAGACAGAAACCTCAGGGCAAAATCCAGTCAAAGTTGAGCACTTTCCAGCCCCACTAATTTCAATGGTTAAATGGCTGCTGGACAGATTCTCAACTGCTCTTTTGAAAAGATAGGAAGTTAGCCGTGATTCCTGCATTATTGCAAGGGGTTGGACTAGATGACTCTTGTGGCCCCTTCCAACTCTACAACTCTGTAATTCTCCCACCTCGCGGTATCAACCCTTCTCCCTGCAGTTTAACCCCATTGCTCTATGCCTGAATTTAAAATCACCACCCCACTTGTGAGCCCACCTGGCAGGTGCCAGCATCACACCTGTGTACAGAATCATAGAATCTTGGAAGGGACCCCAAGGCTGGTCTAGTGCAACCATTTGCAATGCAGGAGTGCCATTTCCTCTGCCCCACATATTTCCACCTGCCTTGGGGTGCGGAGAGTGGCTTTGGTCTGCGTAGCCTTAGCTCCTTGTTGTTGAATGAAGCCACCACCCCACCCCCATGGCGTTCCTCCTCCACCCCTGTGCCAGCTGCCCAAAGACTAGGATGGCAGGGACATCTAACCCGCCATTACTCACAGCTCCGTCACGCTGGGTGAGACCTGTGGTACGGCACGCAGGCCCCGATCCTGACAGTTTACGGCGGTCCCCAAACACCCACATCCGGCTGGGTACTGATCTAGGGCTAAGGGAACAGAGCGGAAGGCCAGCTAAGAGTCCAGAAATGGAATCATAATGATTTTGCACAAGGAACAGGATGGTGGGGAAGGCAGATTAGGCAGGAAAAGGGATGGTAGGATGAAGACGGCTATGGATGGAAACAATCACAGAATCACAGAATTGCAGGGACTCCCCCAAGGGTCATCTAGCCCATCCCCGTGCTGTGGATGGTGTGAATGTGGCCGCACACAAAAATATACTCACTGCAGTTGGCCACTCTCGATCCATCACTCGTCCTGCTGCTGCTGCTGCCGTTGTTGCTGAGAAGTTCATTGAAAATCTTGGGCCACCCAACATCATTCACTGCAAGGAGGGATTTAGATTCTGTTATGGATGGAAGTTCAGGCATCTGAGCTTCATCCTCTCCCTCAGTACTTAGCATAGTTAGTTAGTTAGTTAGTTAGTTAGTTATAGAGCCCAATTTTCTTCCAGGGAGCTCAAGGTGACCTATGTACTTCCCCTCCCCATTTTAGCCTTACAATAACATCCCTGTGAGGTGGGTTAAGCTGAGAGGCAGTGACTGGCCTCCAGGGTCATCCAGTGAGCTGCATGGCGAAGTGGTGATTTGAACCCTGGTCTCTCCCAGGTCTTAGTCTGGTGCTCTAACCACTACACCACACTGGCTCTCTTTGTCAGGGAGCCTTGGCCCATGTACCAAGACCACCAAGCTCCCTTCTTCCCATACATACACCTGCATTCCCAACTTGAGAAGTGGAAACCAAAGGTTACCCTAAAGTTTCTCCTTAACAGTTGCCACCAACTTTGGACTTCAGGAGACCTGAACTCTGGGGCCACCAAAAACCTGAATCTCATAGCTGAGCTTTATCTTCATAATGCTACAATTCTTTGATTGGAGGTTTATAAGCAGAGGTTGGATGACTGTCCATCAGAGATTCTCGGCCTGTGATTCCTGCACTACAGGGGGTTGAATTCGATGACTTGAGGATCCCTTCCAACTCTATGATCCTGTGATTCTAGGAATCTCTGAAGGCTCCCTGAGCCGCCAAAGGTTAGAATGCTTTCTTTGGCCACCTCTTGAGAGGGGAAAGCCTCACAGAGTCTAAGAAGAAATTACCACAGTTCTCTTCGTCGGCTCCGTCGTCACAGTTGATCACCCCATTGCAATGGAGAAGTTGAGGTAAGCAAACGGTCATGTTTTCGCATGGGAACATTCCGGAAGAACAGCCACCATGATCTGGGTGAGAGTCAGCCAGAAAAGCCTCTGTCAAAGGGGAATTTGAGACAAAACACCAGAAATATTATATCCCACTTCTTCATCCTTAGACAGTAATATTGACATGTTTTCCCTGAGCATATAAAGAGTGCCAGTCTTGCAAGTACAGGGAATGTCCCTAGGAGGGAGTACCAGGAGTCAGGAAGACTGACCCCTGGGAGAGCAGGCTGGCCCTATTCAAAATGATGATGTCCACTAGCCATGGGGTCTTCACAGTCATTTTGCTTGTTTGTTTATGTTTATTTATGCCATGATAGCCCACCTTTCCTCCAAGGAGCTCCAGGTTGCATACATGGCTCTCCCCCCTCTCATATTGTGCTCACAACAACCCTGCGAGACAGGTTAGGCTGAGCAGCAGTGATTGACTCCCAACGTCACACTCAATGAGCTTCATGGCCGAGTGGGGGATTTGAACCCAGATCTTCCACATCCTGGTCCTATACCTTAACCACTACACCACTCTCACTGTTCTAACCAGCTTGCGGAGACTATCAGAGGTCACAAAGAGAAAGGAAAAATATATGAAAATAACAACAAGAGATGTGGAAAAATAAATAAGAAAGGACTGGATAATACTGTGAACATCATAAGGTTAGATTTGTGGACATTAAAACAGCAGTAAGAAGCAAGAAGTTGATTGGATCCCTTCGGAACTTGAAATATGGGTACCCCCAACAAAAATTTAAAATTAGGCTGTGTAATTTGGAATTTATGTAATTTGGTTTGATTTAATGTGATTGGTCGGCTAATAAAAAATTATTCTTAAAAAAAAAAACAACCACTACACCACTCTCAAGGGACTTGTGTTCCGCCCTTCAGAAATGTCAGTTTTGATCTAGGAGGTGTCGTCACAGGCAATTAAAACCAAAGTCTATTCTGTCACAAGGGCTGTGTTGTGTAGTGGTTAGAGTGTCAGATTAGGACCTGGGATTTGCAGGTGGGACTCACCGTCCCCAGTTGGACTGTGCCATGATTCCTGCATTGCAGGGCGTTGGACTCGACAATTCTTTGAGTCTATGATTCACTGGATTCTTGAGGAGTGATTTCTGCATTGTGGGGGGGGGTGGACTAGATGACCCCTGGGCTCCCTTTCCAGCTCTACAGTTCTATGATCCTATGATTCTAACCTAGCTTGCTCAAACGATGACCAACTGCAGTCCATTAGATGCCCCCGGACAGGCAGCAAGGAGCTAGAGGTTTGCTCTACTGGGCCAGAGTCATCCTGAGGATTCGAGACCAGGTCTACGTGCAAGAAAGATCATCACATTGGGACAGGGAGGGGGGAGAGGACCTGAAAAAATTCCCAAAGTTGACATCCCATGAGCTATTGTTCGCTTACAGGCAAGGCATTTTTTCCACATCAGCTCTGAATTATGGCCCACATTTCAACTGCCTTGTTGACTACTCTTCGCCAAAGTTAGAAATAGATGGCAAATATTTGGGAAGGCCTAAAGCTCTGCAAAATAAAACCCCCGTCCTTTTGAGGCCCAACAGCAGCTTACCCAAATTTACTATTGTTTGTATCTGAAATGTTTGCTCTTGGGGAGGATTCAGGGACAGGGGGAGGATCCTAGATCCCAACAAAACCTGCAGGAGTTAAATCAACCTTCTGCAAACTATTTAAAAGTCCTGGGCCTGGAGCAAAAGTTTCCCTGCAGCTTTGATTAATCGCTCTCCAAACATGAGATCTGGTCCAGGAGTTGTTGGGAGTCTGGACCGTAAAGAATACCAGAAGTATGAGTCCAGCTGTCAACATCTGAGCACCTTCTAAAGCGGGGGGGGGGGTTCCAATGCATGGCCCAAGTGTGACCGTTTTTGGTGATCATCAGCAACATTTGGACTCTGTCAGAAGGTGGTGCACGCTCCATCACTGGAGCTTTTCAAACAGAGGTTGGATGGCCATCTGCCTGGGATTCTTTAGCATACAATTCCTGCAATGCAGCGGGTTGGACTAAAGGACCCTTAGAGATCCCTTTCAACAGTGCAATTCTATGATTTTAAAATGTAACTGCATTTTGCTTCCTGCAGGGCAGGGCAAAATGGGGGATCTTCCTTTTCCACCTACAGACCTTGACCAGACAGGCAGCTGAATTCCACGGCAAGCCCAGCGAGTGGTCCACACTCTTCGTGGCATCTGAGGGCAGCCTCCTAGTTTAGCTGGCCACGGGATACATGTTATGTATTCATTGGTCTGTGTTTGCCTGAGCTTGAGTCTGGACTAAGGATTCTGAGCTCCTGTGTTCTGATTCGATACATGTTGTCTAATCACAGAACATTTCAGGATTTGGGCCTCTGCCATTGACCCTTGAACTCTGAGTCATGATTCGCAGTTTGGAAGTTTAGACAGCCAATCCTTTGGGGAGTGGGAGTGGCCCAGGCTTTCAGAAATGTATACAGTGCTACCTCTGGATGCGAACGGGATCCGTTCTGGAGCCCTGTTCGCATCCTGAAGCGAACGTAAGACGCAACTGCATGTGTGCAGTGTTGGGATACTGCCAGGGAGACAAAATCCATCATGACTCCACGTCGTCTCCGGACGTCCATCGATCTCCCATAGACACGCAGTATCAGCAATTAGTGACACGAACTCCAGAAATAGCTTGCCACATTCCAGAGCTGATGCACGCTCTATCAGCAGATAATGCACACAGCGAAAGATGCACGCAGGAGAGCATTATTTACAAGTTTATTCAGCATTGGTCAGAACAAAGAAAACATGACTGCCAGCTTCAGTGTCTCAGACACAGAGAGAGAAACGAAAGCATAGACACAACAGAAACATCCTGTGAACAGGAAATACGCAGGCTGTGACACAAACATCCTGCTCCCTTTTAAGGTGGAACGGAAATATCCTAACATACGGGTCGCGTTTCGCCGCTTCCACACATGCGCGTTTTGAGTGTCTGCGCATGCGCAAGCGGTGAAACCCAGAAGTAACGCGCTCCGTTACTTCCGGGTCGCCGTGGAGCGCAACCCAAAAATATTTAAGCTGAAGTGTATTCATCCCGAGGTATGACTGTACAGTGGTACCTCGGGTTAAGAACTTAATTCATTCCAGAGGTCCGTTCTTAACCAGAAACTGTTCTTAACCTGAGGTACCACTTTAGTTAATGGGGCCTCCTGCTGCCACCGCACTACGGCAGTGCAATTTCTGTTCTCATTCTGAAGCAAAGTTCTTAACCTGAGGTACTATTTCTAGGTTAGCCGAGTCTGTAACCTGAAGCGTCTGTAACCTGAAGCGTCTGTAACCCAAGGTACCACTGTATAAGCAGTTGCTTTGCCTCTGTTTCCCAGTTATGTAGTTCAATAAAGGTTCTTGCTGTTATCACCGTGCCTTGCCCCATGGAAACCCACCTACACTTCAGTACATACAGAAGAAAACAGTCAGGGATCTACCACTACTGCCCCCCCACTTCCCCCAGCATCTGCTACCTGAGGCAGGCAGCCCACTTTGCCCAATGCTAGGGCCGGGCCGATTTAATGGGCCAGTGCCATTTGTTTATTAGATTTCCATCCCATCTTTCCTCCATGGAGCTCAAGGTGGCGACAAATGAGATTCCTTCCTCCTCCCATTTCATTTTCTCTCCACAACAACCCCGTGAGGTAGATTAGGCTAAGAAAGACTGATTGGCCCAAGGTTGACCAATGAGCTTCGTAACTGGGTGGGGATTTGAACCCTGGACTCTCCTAAGTCCTAGGCCAACATTCTGACCACAATACCACACTGGCTGCCCGGTGAAATCTCAGAAACCAGAGGGTGGCTCAACAGGAAAGTTGCCTCTCCATGATTGTATGAGTGTACATCTCAACAGTTTGCACGCACAGGCAAGCAGGTGTCATACACTCATTGAACAAAATGTGTGCAAAATGGATGCAATATTGTAGAAGACGATCACAGCGTGGAATTGTCATTGCTGTTTCCAGACTCCTAACAACTGTAGGAGCAGAAGATCATTTAATCCATTAGCAGTGGACCAATGTTCGCCGTAAATGTTGACGCAAGTAGACTTCGCAGGATCCGTGCTGAATGGCTGGTTCACTCAAGCATTTCCGAGTGTTGGACATCACACATAAACAGACTCACTCATGCAAAGGAGGGACACGACATCCGCAGAGCTGAAGGAAAGGGGGGTCAGCTGCCACAAATACCAAACGGATAAAGAAATGCTCGGGGTTACATTCTTTTGGGGGTGAAGACACTCGAAGGAATGGGTTTACACAATGCTTCTGGTTGAGGAGATCATGGGAGGAGGGGAGATTTAAGGCAGCACAAGCCCAGAGGGAGCCACAACTATGACATAGTGAATTGAGCAGAACAGAAGGCAAGAGGGATGCTGAATTTTGGCCTCTCACAGGGCTCCGCTCCTGCTCTGGTCCTGCTTGCAGATTCCCCTTTGGGGCATCTGTTTGGACACTGGGTGAAATATACTCAGACAACTCAGTACATAACACTGGGAGAAGAGGATGCTGAACTAGATGAGCCATTGGCCTAAACCAGTGGGCCGTGGCACCCTGGGGTGCCTTAAATGCTGGTCAGGGGTGCCACGAGCAACACTGGCCTCTGTCCCTCTTTCCTTTCCTCCCTCCTCTGATGCCCTTTTGTGTCTTTGCCTTCCAAAGGCTTGTACAGCTGTTTGTTGCAGCAGCCCTGGCTACAAGCTCCCCAGGTGAATGGTGCCTCTGGGGCTGGCCAGGGGGTGCTGGTTGCCAGGAGCTGAGGCTTCCTCAGAGTAAGCAAGCAAGCAGGTGAGGGAGCTCAGCCAGCCAGTCCGGATGGACAAGTGGGAGGCTGGGCAGACAGGCAGACAGGCAGTGTGCTGGCCTATCTTGTCCTTGTTGTGTGCAAGGTCTACCTGGGAGCTGAGTGCCCAGTGCTGAAGGGGAGTCTTTCCAACATGCAGGCATAGCAGTGCCCACTGCTGCCTCCCAAGGTAAGGTCCTGGTCTCATGTTCACCTTTGGCCAGTCTCTGTTAGGGCACTAAGGCTGGGGGCATTCTCTTCCCAGGCCCCTGTGAGGCAGTATGAGGAGGTATCTCTCTTTAGGGTGAGGGGGGCAACTCAGAGACCAGGGGTGGCAGAAGTGGCTGCTCAGAAGACTCCCAAGGAGAGGGGAGAGGCGGCTGAGGGAACACTCCACAAGGGAGGGTGTTCGAAAAAGGGTGAGAGGCTGCCAGTTCTGCAGGCAAAGGGTGGCATAACCGGGCTCCTGAGCCCCACAGGGGTGCCACAGAAAAAAACGTAGTGGTCAAGGGAACCGTGGACTCAAAAAGGGTAGAAACCTCTGGCCTTAACCACCAGGCTCTTCTGAGGCTCTTGTGGAACTTCCAGGCCAAAAGGCAGAATATTTAGATCTCCAAGTTGTTACATACCCTCCAACATTTTGGGAGGGCAAAGTGGGAACACCCACCATCACCATCCAACCCTCCTAATCTCCGCTGTCCTTAGCCCCTCCCCCCACCTCCTGATCTCTGCTTGCCCTCACCCACCTGCTGAATGTTATGGTGCCAAAAATATGGGAAATGTGTGCAAAAATGCATGATGGGGGGTGGGGGAGATGTCCTGAGAGAAATTGAAACTGAGAGTCAATGACCAGTTTGCATGAAACTGACCAGATGCTGCCATTCCCCTACCTGACGCCCTCCAAACTCCCATCGTTTCCAGCCAGGTTAGCCATCTGATGATGCAAACTGATCTAGAGTTGTGGTCCAAAGAGGGTTGAGAACCAGTGTGGTGTAGTGGTTAGAGTGTCAGACCAGGACCTGGGAGAGACGGGGGTTCAGATCCCCACTCAGCCATGAAGCTCACTGGGTGACCCTGGGCCAGCAGTCACGGCTTCTCAGCCTAATCTACCTCACAGGGTCGCTGTGGGGATTAAATGAGGAGGGGGAGGAGAACCAAGCCACCTTGAGCCCCTTGGTGGAAAAGATGGGCTAGAAAATAAATAAATAAATATTCTGCCTTTTGCCAACTCATCAGCGCCAACCCATCTGGGCAACCCAGCACTTATCATTTCCCCTCCCATGACTGATATGTTGGGTTCTGTGCAAGAAGAGAAAAGGGTGGGTTTTTTTAAAAAAAAAGAAACAGCCACTTACTTGTAACCATCTGGAGGATCACCAGAAACAGCTTCATGGTGAACTTGGAAATCATCACTCCAGGAAAGGAGGAATCTTTAGAGGCGCCCCCTCCCCAGTAAAGATGCTTCTGCCTCTACTCTGCTAGGATCCCGCACAAGGTGACAGCTGCCTTCTGTGCAAATGTTTTGTCGCTTGCCGAACAATCCCAATGAGGTCTGTTGAACAGGAACTGAATCCTTGAGTCAAAGAATATCCACAGCCGCCAACCACTCTGGTGCCGTCAACAGCTTCTGCTGGGGAGCCCCAGATCCCCTTTCAAGGCTGTTTCGAAGGCTGTCATCCACAAGCACCTGGCTCCCCTTGTGATGTAATAAGAAGTGGAAAAGGAATAAAATACAGGCAGCTTGATGGTTACTTCTTTCTGCTTCTCCTGCTGCAGGTCATTTTGAAACGGAATAAATAAATGCCTTTCCTTTGTGTGTGTATCTAACTTTTTCTTTGTTGAATAGGGAGCCTGCTGGAAGGTTTCTCTTCAGACTGTCCAGATGGGGACTATAAGATATAGAGAAGAGGAGGAGGAGGAGAGTCCACAGTTCTTCCCCACCACCAACCCTGGTGGCTGTCTCTGTAATACTTGACAGAAGGGCCCTCTGCTGGACTAGCCACTGAATGAAAACTTGCTACACAGAATCATAGACTTGTGCAGTCAGAAGAGACCTCCAAGGGGCATCTAGTCCAACCCCCTGCAATGCGGGAATCACAGCTCAAGAATACCTAACAGGTGGCCAGTCAACCTCTGCTTGAAAACCTCCGAGGAAGGAGAGTCCACCATCTTCAGAGGGAGTCTGAGATGCCCACTTTGGAACAACTCTGGGCTGCTGTCGTTTTCCTAACGAGGCAAAGCAGATCTTACTCTGTCTTTATTTCCAGTTAAATACGCTCTCCAAGGCAAAGTGTCCTTTTTTCCACCCTGGTTTGTGGTTTTTTTTTACTGGACCAGTCTTTTCAGCATAACTTTCCCAAAAGTCTAATGAAACCAGCTCCTGGAAGATTTTAAACAGCTTGTATTTTTAAGGCACGCTGGTTATTTAAGGTTAAAAAACAGCTTGAAGGGAAATACTGCAGAACATCCAGATTGGCTGTAGTGGTTTAATTTTCAAAGGTGAAGCCAGGCTGTTTGCATGTGGGAGCCCGTGAAGATGAGAGAAGGAAGCAGACTAACAGAGATGCATGACTGGCAGTGGGGAGAGAGATTTGAAAGCCTGGCTCATAAGTTGGTCACTGGGACATCAGAAGTAAATTCTTGGAATGGCACTAAGAGTATAAGAGCCTTCTGGATCAGGCAAGTGGCCCATCTACTCCAGCATCCTAGAATCCTAGAATTGGAGAACTGGAAGAGACCCTGAGGGTCAGGTCATCTAATTCCAACCCCCCTGCAATGCAGGAATCACAGCTAAGGAATCCTTGATGGATGGCAACCCAATCTCTCTTTGAAAACCTCCAAGAAAAGAGAGTCTACCTTCTGGGTTCTCACAGTGGCTGACCAGATGCTCCAAAGGGAAACCCACAATCAGGATTCGAGTGCAAAAGCACTCTCCCCCCTCCTGTGGTCTCCAGAAACTGGTATTCAGAAGCATAATCAGCTTCTGAAACAACATGAGCAGCTCACATAAAGTGATGGTTCTTAACAGGACTTCAGCAGCCAGCAAAAGTGACACGTATCATTATCAACCGAAACTCCAGGGAGGAAATTCATGCTCTGCATTCAGAGCTGATCATGTTCCTTCTTGTCCTTAGCAATTCTCAGGCAGCTGGCTATTAAGGGTGCAATAAAAGCTACCCTGACTCAGAGAGGAATTACCATGAAATCTTCTGCAAAGGATGTTCACATGGAGCGACTGAAATTGCATCCGGCAAAGCTTGCTTCCCCAGAGAGCTTATCTCAAGTGGACAGAAAAATCTCACAGGCCTTACTCTAATGCCAGCCAAATAAAAAATAAAAAATCAGTTTTAGCTTGCAGCAGGAAATGCAGCCACCACCCACCATTAAGGGTGGATAGATTGGTAACTGATTGGAACAAATAGTTTTAAGGTATCAATTCACATCTGAAATTGGAGCCCGCTGGATCAGGCCAAAAGAGGTCTATTTAGTCCAGCCTCCTCTTCTCACAGCACTGTGCATAAGAACTGCAACAGGAGAGCAGCTTCTGTCTCTGCAGCCACAAACAGAGCTGCTCCCTTTGAAATAAGTGCTCTGATGTTTTCAGCACCTGGCTGTTGGAGGTGCATTTTCTTATTGAGACAGGTGCTACTTCAGAATGGTGGGCACTCTGGGGTTGCAAGCAGAGGGTACAAACAGCCCTGCCTGCCCCCGCTAGAAAAACAGGGAGCGGGATCCAGGGGCCCATTTGAATCACAGAACCATAATACTGTAGAGTTGAAAGGGACCCCAGGGGTCATCTAGTCCAACCCCCTGCAATGCAGGATTCACAACTCATTCCATGGAGTCTTTGAAGACCATAGCTCTTTTCCTGAAGGAGCGTCTCCACCCCCATCGTTCTGCCCGGACGCTGAGGTCCAGCGCCGAGGGCCTTCTTGCGGTTCCCTCATTACGAGAAGCAAAACTACAGGGAACCAGGCAGAGGGCCTTCTCGGTAGTGGCACCCGCCCTGTGGAATGCCCTCCCATCAGATGTCAAAGAGATAAACAACTACCTGACATTTAGAAGACATCTGAAGGCAGCCGTGTTCAGGGAAGTTTTTAATGTGTGACATTTTAATGTATTTTTCATCTTTGTTGGAAGCCGCCCAGAGTGGCTGGGGAAACCCAGCCAGATGGGTGGGGTACAAATAATAAATTGCTGTTGTTGTTGTTGTTGCTGCTGCTGCTGTTATTCCTGAAGGATGTTTTCTGCCTGCAAGCATCTAACTGACATAGTCAAACACTGTTTAAGTGCTTAGCTGCACTTCTGGGACTTGAGGAACAAATCTGAGCCATTTAAAGAGGAGGTGGAGGGTCTTCTCTGCAATAGGACAAGACACCCCAAACATTTTAAAAACTAAGAGGGAATTTGTTAGGCATTTGATAAACAGTGCAAAGTACTTCTTGATTCAGTAATAATAAAACAAACTGAAAGCTTTATTGCCCTTTACACAATTGGTGTCTGTTGTAAACTATTTTCTAGAATCCATGTCTGGAGGAGCATCTGTACTTTTGCCAAAGTTAATTTCTTTCCTACTGGCCTTAATGAAAGTGTTGTTCCTTGTGAGTCTGGGGCAAATAAAGCAGGAAGCAAGCAGATGTGCAGCCTTCCCTCCAACCTCTGGAACCATTGAACTGTAGAGCTGGAAGGGACCCTCAAGGTCACGCAGTAAGATAAAAAGGTAAAGGACCCCTGGACGGTTAAGTCCAGTCAAAGGCGACTATGGGGTATGGCGCCGTTTACCTTCCCGCCGCAGCGGTACCTATTCATCTACTTGCACTGGTATGCTTTCAAACTGCTAGGTTGGCAGGAGCTGGGACAGAGCAATGGGAGCTCACCCCATCACAAGGATTCGAACCACTGACCTTTTATCTGTTTCTCTGCCCCTGCAACTGACTCCAATGTTCACTTTTCACAGAATTCTATAATTGTAGACTGGGCATCTTCCTCCATCTCAAGCCCATCCTCCCCCCCCCCATCCCAACTTGCTACTTTGCAGGGAGAAAAGCCAATGACTTACATTACTCAAGGGATGAGATCCCATGTCCTGCTAATGGTTCCTAATTCAAATTATAAGGAGAATTCTTTGTTGAGACAAATGCATTGCACGCACACACACACACACACACACAGGGGAGGGGGGAAATGCTGATTATCTGCTGAGGGTATTTTTCCACAGCACAAAGCGTTTTTCTTCTTATTTCTCAGAAGAAACTAAGCTATTCTGCTCCTAAACTGGAGAGAAGCATTCCACAGAAAACTAAAAATTCTCCCAGGTGAATTACAGTCTGGTAGCTGCACTTGAACCCTTGGTTTTGTCCAGAATCAAATTTGAGATAAAATCATAGAATAGTAGAGTTGGAAGGGACCCGAAGCGTCATCTAGTCCAACACTCTGCAATACAGGAATCCCAGCTGATCCTGGGTTCTTACCAATGGAAGAGTATTGCAAGCTACAAATCAAACCGAAACATAAACATTCCTGTTAATTTCTAGCCTTTAGTCCATGTCAGGTTTCCAAGCTCCACTTCCTCCCTCCCGCAATTTTTACTGCTGTGCTCGAGACATTAATGCAAGAGGTTCTGATAAATTTGCCAAGGTCACCTACAGCAAATAGCTGAATGCCCTTTATTGCAGCTGGCAGGTAGCAATAAATGGGTCTGAGGGAGCCTGCCCAAATAATCCAGATACTAGCGCTTTGTTGCAAAGAGGTGAAGGAAACCCTTTCATTTTTATTTTATTTTTAAAGTACCTAATGTCTTACTATATAGAATGTGCTGCTGGGTGTGCCCAGGAAAAACCCTGGGGTCCCTTCCAACTCTGCAACCCTGCAAGTCTATTTTCCCCCAGCTAGTGTGTTGTAGTGGTTAGAGCGTCAGACTAGGGACCTTCGAGAGTCCAAGGTTTATTTATTTTTTTAAAAAAATATTAAATTTTTATTATTAAAATAATTCAACATTAATACATACATGTTACGACTATACAAACATACATACATTTCATACAATCCTTAAAAATATTCATACATACCCACACTCAATCCCACAAATACTTTATTTTCCCAGCACCTCACCCCTCACCCCACCCTTGTGATAAACTTGCAATCTACTCAATTGCAATTTCTTTCCACTTCTATTACTTTCTTTCACATACTTTTAAACCAATTTTCTGCTTCTTTTTCTGTTACACATTGTTATCCATCTTATTTAGTATTTCAGTATTTATAACAGAACTTGTTTATTCTAATAGGAGTTCTGATTTTTCAATATAATTTTGCAAGTACAGTGGTACCTCAGGTTAAGTACTTAATTCGTTCCGGAGGTCGGTACTTAACCTGAAACTGTTCTTAACCTGAAGCACCAATTTAGCTAATGGGACCTCCCGCTGCTGACGCGCCGCCGGAGCATAATTTCTGTTCTCAACCTGTAGCAAAGTTCTTAACCCGAGGTAATATTTCTGGGTTAGCAGAGTCTGTAACCTGCAGTGTATGTAACCTGAGGTACCACTGTATCCTTTAAACACCTTCCAGTCCTCTTCTCTTTTGAGATCCTTCCAATTTCTCCCATTGTTTTGGATATATTGTAATACTCCAATAATTTGGCAAGCCACTCTGTTTTTGTCGGTATAATACCACTTTTCCAATTTTTTGCAATCAATAGCTTTGCGCCTACTGTTGCGTATAAATATAATGTCTTGTCTTCTTCCTTTAGACTGCCTGGTACTATTCCCAATAGAGAGTCCAGGGTTTATATATCCCCCCAACTGGGCCATGAAGCTCACTAGGTGACCTGTGGGGCCAGCCACTGCCTCTCAGCCTGAGCTACCTCACAGGTTTGTTGTGGGGCTTAAATGAGGGAAAGGACCCCAAGGGTCATCTAGTCCAACCCCCTGCAATGCAGAAATCACAGCTAGGTGTTGATACTAGACTCCCATCAGCCATTAGGTACACCTTTTACGGGTCTGTTTGATACAAGGGAAGTAGCTTTCAAGGTAAATATTTGCCCATCGCTCTCCTCTTTGGATAACTGTAGAAACAGAGATCTTATCAGTTGCTTTATGGTCGAGAGCCTATGGCAGTGGGCAGGTGGTATCACTTAAGGGAGAAGCCCCCTGAATCAGCCTTATTACGCCATCCCAGCAGCCATCTGGTACAAAGTTCTCTCTGTCCGTCTCCAGGAAAGGGGTAGAAAATAAAACTCTGCCAGTCTGGTAATCCCCTGTTGCAAATGGATGAGGCCACCCATGGAATAATGTATTGCTGGGTGGCCATCTGCCAGGGATTATTTAGCTGTGATTCCTGCAACAGCTAGATGACTCTTGGGTTCCCTTCCAATTCTACAGTTCTAGGATTCAATCTCCAAGAGGTGGGAGACTCCAGGGACATACCCTCCAACATTTCTCCAGTGAAAATAGGGACATCCTGTTTCTTCATCATCATCATTTAACTGGGTTTCCCCAGCCATTCTGTGCAGCTTCCAACATATATAAGAACATAATAAAACATTAAACAACTTCCCTATAAGTTGGCAACCATCACGGTCTCCTGCAGGCATGAGTTCCATAGTTCAACTCCTTGCTGCACAAATAAGTCCTTTGTTTTATCTATCTTCCAACATTCAGCTTCATTGGATGTCTATAAGTTATGAGAGAGGGAGAAAAACTTTTCTCTGTCTGCTTTCTCCATGCCATGCATAGCTTTATAGGCCTTTATCATGTCTCCTCTTACTCAACTATTTGCTAAACTAAAAAGTCCCAGATGCTGCAAATAGGGGTGTTGCCCTTCTCCAGGGGACCCTAAGAGTCATTTAGCCTAACCTCCTGAAATGCAGCAATCACTGATATGCCATTCTCTCTGAGGACAGGTGAATAGGCCATATGCAATTGCACCATAGATTTGTATAATGGCATTCTATTGCCTTTTTTATCACTTTATTGAGGCTGTGAATTTGCATTTTATACTTTGCATTTTGCCTTATTGTAGACTTCAACTCCTGACACAGGTACAGTGGTGCCTTGGTAGTCGAACGACTTGGCTCCCAAACAAATTGGCTCCTGAACGCCACAAACCCAGAGGTGATCCAGTTTGCAAATGTTTTTCAGAAGCTGAACATCTGGTGCGCCTTCCGCGACTTCTGGTTGAGTGCAGGATGCTCCTGCAACTATTCAGAAGCTGTGCCTTGGTTTTCGAACCATTTCAGGGGTCGAATGGACTCCCGGAAAGGATTAAAATTGAGAACTAAGGTATCACTGTATTCTGCCATAAGTGGAGAAATGGGCCCACATCTCCCCATGGCTGCTTGATGAACAGCCATCATCACATTCCTGGCAGTACCACATAATGTAATAAGAACAAGATCGTGACTTCTATTAGAATTATAGAATTATTCTATTAGAAAGGCAAAACTGTATTGTATTGTTTGATCTTCTGGAAGCTGAAGAATTTTCAAGGCGCAAATTCAATTTCATTGCATCATATATACACCTACACCCAGTTATTTTCAAGTCAGGGTTTGTAAATTGGCATATGATCATTTCCAGTTGGAATTATATGATCTGTAAACTGGTATAAAGATATAGGGACCCCTGACCATTAGGTCCAGTCGTTACTGACTCTGGGGTTGCGGCGCTCATCTCACTTTATTGGCTGAGGGAGCCGGCGTTTGTCCGCAGACAGCTTCCAGGTCATGTGGCCAGCATGACTAAGCTGCTTCTGGGGAACCAGAGCAGCACACGGAAACACCGTTTACCTTCCCGCCGGAGTGGTACCTATTTATCTACTTGCACTTTGACGTGCTTTCAAACTGCTAGGTTGGCAGGAGCAGGGACCGAGCAACGGGAGCTCACCCCGTCGCGGGGATTTGAACCGCCAACCTTCTGATCGGCAAGTCCTAGGCTCTGTGGTTTAACCCACAGCGCCACCCACGTCCCACACAGCGCCACCCGCGTGGACTTCTTTTGGATGGTTGAGAAATTTGATTCCATTCAGTTGCAGGCCAGCCTCCCTGATTTCCAATTCCCAGAACTGAAAAACAGCACCCATTATTTTATTATTATGGTAGTTATTTTTAAATTTATTATTTATTACATTTCTCTACCTTCATCAGAGGATCACAGGGCAGCTTACAATATAAACACTCAAAAATACATAACAGTCATAAACAAAAACAACAAGCCCCCCAATATTGTGCATTATTGGGCAAAATTGCATGCAAAAATGTGTATATTAAAAGACATTTGCAGTAGAATACTGATTAATTTTCATTATATATATATTTTTAGAAATGTGGAGAACTGAATTGAAACTAGAGAGAAACCAAAACTGAGAGATTTGCCCAAATCAGCGATGCAGATACAGAAACTGACTCAAATCAGGGTCCATTTATTCCAAAATGAGGTGGGAAATCGTGAAAAATGCCGCATTAGGATTCAGTGGCTGAAATGCCAAAAGAGGAATGAATCAATGATTAAGTCAAGCAGATGCACTTAACGAGATGCCCTCCAGATGTTAGTGGGGCTGCACTCCCATATAAGCGGCGGCGCTTAAGGAGGGCGGAGTTGCAGCCGGCCCCCAACATCTGGATACGCCCTCTCTGAAATACGGACTAGATCCAGCTCAGAAACGCAACCCCCCCCCCCCCCGCCGCTGCACAATGGTCTCCTCCTCCCTCTTCGCCCGCTCGCCGAATGACGAGCCGAGCGCTTTTCGCGGGCTGCCGCGGTGCTTGCTGGGAGCCGTACTCCTCCCTTGCTTTCCCGCCTTGCAAGGGAAGCCGGGGACCGGCTTCCCGCCGCGCACGAAATGGAGTCCTCGGCTCCTCCCAGAAGCCGCCGCCCTCCACCTTCCCCAAGATTCCGAGATGGTACGTTCGAGCCAATCAGCCGCCAGTTCCTTTTTGCCGCCACCTCCCGCCCGTCTACATGGTACGTCCCGAGCGCTTAAAGGGAGCCGCACGTGGTTTGTTCGTTCTTTCGCTCGCGCCGCTGCTCGTCTTGCGTTTGGTCTACGGAGGGGAGGAAGGAGACGATGAGGCCTTGCAGGCGCCGAGGTTTGTCCGCGGGGCGGGGAGTGAGGCCGAGCCTCGGGGTTCCTTCAGCACTGGGCCTTTTTCTTGGGAGGGGGGCTTCCTTCTCCGCGGGATGATGATGCCGTGATAGGAAGTGCCGTCAGATGCGAGAACTGACGAGAGATTCCCACCGGCTGACCTCGGAGCAGAGCCACGCGGGCCGCCTTTAACCCCCGTCCCAATAGGGGCCCGTGAAGAAGAAGCCGCCCCCCCCATAACCCCCGCGTGGGGATGGAGGAGGCCGTGGGTCCCCCCTTGAAAGCACGTGGTGGCGAGATCTGGCCTTCCCTAGGGTTGGGCGCTCGTGGAGAGGCTGGATCTGCAGATGCAAACGGAGGATCTGCCCACGCGGTTAGCAGGGGGGACCATATCGGAAGTTATTTTGTCTACCCCATTTGAAATAACGGCCACGGGGGGGGGCAATGGGTTTCCGAAGTGCAGGGTTGTTGCTTTCCAGCTTACACCATAGGCTCATAGAATAATAATGGGGTTTTTTTTTGTTACCCAGCCCATTTGACTGGGTTGCCCAGTCAGTTGACATCACAGCTGGGCTCCTGCAGAACTGGATTCTTCCAGCCTCTTCCTTGAGCCACTTACTTTTGAGGCGGAGGGAGCCCTTCACTTAACTGCCTCCCTGACTTTCGCTCTCTTGTTGCAGGTTTGTTTCATTTGCCACGTGGGGCCAGGCCTGAAGTGGCAGGAGGGAGGATGGATCCTGACCCGCCTGCTTAGAAGCTAGCTGCCCTAAAGGTAAGCCTACAAGTCTCTGAGACAGAGTATTATTTCCTAGGGAAAGCCTCACAGTGATGAAACAAAACCTCAACTAAGCTGGAATTACCGTCAGACTTTTGCTGTTGAGAAGGTTCTTTCTGAGCAATCCACACCCCAGTGGGGAGGAAGTACAGCTGCTTCTGCTCCCTCCACAAAAAATAGCTCTGGTTAACAGGGTTGTCCTTTTTCTCTGCAGGGAGCTGAAGCTGTCTTCTTCCCAAGAGCAGCATTCCTGATTCCTGTGGCCTTGGCTTCAAAGGTATGATGAGGCTTTTTTTATTTCAGAAGTGGGAGGGGAGGTCTTTCTGTGTTCTGGCTGGTGAGGATACTGCTTGAGGATAGCCCAGTTCACATCTAAAGCTATGTTACTGCTTCCTGTGAATGAAAATGTTGCAGCCAGAAGATTGCAAACCACCTGGGCCAAGCCAGTTTGGATTAAGATAGCACAGTAGAGCATGAGACTCCTCATCTCAGGGCCATGGGATCGAGCCCCATGTTGAATTTCTAGATGGCCCTTGTGATCCCTTTCAACTATGATTTTATATATCATTATCCACCTGGATCAGGGCTCATTTGTCCAAATGGATTTAGCACCAGGACTTGGGTTGGAGCAGCTGCAGCCTTCAGTCTGGGAACTAAACTGGCTTGGGGAACATTTTTTGCGTCCGAGAGCCACAATAGGTTGCCGGGGGAGTTCTCTCACCCTTGTTTTAGTGTTACATGTTGAGCAGTCTGTTGAGTAGCAAATGGTGAAGGGGAAACAAATTGGACCCGCGATCCTCTGCTGAAAACCATTTGTACTTTCTTGTTCATAGAGGGTGAGAAGAAGCAACTGTTTGTTTTCTCCTCTGGGTGGCAGCAGGGTCAAGAACAGAGGGCAAGGGATTTCCAAGAGCCTGGAAAAGCCAAATGCTTCCCAGCAAAGAGGTATGTGTGTACCCTTGCCTACACTTGGTCTCTGAGGCCTGGCACATTAGCAGGGCAAATACGTAATGACTGCCTTCAAAGCACTGCACTCTGGTCTCGTAGCGTCTCCTGAATTGCTGTGACTGGGTGTAATTAAGTGTGGTACCACTTGGCCTTAGGTAATCTCCGCTGTAGATTCCTTGTGCCTGCTTCTTCACAGTAGAGTGGAGAGGGGTGAAGATTAAATCATAAGGGCCTATGGTAGGGCTGGGCGATTGCTGGTTTTGAACATCACAATATACCAATATATCACAATGTCTGAAATAAGGGTGGAACTATGTAGAAGCATAGACTGGCTTCATGTTTTTCCCACATCGTGATTTTTGCATAGCACAGACATACGAGAAACTAATATGATACGGACTGGTTTGGGGCAATGTAATTATATATTGCCCAGCCCTAGTGTGTGGTAGATTGTGCAGTTAACTTAAGCAGCGCTGGTCACGGTATTTCTACTGAAATGAGTTTGTTGGAAGGCGTGCCAATTACTGTATTTACATGTGAATTGTCATGATATCTTTCAGGTTAGTGGCTGATGACTTGTTACCACACACAGCTCAAAAGCGGGCCCCCCAGCATTTTCTTCAAGACCTTCCCAGGTGCACCCCACCGCCTCTCTCTCTTTGCATATGGCATACCTGGCAGTGTGGCTGTGACGCCTAGAAATCAAGTAGAGGCTCATTCCAATCCAACTTCATCTTTGCAAAGTTTTGGGAACAGGGCAGAAGACAGAAACCTGTTTTGAAATGTCTCTTCTGTCTGTATGTGGCCACAAATATTTATAAGCTGTGAGAGTGAATAAAACTTACTTTTGAATGTACAACTGCACTGGTTTTTTATGTGTGCCTGAGGGGAAGCGTGCAAACGGGCTAGTCTGCAGGTGTTGGTGGGTTTCAGTTATCACCCTCTGCCAGCATAGCCAGTAGTGTAAAATTCCAGGAGTTGTAGTGTGGAAGGCTGCAAGCTAGCCCTTTTAAGCATAAAGCAAGCCAGGAAACATTGCTTGAGTTTGAGATGCTTCTGGGCCAGAGAGGTGGCCCTCAAATCTAATATTTGCGTGTGCGCACAGAAGAGGTTTAGACTTGGTAGTTCTCGCTATCCTGTTGGTGATAGACCAACCAGTCCCATCATATCCTATGAGCAAGCAGGAGTGACAACCTGCCCACTGCTTCTCAGGCTCTTTCAGAACTTTATATGGCTTTTGCCTTTCCTCTGCTGTATAGCACCAGGCAACATGGAGACATTTTGCCCATCAACAAAGAGTGAGGCTACAGGGATTTATTAATCCTTTCCTGTGAATTTAAGTGGGAGGGGGACAACTTATTTAAACACTGCAGTCCTTTGTGTTGCACCAAAGCCACCTCTATTGAGCTTGCTTATTTGCTCAGGCACCTGTAAGTGTAGCAGCTCACGGGAGAGAAACTTGAAAAATGTGCTTTTGTGTGAATTGATGCCTTGGCAGATACTTTAAAAACACTTTTGAGATTCCCTGATGGAAGTTCAGTTAACCAGAGAGATTTGGCACCAGCAATTTGAGTTAATACGGTGAGAGAGGCTCATTCTATTTGCCGTAGAAGCCTCATGCACAAGGTATGCATAGTTTTGGCACTCAGCCCCTCCTTTGTGTTTTTTTTTAAATGTGCTTTTTATTAGGTTTTCATTTCGTATATCCCTTGTGCACTCTCAAAAGGGGCAGTGTGCTCATTCCCTGTACGGTGAATGGTGGGTAGCTGATTGTTCTGAGACGCTTGGTGAGTCTATCACAGACATGGCCCTCCCTGAGACTGGCATGGTTAGTAATAATAGTCTTAAGCACTGCAGGCTGTGAGGCAGTAAACACTTTATCTCGCAGGCAGCAGGATGTCGCCTTCATTAATGCACCTGCCTGCATTTCCCAAGCAGACAGGTGCATTGATGACTACAAATTGAAGGCTGAAGCTGCACAGGAAGTGAAAATGGAAGGGATAAAGTCATATCTCAGGCATGCTTGTGCCATGCAGCTTTCCCTTATTGCCTCACCCAACTGATTCCATCCAAGGGGAGAAGCCCAATAGATGGCTAAATCTTAGCTGCTGGCATGTAAGCAGTACTACTGGGTGCTCTTTTGAAACGGCCAGAGCTTGTGAGCAACAGCCAGTGGATTTGCTCATTCTGTTCACGTGCCTGGGAGTATCTGGCTCACAATCCAGCATGCAGAGCATTCAGCCTTTTTGTCACAGCAACACTCATTCTGAAGGTGTCGCAGATAAGCCCAGATGCACAAGGGCAAAATCTCAAAGAAACTGGAGCAGAGCTTGGACTGCTGTTTGAACACATGAAGGTGATCAACACAAAGTATCGCTTTTGGGCTCTCAAAATCCTGCCTTCGCTCTTCCAACCAGCTTCAGGTAGTGGGAGAAGAGCCTTGAGGCCCTGCTGCTGCCTCCTGGGCTCTTAACAGAGGCCATTGGTAATGCAGTTACTCTGCCACAGCACCTCCTGTCACTCCCCCTCCCCCTGTGCTAGCCACCCTGGCTAGTAGGCAGAGGAAAGAGCACATTCTTTGGTTCAGTGTCTCCTTGCTTCAGCTGCAGCCTTTGCCTCTTAAGAGCACTATTGCAGGATTAGCTCCCAACACACGAGACGGAGGCTGTCGCTTAAGCTGACAGCTGAGAAACCCTTCTATTTAAATAAAATACTTTTATTGTTACGCCTGCTTGACAAAGCATATAAAAACAGTTTCAGCTACATGCAAACTATGACAACATTTGGAGCCACCGATGGGGGTGGGGGCAGGGTTAGGTTGGTCCCTCTGGAGTGTAAAAGTGGGCACTCCGGTCAACTGAAAATGTGGAGTTGCATTTGTGCCATGGGGAAAACAGCTGAAATAAGCCTGGTCCAGTGTCCCCCGTCCCTCCCCCGTGGATAAGAGGTGTTGGAAGCTGAAACAGGCTTTCCTCTATGAAGATCCTGGCAGTTGTGTAGGGTCTGTTTCAAATTGGGTGTTTACCCAAATTAAAGCACTTAATGCATATGGGGTTACTGACTTAATCCTGGGTGGGTGGAGTGGGAAGTGGTGGCTTACCATGTCCACAGGCAGGCTGGAAAACGACAAGAGCTAATATGCTCGCATGGAGCTGAAGTTCAGCAAGGCCTTAGCTGGCAAACGGTCCACTAGTGGAGGCCCCAGGGCTGTGTTTTGTAAACTAGTAACTCCCCTCTACGGTCTCCTCCTCTGTCACAGTGATGGGAAATCCAAAAGAACCGAAGACACCACACGGAGAGACTGTTGACACACGACAGCTATTTCACACCACAATTGCGACATGAACATCTGGAAGCATTGGCTTGATTCCCTCTGGTATTGTCACCAGAAGCCACATGTTGGTGACCCCTGAAGCAAAGCAGGCCACACTTAAGCCCCAGCAGCTTTGGAGGGGAGAGTGAAGCAAAGGGAGTTTGGCTTTTCCTGCTTTGCTGGATCAACCGACCTAGAATCTGAGGCTTAGGGCTGCAGCTTTTGCACCTGCCTTCATTGCACTGAAACTCAGCATGTTAAATTGTGAGACTCAGCGGCAGGGGAGGGGAGAGGCAAAATCCACTTATTTCTTGCATTGTTGGTGCTAGTGAACAGTGTCTGTTCCCCTGCTGCATGTGGGAATGGGGAGAGAAAGGCAATTTCCCAGTTCTTCTGGATCAGGCTGATGATATGCACTCCTAACATTTGAAAAATCAGCATTTCCCTCAGTTCTGTGGGATAACTGGCCCCCTGCCATTGATGCAAGGATGAAAATCCTTTCCTGAAACTTCTACCACAGAAATACTTGGGAACTTTTTTTAAAAAAGCAATCAATCTGCAACCACTATAAGGAACAGAAAATGAGCAAACGTGAAAGTCCTGGTGAAGAGTTCTGCATAACTGGGAACCTACACCGGACAAAGACTGGCTCAGTAGTGGTGTTGCCTTCTCAGTCTGTCTTTCGTTCTCTGGAACTAAAGAGGCTGCAGCACTAGAGATCTCCCCTCTGCGTTCGTCACAAGATCTTGGGAGTTGAAGGGCTGAGAGCATCACTAATGTGCTGAAGGGTGCAGCCTGCCTCCCCAACCCCACTTCTTTCTGTCCTCTCGTTTATTATCCTCACAAGAGGACCCTCCTCAGTATCCGTGGAGTCTGGGGCCAAGATCCTTGCTGCTGATGCTGCTGTCATCGGGGTGGGAAATGGGTGGGTGTCTGCCGAGAGCATTCTGGCCAAGTGAGAGGTGCCTGCACCTCATGTCTGAAGCAGCCCCAGGGGATCCGCCTCCTCGTCCGCCACCTGACTCTCCAGCAGTCTGACCTCAATCGCCTCGCCTGTCTGCAGCTCTCCGGGACTGGCAGTGCCCACGCTGCTGCTGCCGCCACCGCCACTTGCGTCCTCATCCACGGAAGGCAGACCCTCCTGACTCTCCAAGTCACTCACCTGGCCCTCCCCGAACTCCAGGATGGTGGGGAGGTTCCCCTGGGTGGGGCAGCGTTTCTTGAGGCTGACCAGGAAGGGCTGCGGCAGGGAAAAGATGTCGACGTTGTTGCCCAGGTCGATCCACGTCATGCTGGGGAAGTTCCTGGGGTCCTTCAGCGCCTCTGTCAGGTCCCGCAGGATAGCCTTGGTCAGCCTGTTGCCGTTGAGGGAGAGGGTGGAGAGGTGGGGCAGGGCACTCAGGACGGGCAGCAGCTGCAGGAACACCTCGTCCGTCAGGTCCGTGAAGCAAAGCTCCACGTTCTCGATGTACTCCGAGGTCTGCTGGAGGTAGGGGATGACCCGGTCCAGCTCCTTCAGGGTCAGGGGGATGCCCGACAGGTCGACGGTGTTGTCCCGGGGATTCCCCACCAGGATCATTTTCAAGCTGCAAGAGAAGAGGAAGAGGGGCTTCGTGAATTGTCTCTGCCCAGTCCCTAACCCACACTGCTGGAAGGTGGAGGCACCATGGAGAACCTCCCGTTAAGGACACAAAAAGGAGGAAACGGAAAGAAACCAGGCAGACATTTCAGGGCCAGGTATAAGAGAGGCTCAAGCAGCCATCAGTTTTGATCGTGGCTACGAAATTCCCATGTTTGCTCAGAATTCAGCCCAGGGTTCCCCAAATGGCTAAAGCAGTCCACCTACATTTTTAGGTGAGCAAGCTGTCCTGTAAGGTCAGCAAGTGACAGAGAGGGAGAGAAAACAGGTTCATCTCAACTTCCATATATGTTTGGATAAAAGGCACAGACAGTGCTATTTTTCTAGGGGGGGAATTAGTTAACCCTTGACCAAATAAAATAGTTAATCCTTGACTAGATAACCCTTAGGATCCCTGTCAACTAGGATTCAATCCTACAGAAACACATTTTATTTTTTAAGTTGGGGGGGAATCTACCCCACAGGACAAAGAACCTGGGAGCCCCTCAACTCTATAATGCTCCTCAAGAACATGCTAAGCGGCTCAGGCAGTGGTAGCATCTCCCCCTCAAATGTAATCTGCTGTCCAGCAAAAGAGCTGCAGAGGTTGTGGCTGCCAGATGCTTTCGAGGTGCAAATCTGCTGCCTATGAAATCCCTTCCTCTGGCTTTGTAGGCACCGCCTTACCCCACCATTCTGCAGAGCCTGACGTTGCAGTGGAGAGTCTCTGCCAAGCTCAGAGTCGGCTGCCAGGGCCAGCTGCTCTTCCTCACCCTGCAGAGCCACCTGTGGGTGGCCACTGAGCACCCGCCTTCCCTGCTTGGGGGAAAGGGCTCGCTGACTCACACGAGGACCCTTCTGAACACAAGAGCAGGCAGGCACAGACCCGCAGGCGGAAGCTGGCCAAAAGCAAGGCATTCATCACACGGCTCGTGGCTGGAGCAGAAGGCAGCCCAGATGCACTGTTGTCAGCAGCCCACACAGGCGCCTCAAGAAGCTTCCTTCTGGGGCCTCAGATGCAGGGGGCGGGGCGCTGAAGTCAGTGGCCTCAGCAATGATGCGGAGTCACAGCCATAGTGGCGCCTGGAGAGCATCCAGCCACGCTTTGACCACTCAAAAGCAGAACAAGTCACATCGCTCCCTGAACCAAGTGAGGGGGGCAGAAGCACAGGCATAGCCAGACTTCACCAGTCGCTGCTGGGCTGACTCCTCCTGCCCCTAATCCAATTGTACGACGCAGCACTGCTGAAAAGCAAGGTGGCGGGCAGCTGTATACCCTGTACGCTGTCACCTTGCGCCACGGGGCCCTCTGCTCTTGCTCAGAGGCACATGCGTCGCTGGTTTGTTGTTTTTTAATCCGGTGTCTCTCCCAACCAGCCCAGCCCTTCTGCTCCCGACTGAGCTACTGTCCGTCTGAGATTCGTGGGGGAGGGAATAAAACAGAATATCGGGCATCGTGGTGGCTTTTCTCTCTCTGAATGGAAGACCCTCAAATGAAGAGTTGGCCACACAGAGAACCAGAGAGGGTCTGTGCCAGAGCCAAGCCCTACAAGGGAGGGGTATTCCTGCCTGCTCCTGCTGCAACCCCAGTCAGTCCATGTCCCCCACGCCACCCCGACTGAGGGGGGCAGCTGCAGCCAGGAGAGGGTTCTCCTGCCGGGTGCGGAGCCCTTCTGGTGAACTTGAGAGAAGCATCCGTTTTAAGATGTAAATAATTTGTCCCCTGTGATGCTAAACAGCAAGGAAGGGAAGCCAATTCAGATGCTTGCCTGCCTGCTCTGACCTTCCCGCTGGCTGGCCAGGAGTCAGCCTTGCCAGAAAGGGCAGCAGAGAATCTGAAGTGACAAGTGCCGTTTGTGCCGCTAAAGCGAAGGCAGCAGCTGGCTGGGAGCTGCAGCCTGGAGGGACACAGCCGAGGAAGCAGCAGGAGGTGAAGGAGTTTGCCACGGAGGCTGGGATAGGGGGGAAGGCCACCCCCTGGTGCTCGGTGGCTGAGAACACAACTTAAGAATGAGGCTCAAGATGTCCGCAGGATCTGGAGCCCCGCTCAAGACCCCAGGAGCCGTTCCAGTCCAGCTGCTACCCAGAACGGTTCAATTTTGGCAAAAAGCAGGGAAGAGGAGGGGGCTCCCTTGGAAGAGTCACCCTGTAAAACGTTCGCCCACGTGGGGAAGACGGGCTTGTCAAATGTACATCCTAAAGTTGTTCCCCACCACCGAGAAACAGAGGACGGAGGCAACTCCTGCGAGAGACAAGTGCTGTCTCTGCTTTTTCCAGAGGAGCGATTCCACCCACCTGGGAGCTCGCCTGCCTCCCATCGCAGGCCCGGCCAGCCTGCGTTGCATCGAAACTGCAAATTACTGCATTTAGAGAGAGAGAGAGAACTGCTCCGTAAACAATCCCGTTGCACATTCCTTCCTTACAAAATGGAATCCGCTGCCTTGCTGGCTCCACAGGCTGGCTGTAGTTACGTCTACACGTAAAAACAAACTGCCAGAAAACAGTGGCAGATGGGACAAGAACCCTCTCTCATTTTGGGTGGCGGGAAGACTTGCAGGTGCAGGTGTCGAAGACTTTTCAAGGGCCTTGTGAGCAGAGGGTAGATATCAAGGCGGCAGCTGCTGGGAACAGACCCTTTTCCTCTTGTGCAGCCCTTGTGGTTCACTACCTGCAGCCTCTGCCTGGGGCATTAAAATGCAGACGTTGCTCTGGGAAGTAAATGCAAGTATTTCCTTTCTGACTTTAGCATGATACACAGACAGAGCCTACCAGTTTGTTAGAGGCAGCTGAGGGGGAAATGTCTCCTCCCGCCAGAGTCACGCAACCAGTAAAAAAGTGTGTTTATTTTTTTGGTAAATGTTTTACTTTTTATCAAATAAAATATTTCTGCTTCCAATTGTTCTGAAACTATATAAAAAGTAGGGTGAGGGTACTTAAAAGCCAGGAAAAAGGAGAAGGAAGGAAGGACTCTAATGGAGTAGGATAATAGGGTAGCTGCAAGGGGCTTCAGGGGCCACATGCAAAGGGGTCAAGGGCCATTAACAGCTAAGAGTAATCTATGTAGAGATGCAAGTATTTTCTTCTGAAATTTTAACCAGAATTATCTAAAAGACAAGGGCAGAGTATTAAATTTTAACAACGCAACAAAAAGCATACATTTTTATTCTCTCTCTTTTGCTGCCTTCAATAATAACCCCACAAAATAGTTCTTTCCAAGAGGGTTCATGGCTTAATCACATCATCTGCTGCTACAAAACCCACTTCAATTCGTAGGATGAAAATCACAAAGGGGAAGCGGAGGGGATCCAGGTCACTGTGTGTCACGATGAAAAAGAGGCTCTCCGTTAAAGAAATAACTCCTAAATAAATTAACATTCTGCCTGAAGACAAGAACACAGGGAGGCAGGAGGCATCTTCTTGCCCCTCCAAGATCAGCAGGGATTTCCCCCTGGAGGGAAACTTCAAAGTGTTTCCAATTTCTCTGACAGCAGGTTGGCAGATGAAGCCAAACAGAAATTAATCTCCAATTAATCTGAACAAAGATTAGAAGGAAGGCTGGTGCCCAGCCAGGATCACTCAGGGTGAGATGGTTTTTTTCTTTTAGCGGGGGTGGGAGTAAGGAAGCCAGGAAAGAACCCCTACCTATCCCTGTCTTACTTTACCCAGCAACAGAGCATCTCCACCTAGGCACATCCTACAACCTGCAAGCTCACTCTCTCCTCTGGCTCCTGAGCTCACAAGAGGCTTCAGTCCGCATTTCCCCTGTCAGAGGGAGGGGAAGCCCAGCCTTTATGAGCAGTGCACAGTAGGTACAAAATAAAATAGGCAATAACAATACGCTTAAATGTAATATAGCACCGTGTATTGCAAGCACTACAGCAGGCAGAAAAACCATTACGTGCCCCCCCAAGGCCCTGAGAAATTGTCAGGCACTTGGGGGGGGGGTGGATAGGAAACTTGCTTTATTGTATTTGTACATCATATTTTAAGGCACCTTGATATCCTGTGTGAGTGGGCAGCATACAAATATTTTTTATCAATCAGCAACGTCAGCACAGAGAAGCAACAAACAGCCAAAGCCAGCCACATTTTGCACGGAGAGGCTGGCACAGCCGCTCTTAACTCTGCACTGTTCTTTCTGCAAGATTTACGGGTCTCCAGGTGCTTATGAAGCCAACCCTGGAGGGGGTGGGGGGAATCCCTCCACACAAGAGAGACAATAACAGCCCTACTGCGCCAGGCCTCCTCTTCCTCCTCCTTTACATGCTCCAGCTTATCTGCATGCCCAGCGAGGCCTCTGCAATGGCAGGAAGGGATTGGCGCAGCAGAGAAAGTGGGGGCTGGAAGAGATAGGAGGAAGCTCCCATGGAGCCAGGCCAGACCCTACAGAAATGGGAACATCCCTAACCAGAGCTGAGCTCATTTGCTTTGCTTTGCAAACTCTTTGAGCTCTGTGTGTGTGTGTGTGTGTGTGTGTGTGTGTGTGTGTGTGTGTGTTGTGCTTGCAGAAAAGAGAGAGCAAAGGAGGTCACTCACTTAGGTCAGCCAAATCTGCTCAGCCTCCAGAGACCATTCTTGCTGGGAACGCAGAAGGATTCCTGGTGGCAGCAAAAGGCTCCCTTCTCCTCCCAGCAAGGAAAGACAGGGGCTCAACCACTATTCATCTTTTAATAATACAGTGGTACCGCGGGTTAATAACTTAATTCGTTTCGGAGGTCTGTTCTTAACCAGCAGGCCTCTTGCTGCCGCTGTGCCGCTGGAGCACAATTTCTGTTCTCATCCTGAAGCAAAGTTCTTAACCCGAGGTAATATTTCTGGGTTAGCGGAGTCTGTAACCTGAAGCGTATGTAACCCGAGGTGCCACTGTAATAGTATCGTCATCCTCGTTGGCTCGTAATTACATTTGGAAAGGTGGAGGTTCTCTGTTTTTCTTGGCAGCTTCTGACAGCCGCCTTTGCCCACCTGACTCTATTCCACAAAATGTGGAATGCAACATCTCTTTTGTTTTAAAAACCGGGCATTTCTATCTGTACCATTTTGTCTGCTTAAATCTTTGCCCCCCAATATTCCCCAAATCCCGCCCCTGCCAGCCCTAGCTGCTAATTGGTGAGGTGTTGGGGGAGGAAGGGGCCCACAGTTACTTCTGGGAAAGATGACTTGGTCTGTCTTAAGAGGCAGAGATGGGAAGTGGGGGCGGAGGGGGGAGAGGGGATGGGAAAATGCCAGGAGCTCTGCACCCTCAGTTTCTTCCTATTTTAACAATTTTTCCAACAGGAAGACTGGGAATGTTGGAAACGGCTGAAAAACAACAGCTCCCTATGAAATATTCTGTTTTCGAAGGATTGACAATTCTTCTAAAGACAAGGTTTTGCTCAGTGACACACTGTAATGTGAAGTTTTGTTTCAGGCCAGACAAAATCTATAGCATTAGAGAAGGTTTTCCTTGAAGTTTCCAACCCATTGGGCCTACTTGAGGCAGCTGAAAATGGGTGGTGGTGCAGGGGCAGAGCCAGTCCTAAGGGACAGCATAATCAGCTGGCAACTAGCAAAATCACTTTCGGCCTGCTATCTAATCCATCTTTCGAAACTGCTAAATAGTTCGCCATAGCAGTTGCCTTGTGGCACAGAGTTCCACAGCCTCAAGAAAACTGCTGGCTGCCAACGTCTGGAGGGCACGAGATGGGGAAAGGCCACCCTAAGTGGAGAAGGCTTGTTCTTTTATATTTTCCTGCCCCAAAGTACTTTTACCTACCCCCTGGAATGTCTTCTCCCATTCTCAGATCTATCTGATAAGAAAAGCCCCACTTCTGCCAAAAGGAATCATTCGTACGCAGATCACTTGGGGGCACGAACTTGGCTTATATGGCTTCTGCCCAAATCAAACCCTGTGCTGGCCTGAGAAGGCTCCTCTGGCTTCAGGGCCAGCCCCACCAAGCCACAGACTCAAGACGCAAAAATGCCACTGCTAGGAATTTATGTGGAAGGGTTCTGCCATCCCTGTCCAAAGCCCCAAGTGGGTTGCAAAGGTAGAGCTCTCCCTGGGGCCTGCTGGCCTCCACGTTCCCTCCTCCCCTGCAACAAAACCCCCCTCCCACCCACAATGGCCTTTGCACACACAAACTGGTCCCAGAGAGACGGCGCTGCCTGAGAGGTTTTCTCTGCCCCAGAATAGGCCTTTTGCACTCCAGCTACCGACTTGCATCTCTTGACAGGAAATAATGCAATCAAGTCTGTTAGAAGTCAGGAACACACACACTGAGCAAACTGCTAATTAAAAATGGGGCTGGTAATTAGAAACATCCAACCAAATCCTTTAATTTATGCTTCAGAGAGTTCCTCGGGTCTCTTGTCTTCCCAAAGGGTCCTCACGGCCACATCAAGAGTAACCAGGATTATATCCGACTTAAGTGGACATCAGCGCAGGGGGTGGGCTGCAGGCCATGTCCCCTCCCACCCGCCCCCATCATATCCTAGACAGACCAGGCTTTGCTGGGCATACAAAAGAAGTATTTGCTTATTCAGGCCATGCTTCAAAGCCACTCCAAGCCTCTTTTCTGTTTTGGTGGGGGACATAAAGGGTCTGAAGGTGCCCCAACCAGCTGGTCGCAGCCCCCAGCAGGAAACTCCTAGCCTGGAGAGGGCAGGGCAGGAGACAGCAGGAAAAGAGGCTTCGGTGAGAATGGAGAAGAGAGAAAAGGACCACAGTGTGAGGGTGGCAGCCCACAGAAAGCGCTAGTTGGGCAGCTGAACTGGGCACTCCACCAGCCTCATCTGCTTTCCAAGTACCAGCCCCGATCCAACAGCCCTCCTGACATTTTGCCATTTTACCATTCAAGGCACGCAGGGGACAGACAGTGCCTCCAAGGAGGGCCTGGCTCACCCCATGTGCTCCAACATCACAGAAAAGGCCAGAAGACAGAGTTCATTAGCTCACAGAGCCCAGAGTCTTCTCACCAAATGCTGCCACCCACTGAAGGCGAGATTTCCTGTCTTTTTTTCTTCCTTGGCTGAACAGACAGACGTTAAATGACTGGGACAGCTCTGCTGGTAGAGCAGGAGACTTTTCATCTCAGGGTTCGAGCCCCACAATGGGCAAAAGATTCCTGCATTGCAGGGGGGTTGGACTAGATGTGACCCTTAGGGTCCTTCCAACTCTGTGGTCAGGAGGAGGCACAAGTCATTTTGCAGTGACTTGGGATGGAGGTTCCTTTGCACTGCTGGTGGCTCCACCTCTGCCCCAAGCCCGCCCGTCCCACCCTCAGCTCCCCCACGAACGCCCCTCTACCAGTCCCGTCCCCCCCCCCAGCCTCACTCACCAGGCCTGCGGCTTCCTCTTCACAATGCCCTGGCGTCGCCACTGAGAGTGGGGACTCAGGTGGTAAGTCAGCTGCCTGCAGAGCTTCTCCATGGTTCCCAGAGAGTCACCTTCCTGCAAGAGGAATTGGGAAGGGGGTCAGTTGCACAGGCACCAGTCAACATAGCAGTGATTTCATACTCTTTATTGCAGCTGCTAAAACAGTGATTGAGTTTCCCCCCTAAACCTCAGGCCCTTATATACATTGTTTACAAAGTGAGTCCCGTCTGATTGGCTGATTCTGCTTCCCTCCTGGAGCCTGATTGGTCTTCTGCAGGCCAATCAGTTGTTGTAATCTATAATCCTACCAGCCTAATAGGCTGATTAACTTCCTCCTGGAGCCTGATTGGTCTTCTCCTGCAAGCAAATCAGTTGTTGCATTCTAGGATCCTACCTGCCTATTGTTCTAGGATCCAGGCTTAGTACATAACAAGGAGGAAGAGCAGGCAGAACAGCCTCTGTGCCTCCGCCAGCTCCTGGGCTGGGGGGAGGCTTTTAAACTCCCACCCCATTCACCTTACCCAGGCCAGCTAGAAAACAAAATATCAGCAGGACATTTCTCCTTACGATGCAACATCACTGGGAGGTTCAGCTAAGCTAGGCCTGGTCGGATGGCTGCCTCTCAAGGATTCTTCAGCTGAGATTCCCATATTGGTGGGGCCTGGGTTGGTTACCCTTGGGGTCCCTTCAAAGCCTATGGTTCCATTACTCAATAAGCTCTTTGCCATCCCATCTAGAGCATGAGGCATCCTAAGGCAACTTCAAATAGCGCATCTAATTAAAAAGGGCCCATGCATGCTTTTCCAGCTCAATCCCACCACTCCAAACTTTATTGGAAGACCACCCTCCACCCCGTCCCCCCAAGCATTTGCTGGCTTAAGCAGGCAGGGCGGTTGATGCTGCCAGCTTCACATGGTCAGTTTGGCATCTTCATATGACAATGGCAGTAAAGGTAAAGGGACCCCTGACCACTAGGTCCAGTCATGGCCGACTCTGGGGTTGCGGCGCTCATCTCACTTTATTGGCCGAGGGAGCCAGCATACAGCTTCCGGGTCATGTGGCCAGCATGACTAAGCCGCTTCTGGCAAACCAGAGCAGCGCACGGAAACGCCGTTTACCTTCCCACCGGAGCGGTACCTATTCATCTACTTGCACTTTGACGTGCTATCGAACTGATAGATTGACAGGAGCAGGGACCGAGCAACGGGAGCTCACACCGTCGCGGGGATTCGAACCACCGACCTTCTGATCGGCAAGTCCTAGGCTCTGTGGCTTAACCCGCAGAGAAAGCCCCAAATCAGAACCATGGCAAGGGAGGAAGAGGTGGCAGGTGGAGCCCCATCTGACTCCTGGGGCCGTAAAAGTATGTTTGTCTGAGTCAACTGAGGGTTCCCTGCTCAGCCTTCACCAAGCCAAACCAAGATGGATGAGCCTCAGTTCAGAAGATGATGCGGACAGGGAGCTCAGCAGATCCACCTGCCTCTGGCTGCAGGAGGCAACCCTCCTGCTGCACCGCAAACACTCACGTTCCTAGCACAAAGGCAGCCAGAGGGAGGAGGCAAAGTCCAGGAAGACACCCTGGTCAGCATCCCTGAGAGCAGCGCTCCCAACAGGACAAAGAAAACACACGGGATGGAGTTGGGAACAGCCTGCTAAATGAGTAGAGCAGAGCTATATGGCTTGGCCTTTTGTGCTGGCAAAGGCAGCTCGCTGACCAGCCCAAAGCCAGCAGCCTGCTCTCACCCATCAAATTTACAGCTCCTTGAGCACCTGCTCTGGCTCTTGTCCCCTTGTCAGCCATGTGGGGTCAAACTCCACTGCTTCCAAAGGGCAAATGGGGGAGCGGAGCACGCTTGTCTCCTTCTACAGTCATTGAAAGGAGGGCAGAGAGGAGGCCAATGGGCTCTCAGCACCAACGCACATACTTGGAGATTAAAACGTAGCTTACGACATGAAAACAATAGAAACCTATGACAAAAGTGGTCATAAACAATAAAGGAAACATTTTTTAAAAATACAAAACCAAACCGAACAATTGCCACATACAGTGGTACCTCTAGTTATGAACTTAATTCGTTCCGGAGGTCCGTTATTAACCTGAAACTGTTCTTAACTAGAGGCGTGCTTTCACGAATGGGGCCTCTTGCTGCCGCTGCACCACCGGGACACAATTTCCGTTCTCATCCTGGGGCAAAGTTCTCAACTCGAGGTAACTCTTCCAGGTTAGCGGAGTTTGTAACCTAAAGTGTTTGTAACCTGAGGCGTTTGTAACTCAAGGTACCACTGTAAATCGCTACAAAATCTAAAATAAAGATGCGATGCGAGAAACCAACGGCAATAATCCCTCCGCTCCCATAAACAACACACATCTCAGCAAGAAATAGAGACCTGACACTGGAAATAATCCATAGGTGGTCTTTACCACTCGCAGACTGGCTTATGCAGCTCCTTCTTCCTTGCCAAGATGCTGGAGTGGTTGCCAAGAAACTACTACACGTATATACATGTGTGGTGGTCCTGTGCCAAAGTACAGCTCTTCTGGAACTCAATTTTTCAAGAAATAGGTAAAATTGTTGACCGTGAGATCGTTGCCTCCCTGCAGATAGCACTCCTAAATCTATTTGAAACTGGAAATGTCCCCACACACTGCAGAGAGATGGTGTTGCATTTATTATTGGCCACCAGGGCTATTCTTGCCAGGCACTGGAAAGACTTAAATGGGGCTGCCCTCTTGGCATAGTACAACAAAGTGGGTGAGATGGTGCCGTTGGAAAAACTTACTTGCAAATTAAAAGTAGCAAGAGGGCAAAATAAAACTAATGAATTCTCTGCAATATGGCATGCTTTTTTTATTAAGCATGTAAAGGATGGTTTGCACAATTTGAACCTGCATCCAGCATTCAGAAGTCTATGGTTGCTTTAAGAAAATATAGGCCACAACTTTCCTTCTCCCTATATGCTCATGTTACTGTTAAGAAATGTACAAATAAGCTCCGAATTGATACCGATTCCCTCCCCATCCTGACCTGTCCGTTGCTTATTGCATAATTTTGTAATATATATCTTTTAAAATAAGTGCCTTTAATATTTTGCAAACTACAGTGGTGCCTCGCAAGACGAAATTAATTCGTTCCGCGAGTTTTTTCGTCTAGCGAATTTTTCGTCTTGCGAAGCACGGTGTCGGAAAAGTTTTGGAAAAGCTTCAAAAATCACCAAAAACCTCAAAAAAGGCTACCACACCGCGTTCTATGAGTTGCTCCTCAAAGTCAAGTCGCAACTGTATTAACGGTGTTAAGAAAAAGGAAACAAACTTGCAAAAAACGCAAGACATTTTCGTCTTGTGAAGCGAGCCCATAGGGAAATTTGTCTTGCGAAGCAGCTAAAAAACCACAAAACCCTTTCGTCTAGCGAGTTTTTCGTCTTGCGAGGCATTCGTCTTGCGGGGCACCACTGTATATTTATGACTATTTTGAAACACTGATTTTTTTTTTTAATGAAACAAAAAGCCACTTCCCTGTCCCCATCTTGCTCCGAGAGAATTAAGACATAGTGTCAGTCGTGCATGAGTATGGTCCAGGTCTCCGCTGCCGCCCCCCCTCCACTTCACAACAGAGCACCTTCCTCTGTGGGTGCCAGAACTAAAGACAGCTGGTCTGGTCTGGCTGGCTGCCATTCTTGAGGGCAGGAAAGGCAAACTGCCACCCCCGTTCCGCTGGTCTCTGGGATTCGGTCTAGGCTAGGCCATGAGGGCTCCCTATTCTCACAGGCTGCAGAGGGCCGAGAGCTCCCTTTGCTGGTAGGGTTGTGTGTTGCGTTTGTGGGACTCTGCACAGAAGCAAAACTTGGAATCTCAGGAAGGATTCTCAGGTCAGCAGGCAGGGTTGGGTGGGGGTGGAGCTCCTAGCAGGGACTGGTGACTCAGCCAGGTGCCGTGTGCCCCCCACCCCTCCCCACAACAGGAAAGCAACTAATTGCTCCATCCAAGCCAGCCCCCTGCTGAATTACTGCATGAATTCTTTATCAAGCTGCGTGAAATATTCATGGCGACCTATTTTACAAAGCAAGATATGGACCACGGAGGGCAGGTAGCAGTGCACTGTGGATCATTCCTCCTGCTTCGGAGGGGCTGGAGGAAGGAAGGAGAGCTTTGGGAGGCCTTGGCATGGGACGGGCAGGGCATTCCTTGAAGTGGGAATCTAACTGGTCCTATCAGTTAGGCGACCGCCCAGAGGCCATGTCACCATGTGCAAAAACAAGGCCATGTGCAGCAGCCCTGCTCCGTGGGTGGACACAGGCTGGATGGTGACATTTGGGAAGACTGTGGGTCTTTGTAGACAAGCAGAGAGAGAGAGAAGAAAATATATTTGTGCAGCAAAAGCAAAGACAGCGGACTCATAACTGAAAGCGGGTTTTTGTTCTACCAGGAGAACAAACCTTTTATTCAAAGTCCTCCAGCATAAGGCAAAAGCACCTTTGCTCAGTTGTGTCACCCTGAGCCCTTGTGACTTCACAGTGGTGACGCTCCCAGCCCTTCCCAGAGGCCAAACATGCAGCATCTTCCCAGAGAAGACCAGAATGCCAAAGACTCCCATCAGGGGAAGTAGCAATCTGCTCCAGACTAATTTTGGGCTTGGCAACCGGCTGCAATCTGACTCGGAGAACCTGTGGGGAGAGACTCCGTGTTCCCTTCTCTGCAACATCCTTTTGGGGACACAGAGGATGCGCTGGCCCAGTTTGTCACCAGCAGACGCCGGGCCGCCATCACGTCCCACAGCAAGAGCACCGGCATGAACATCTCGCAGCCAAGGAGGCCGAAGGAGAGACGCTAAGCCAGAGAAATGCTAACTGGCAATGCAGAGCTGAGAGATGGTGCAGGGTGTGTAGTGTGTGTGTGTGTACGGTGCATAGCAAGCAGGTTTCTGAATTTGCTGTCCTGGAGACCAAACAGAGGGTCGCAGGAGAAGTACCAGCAGATGGGTGTTCTAAGAAGTGCTGGAGCCGCATTGGCCACAGCCCCAGTAAAAACCTGAGTGTCATTCTGTGCAACAAAAGAGAAGGAAAGAGCAACTGGAAGAATTTACATTGGCAATGGGAACCCAGGGACTGAGACTTCCTTTTTCTTGCTCACACATCTCCAGGCTTGCTTTAACCATCCTAACAGAGAGGCGCTTTGTTTAGAAAGGGAAAAAATGCCAAATGAATAACATTCAGAAACGTGGTTGCTCCACCTGCCCCCCCTTGGCCACCACTACTGACCAGGTCCATCCCCAAAACCCAGGTGGGGGGAAAAGTAGGTGCCACCTAAGATGGCCGCCTCCTTGCACACATAGCTACACCCACACCCAGCTCCATGAATCAATTCCAATAAAATAAAATAAAATAAAATGCCCAACTCCAGCAAGCCTCTCTTCTGAAACCTTGCCCCAGAGACCTCTGAAACCTCACTAACTCAGCCTGCAGGTTAAGGAGCCTTGCTCAGGGCAACTGCATTCACACAGGAGCCCAAATGCTGAAATGAAAAACAGAGTGTTCCTTTTCGCTCCTAGCGACTATCCAAATGCAGCTGGAGTAAACAACGCATCATACGCCATTTTATAAAAAACAAAAATACTGTTAACTTTAAGGAATTCTATTTGTTGTTTATTCAGTTGTCAACAAGCATGTTTTAATGACGACAGCGAGGGAGGAGCCTGTTTCAAGGAAATGAGGGTTTATTAGCGGTCAAAGCTGCATCATTTGGCTGCAGCCACCAATGTGCCCCTGCTTTCCAAACAACACGCCCTCTGCATGTATGCCTGTTCCCCCTGCAAGTCTTTCTTCCTCTGCTGCCGCCCATCTCCTTGATTAAGTCGTTCATCTCACCCACATTAAGTCTGTTCGACCCACTTGCTGCACAGCAGGGGGTTTTTTGGGTGGGGGAGAAGAAAAATATCCTGAGCCTTCACTCTGCATATCCCAGCCCCCCACTCTCAGTTAAAGGGAAGATTCTCATCGCAGTTCCTCACCTGTAGAAAAACAAGATTTGCCTGAGGGGGGAAAGAATCAATACACTTCCTACCTGTTTAGTAACTCACAACCCTCAATTACGTTATTAAATGAACTGAACTCAAACGGCAATTACTCTCGCAAAGCATCAATAAAACATTGCAGCACCAGTCGCTCAGAGCTGGCCCATCACCTCTTTCTGGAGCAGCACCACTTTCCAGGGATGGGATTGCTAGTCCAGGATCCCTGCTCGGATAGGAAGCATTGGCTTGGTTTAAACCCTGAAAACATTATTGTTGGGGGTTTTTTTAAGGGTCGTGTAGACTGCATCAGCTTATCTGGAAGGCTGTGGGTGCCTGTGTAGAGAGATGTCTCACTGGCAGGGAGCTCGCCCTGGAACACACAACCAACCCTGCAAGGTTGGCTCCCAAGGGCAGCGGCTGGTTGACCAAAGATTCACCCACAACCTTCAGAGGCTGGAGTCAGAGGGATCAACCCTTGGAAATTCCAGTCCATCTGCAGCAGCTTTCCCCAACCTGGACCTCCCATCTTCCCCAGCCAGCATGGCCAGGGATGGTGGAAGCTGGAGGCCAAGGCTGGGTAAGGCTGACCAATGGTCAGGGCCAAGACCTTTGGGGGGGAAACCTGGAAATGGTATTAGCATGGGTGTTGGATGTATGTCGGTCAGCGCTGAGTGGCTACAGTAACAAAGGGAGGTGTGGAAGGCTGTGGCTTATGGACAGGCAAGAAATGGAGGCATGTCTCCCCCAGGAGAGGAGCCGAGCCAAGAATGAGCCCAGCCCTGAGCAAGCAGGAAGAACAAAGCCAAGGAGAAGAAAGTCGTAGACTCTTCTGAACTTCCCTCCCCCACATCAGAAGAGCAAAAAAGCATCTCCCCTCCCATCAGATGCAGCTGCAGAGAGTAACCCAGAAATCTCAAGAGACTGCCATCATCAGCTGAAGACTTGTCTGTGAAAATCTCCCAGGAGAAATCTAATCCCATTATAGGGAGCGATAAGCAAAGGCTGCCTGGAGGGAGAGGAAGGCGAGACAAGGAGGGGGCAGCCGGGAGGCAGGTGCGTCGTCACCTTGAGGAGTGCATGGGGGACACTGGGCCGAGTTCACGGAAATGAACGGACCTCACTTAGTCATGCTCCTTCGTTTCAGTAGAGCTAGTCTGAGCAAAACTTAGTGCAATGCCACTAATGAAGTTTATCATGGCAGAAAATTGTCAGCTTCTGCCAATCATGTTAACATGCCGCACTCTGCTGCAGAGGAGACTTGGACTTTGAGGGATGGGGAGGGGTGTAGTTGGGTGTCACTTCCCCAGCCCCAAACAGGCTGCCTCTTCTGCATGTTTTGCTCTTTTAAACGGTAATAAAATGTAGGAATGACTGCAAGAGAAGGAGAGGGGCCAGCAATGCCTGACTCTGGACTGGGCATGTAACTCTCCCTCCCACCCCACCCCAGTCAACATGGCCAGACTTTGGAATATCAAAGTCCAGAGCTTATGAACACACCCACAACATGCCTCCTCTTGAGAAGGAGGAAGCAGCAGCTATCGCCCCCCTGCCCCCAGCTTCTCACTCTTCCTTTCAACAGCCCAAAGCAAACCCCACCAAGCACTCACCGGTTTGGGGCAGTGGATGTACCTGGCCAGGCTGATGATCAGGTCATGGGTAATTGGATCAACTAGGTTCCTGAAGCTGGCGTAGCGATACAGGACGTCATCCAGCGAAGTTGACTCCATGCCCAGGTCCTGCAAAGGAGCAAAGCCAGTCAGGTGGGAGGGCACCTTGGAGTGCCCAGGCAAACCAGGCAAACTTCAGCAACTGGACAATGCCAGCAGCCACAGCCCTGCAATCGCACCCAGAGCCGACACCCAAACGTTCAGGAAGGCTGCACTACAAGGCCACTACCCCACCATACCCCAGTATTTGAGGATTTTAGGGTTGGGGCTGTCTTGACCCGAGAAGCTGCCTAAGTCTGGATGGGCACCACTAAGTAGATAAGAGGTGCCAGCTGGATCAGGCCAAAGGCCTCTCTTCAGTGGCCACCCAGATGCCCCCAATGAGAAGGCTGCATTCTGGGCATAAGTGTAAGACAGGGGTCAGCAACCTTTTTCAGCCATGGGCTGGTCCACCATCCCTCAGACCATGTGGTGGCCCGGACTATATTTTTTGGGGGGGAAATGAATGAATTCTTATGCCCCACAAATAACCGAGAGAGGCATTTTAAATAAAAGCACACATTCTACTCATGTAAAAACACGCTGATTCCCGGACCGTCCGCAGGCCAGAATGAGAAAGCGATTGGGCTGCCTCTGGCCCCCGGGCCTTAGGTTGCCTACCCCTGGTGTAAGAGCACCCCTGAAGTGGGAGAAGGAGCAGAGGTCATTTGACTCTCTTCCTCACACGCCAACTGTTTGCTGAGGCACCTGATGGGTCGAGTGGACTTGTAGGGCTGTGTGGGTCAAGGAGGGAAGGGTGAGTTTTCCTCCCACTCATCCACATTGCTCAACCAGCCAGGTGGGTCACATTGATGCCCCCATGGCCCTGGACCAACTTCTGCTCCCTCACTCCTTGGCAGCTCCACTTGCAAGAGGAGATTTGAACAGGCCCCTCTGAAAGGGAAAGGTCCCTAGGTGGGCAGAACCGCAGGCACAGGCAGCAATGGGGAGCAGCCCCACACAGATTCAGGCCAATTGCTCAACTGCATCTCCACTCTAACTTTTGAAAACAGGAGGAGGGTGGGTGGGTGTTCCTTCCCACAGAAGGGGTCTTGGTGGGTAGGTGGGAGACAACAATATGAAACCTCGTCAGCGCAACCAAAAAGGTTTATTTCTGCCTGGGATCCCTTATGCTGCTCTGGGGAACCTGCTGCTTCCCCAATTTTCATTCATTCCAATGTGTGACCTGAGCAGTGGTTGGATGGAACAGGGTGTCAGAAACTGAACTCCTGCCAGCCCTGTCAGCTGGAGAAGGAAGGTGAGCCATCAAGTCTGGCAAAGCCACCCATTGACACTTGAAAACCAGCCAGGATCAAGTGGAGGTTGCTGGGGGAGCAATTGCATCATGTCACTGTGAGCACTTCTGGATCCCTTAGGGGATGTTCTGAAACACAGAGCCCATAAAATTCTGCCCCTCTCCCATCTTGAAATGAGCATTCAGCGCACGCACACACAAGCCCCAAATTGCTGCAGCACAGTGATGCTTCCCCTCCCCACCCTATAGTTGAAACCTCCCCAAGTGAGAGCAGCATCCAAGCCAGATGAGCTCATCCCTGGCACAGTCTGTCACTGAGAGTCTGACTTGACTGGGCAAATTGCCTCCCAGCTGAGCACACTGGGCTATCTATCAACCAAGACGGCTGTTAACAAACCTCCCCAGTAAACAGGGGGAAGTAGGGGAGGAAGGAAGGTGGTTTAGGGCCTGTGCCAATGGGCTCCTGTATCTGTTCTGAACACTGAGGAGTGAAACCCCCTTCTGTGCAAGGACTCTCAGCAGCCCCCTTTTATTGCATTTCCTGCAAGGAATTTTGTGCAAATACCCCCATAGCAAGAGCACCATGCACCCGCACTGCTTCTCTGTGCATGAAGTAAACTCCACCTTGTGATTTGCAGAAATACCCACTCTGTGTGCAAAAGGAATTCAGGGAGTTCCTGAGGCAGAGAGAGAGAGTGCTTGAAATGCAGAGGGGTCTCTTCCCACTCCAGAGATCATCAACTTGTTAAAGTGCTGGTGGAGGTGATCACATGCCCCTTTTTTTTTGCTCTCCAGCAAAAAGACTCAACAAGCCATTTCAAATAGCATAAGAGAGAGATGCCAGTTTGCTTGGTGGTTGGGCCCTTTCGTGGGCTAGTCCACATGTATCATCAGTCTACCACCCCACCATAGAATTTGTCACTGGAATGGGCTTCAGTGGCTGGGAAGCCGGGACCACTTCACCTGAACCACCTTCAGCTGCACAATGGGCCAAGGCCACAGGGGCAGCTTCAAGCAAGTCATTTGCAACCACAACAGAAAGTCACAACAAGAAGAGAGAGAAACGAGGACACTCTTGTTCCAAAGCTGAGATGAAACGTGCAACACACAGAGCATCTTTTGGGCAGAATATGCAAAGAAAGAGAAGGAACTGCCAGACACAGACATCAGTTGAGCAACAGCGACTGACCATTTCTGTCGAATTTGGCAACAGCAAATAATGTAGCAACAGAGCTGACACACTGCCTTTGTTCCACAAACAGGAAGCAAATCTTTAAGTGACCCGACAACTTGGATAAGGGCTCCAGAAACCCGGGTTTCTCCACAAGTCAATGGACCTTGGGGTGGGGGGTGGGGAACAGAATGCAAGGCCTTTCCCATCCCCATCCAAAATAAAAAATGCCCATCAAGAAGGATAGATGACACCAAGTGAGCGCCAAGCCTTGCCAAAGCCATCACCCAGAAGACAGCACTGATGACTGATGTCAGTCTGGGCAAAATTTGGGAGAGGAGCATTTTATCCCAGTGAAAACAGAGCTGCAGGTAATTCTCTCGAGGCCAAACTGCAAGCCTTTCCAAAATAGTGTCAGCTTCTTCTGAGCTGTCACATCAAGGATCCCCCCCCCCCCCGAGATGAATGCCGACTGTCTGGGCATATGACTCAAGTGGCCGTGAGTCCTTGGTGCCTCTGGGCCTGAACAGAGACAGAGCAAGAGCAGCAGGACTCAAAGATATGGATCCTAGGAGCTCTCCTGCTCAGAAGTCCCATAGGACAAGAAAGTCCTACCTTAAGAAACATTGGGCTCACTAAGAAACTGGCCTGGACACTTTCCCCATTATCTCAGACATTATCTCAGACATTAAAATAACCCTTGCCTGCCTCTCAAGGGATTCACATTTTAGCGTCTGAGCACCTGACCTCGAAGGGAGGTGATCATGGTGGAACCATGATTAAAGATGGTAGCAGTCGTGGGGTCAGATGACCTTGAGTCATGACGGGCAGGATTTTAAGGATTCCTGTTCTAGAGACTCTTTAGCTTGTGAAGACATCCTGGGAGCAGCACCCACTATTTTGGGGAGCTAGAGACGAGGAATTTACATTCCCACATCCTTTTAACAGCCCAGCCCTCCCAGTTCTCCACTTCTTCCACCTTTCCCCACACCGAAATGACCACCCGTGGGGCTACCACAACCTGATTACAGGAAAGCTGTTATTTCACTCCATATCGTCCCCATAAACTTTTCCAATTCCCATTAACACACTCAGTATGCAAATACTGTATAGGGCTGCCATACAACTGGGATTTCTCAAACGATACGGGGTTTGCCCATTGAAAATAGCATCCGGGCAGAATTTCTGAAAATTGGTAGAAAATGTCCAGGAAAACCTGAACATATAGCAACCCATGTCGGAAGTGTTGATTTTTTGGTGAATTTCCTTAAAAATAGCTCAAAAACTTCAATTATGTGACAACCCTAGGAATTATAACAGCTATCAAACTTCCTTCTGTCTCAACAACTCCAGCCACCACTGAAACTCTGTCCTTTTCTGTCTCTTTTAACTACTTTACTTCCTCTTCCTCCTCCTCATGCTGTAGCAAAGTTTGTTTCTCCAAATGGGCAGCTGCTGTTCCCACTAGAAGTGCCAGGCTCCCACAGTGAATCCCTTGACTCCCCAACATTTACCCACTTTAACAGACTCCTCACTCCTATATCCCTTTTCCAAACTCCCGGCTGTTCTCTGGGCCCATCCAGCACAACTGAGGGCTCAGGAAGGGGGAGCTAGTAGCTGCCTGCCGGTTCCCAGGCCCTGGGTCCTTGCCCTCTGGCTCTTAGGGCAGCCCTTTCCTTGGAAGAAGATCCAGAGCAACTTGAACTCCTTTGGGGCTCCTTATGTGAGGCAGCAGCAACCTTCCAGTCCAGGGCTCCGAGACAGCTGGAAACACACACTGTCCAACCCCACTTTTGCTTAAGGCACCCAACTCCCACCTGCCCCATGCTGAAAATTGTCCCCAGCAGCAGCAGATAATTCTATTAAATGCTGCTACAGGAGGTCTCTCCAGGGGCTGCATGCCTGCTCCTTGTACCCATCCCCAACTGCGACTACTGGATCACAGGGTGCGGTAGGTGGGCCCGTCTCTCCCCCCCTCAAACTCAGCCTCCAAATGACCCACGCATTGCAGTCACTCACTCGTTGTCAGTGCCAACCCAGTTTAGAAATCTCTCCCTTTGGGAGAAGCTGGAGGCTAAAGCAGAAAAAGACTGCCACAAGAGCAGATTTGGGAGTGAGCTACAGTCACACTCGCAACCGGCACGTGGTACAGCCCCCTCCTGGGTCCAGGTGGGGAGGTCAGAAAGAGATCTACAGTGTTATGTCGGGTTAAGAACCTAATTCGTTCCGGAGGTCCGTTCTTAACCTGAAAGTGTTCTTAACCTGCGGCACCACTTTAGCTAATGGGGCCTCCAGCTGCTGCCGCCATGCCACCGCCACGCAATTTCTGTTCTCATCCTGAAGCAAAGTTCTTAAACCGAGGTACTATTTCTGGGTTAGCGGAGTCTGTAACCTGAAGCGTCTGTAACCTGAGGTACCACTTTACATGGAAAGTGGAAGTCAGTAAGGGAGGGTCAGGGGGAAGAGCTCTCTCTCTCTTTCTCTTAGGAGCAGGGAGGACAAGGTTCGCTGCTTTCAATGCTCTTATTATTCAGATCCTTTTATTTCTCACACCACACCCCCTGAAATCTTCCTCCTCTCTCTGCAGAAACAGCTCCCGGGGTCATTATTCTGTTCCTCCCACAGCCAAGGAGAGCCAAGGAAGAGGCACAGGGAAGCAGATGCAGAGGGGCTCCCGCCCAATGGTTCACACAGACTCATCAGAGAGAAAACAAAGCAGGGGGAGAATCAGCGCTGCCCCTCCCCCAGCATCAGCAGAGAGAAACTGGCTGGGAAGCCGGAGCAGGAAGCAGAAGACTGCCAAGAGGATCCCTCCATCAGGCAGCACAGCGGGTGGGAGGGCAACAGAGGCAGCTGTGCCGCTTCCGGCCAGGGGTGTGTGTGTGTGTGTGTGTGTGTGTGTGTGTGTAGAGGGAGCAAGATGGGACTCTGTGCTGTGGCAGAGGCAGCAGCAAAGTTCTCCTTTCCACCGAGGCTGCTGCTGCCACCAACCTTCCCCCCTCCAACCCACCATCCACAAAAAGCCACTCTGCATTTGATGGGAAGTTCTCTTCTCACCTGTGGGGGGGGGGGCACTTGCCCCTAGAAATACAGTGGTACCTCGGGTTAAGAACTTAATTCGTTCCAGAGGTCCGTTCTGAACCTGAAACTGTTCTTAACCTGAGGTACCACTTTAGCTAATGGGGCCTCCCGCTGCTGCCGCACAAGTTCTGTTCTCATCCTGAAGCAAAGTTCTCAACCCGAGGTACTATTTCTGTGTTAGCAGAGGTCTGCTTGTGCCCAATGCCTCCTACTAACAAGCCACCACACCTACCCTGCCATGTTCAAATGTGGGAAGGAGCTCTGAACATGCCTCAAGGCCTCTTGGAATCCTGTGCACCAAATGCAAAGCAAAGCACCTTTCCCACTCTCTCTCTCCTTTTCTCCTCTTGCGATTACAGGGATACCTCGGGTTAAGAACTTAATTCGTTCTGGAGGTCTGTTCTTAACCTGAAACTGTTCTTAACCTGAAGCACCACTTAGCTAATGGGGCCTCCTGCTGCTGCCGTTGCGCCGCCACTGCACGATTTCTGTTCTCATCCTGAAGCAAAGTTCTTAACCTGAGGTAATATTTCTGGGTTAGCGGAGTCTGCAACCTGAAGCGTATGTAACCCGAGGTACCACTGTACTGTATTGTCCTGCAGGTTGCTACTGGCCATGCTGCACTTTCCCATCCAAAAGGAAGCCCAAGCGTTGAAGTGTGTGGGGTGTGCTTGTGTGAAATTATAGAAATGAGAACCCTGCAGAAGGGAGGAAGACCAGAACCCTCACACCTGCCCAGGCCAGGTCGCTGGGCTTCCCTCACTGGATGAGCCCCAGCATGGGGAAAAGCAGTTCTGGAGCTCAGCCATGGCTGGCTGGCGGAAAGCCCAAGGCACCCCCACCATGCCCAGGTAGCACAACTCCCCCTCCTTTGAGCAGCTGATAAGCTGCCACACACAGAGCCAAAGGGTTAGCTGCTCCCTGGCCCATCAGCAGCAAGCTTGCCCTGTCTGGGGAGCTCCAGCTGACTCTCTGGGCACAAGCCTTTCCTTCTGCTTCCCCTTGCAGGATTTGACCTCCCGTCTCCACCACTGGATGTGCACCAGACCTCCCCGTCCCTGAGCTTTCCATTATCCTCGCCGCTCACACATGGCTGCCCTTGGCTTTCGCTCTTCCCTCATCGCCTCTTCTCTCCCACGCAGCCCCCTGCTCCAAATGCAATTTCGCATCATTTAAGCCAAGATGGATTACGGGCGGGGTGGGGGAGGCAGTCCGCCCAAGTGCAGGCAAAGAGGCGGGCGGGGCCTCTCCTACACTCCTCGCCCTCCCCAAAAGCTTGCTTCTCCAAAAAGGACAAATATATTTGCAAGGTATTATTTGCAAGAGCACAGAAAATGAGGAGCCTGTCCCCGTCCCCCCGCACCTCACACTATGGAGAAGCCAAATGAAAGATCTCCTCCTCTTCCTCTAGGTTCAATAAGCCCAGATTCTTAGTGAGCTTGTTTTCATTCCTTGGCAAAGAGGGATAAGCCGGTTTACATACTGGCATGCAGGGTGTGTACAACACACATATCATGTATGCACGAACAAGCGTGCACACACACAGTGCCTAGCTGAGAGCAGGAAAGGTGCGTCAAGACCCCACAAAATGCCCTGGAAAGGCAGCTTTTCCACCTGCTCTCCGTTAAGCCTCTCTCCCCAGGTGCCAGCAGAGCTGCTGAACTCAGCCAGAACTGGAGATTCCTGCCAGAGCCAGGAATCTGGAATATGCTCCCAGACCGGCTTACAACTCCAGGGCACTATCCCTTCTCCCTGGACACACGTACACTCCCCACACAGAGAGAGAAAGCTTCCAAGCCCAAAGCGAATGGTGAAGCAAGGCTTTTCAGTCAATTGACTTAGAAGTGGGGGTTGTCACACACAACGCCCAGAAATCAGCAATGATAGAATACAAGCGCAGCAGGTATGGAACAGCTCGGAGTTAATGACAGACTCTCGCACCAAACTCACCTCTCAAGCAGCCACAAGACAGCTCCACAGACAGACCCAGGAAGGGGTGCGCTCTGTCCACTGCCATGGCAAAAGGCTGGCATGTTAGCCATGGGGAAGGCAATTGTGCAAGGTGGGGGTGAGGTGGGGGGGAGGGACTTGCCTGCTACTGGGAGCTTGGAAAACAGAAAGAAACTTTAAGAGACAGCTTCCCACTCCCCAGCAAATCTCTTTTCTACACAATCCAGGCGGCAGCTGCTGCTGCCTTAAAGCACCCCAAAGACTGGGCTACCCATTTCTGAGGCTGTCCTTGGGAAAAGATTTCCATTGGATCCACCAGCTAAGCCTAAGAGAGCTTAGGCCGTCACACAGAAGGATCAATATATGGACTGTTTGCAGGTGGGGGAAATCGTGCCCTGAATACGAAAGGAAGAATATAGCAGCCAACAGGCCCAGCACCACCCTTCTGGGAGGCTGGTGGCGGAAGACTCTGCTTGGCAAGGAAGCCACTGGGGTGTCTCCTGCCAAAGGGATTTTCTATGGACTTTAATACTTTTTAATTGGTTGGGGTCTTATTATAGCTCTGCATGTGTTTATGTGGAAAGGTTTAATGAAGGTCAGGATAGAAACCCACAAGAAGAAACCAACAGAGAGAAACAAGGCAGAGTCTGATCCTCTGAAGGAGCGACCAAGAGGCGGCAGCCCATGCCAGCCATTTCTGAGCTGAGCTCACTTCTGGAAAAGGAAGACTTTGGCAGTGCGGTGACTAGGACATGTAGATGACCCCCTTGCCTCCCCTCATCCACCCGCTGTCACCTTCTCGCCACAATGGGGCACCCCACACACACACTCCAACTGTCTCCATTCACTTTCTGGCTGAGTTTCCTTCAGAGCTGAGCAGTCTCCCTCTGGGTACGTGATGACACCCAGGAAGCAAAGCCGCTTAAGAGCTATTCCCCCTCCTGGAGAAAACGGGGGGGGGGGGCAGGGGGATCAGACTCTGCCATTCCCAGGATTCTTTCAGGGACAAGGAGCCATGCAAGTTAACTAGCATAAAATTAGCATAAACACGCTGCGTTCCCATAAGGCAACTTGCACGATAGCTGCGCACAAAGCTGGAGGCTGTTCCCCTTCCCCCTCCTGGGCGCACGTGCCTTTCTTCCTCTGGCAACGAAACACGCCAAGTCCTCCGCAAGGCTCCCGAGGCCGGCCCAGTCTCCCTCCCTGCCTTTAATTAATTTTCAACAAATGTAACTCAATTACTAGAAAGCCTTTGCGCACCACCGCTGAAATGCGCTGGCTGGCCAGCCTTTGCAACCAAACATGCAGGCAGCTTGCCTCCAACCTCAGCAAACTCAGCCAATAGGGCTGGAGTTCCCTTCCCCAACCCTGCAGCCCAAACACACACCGTCCATCCAGCCTCTCTGGAATCCCCATCTTGCATGCATGGATCACAGACTGTGAAGGTGCAGTGGCCATTGGGAGGGAGAGGGCTCTGTGCCCCTAGCCAGAAGGGACCACATCTCTCACGAGTGGCCAGTTCCACTGCCACAGCCACACACATCTCCTTTTCTTTAAAAGAGTGGGTCAGATGTGGGCCGGGGGGGGTGTTAGATGCTCACCACCATCCAGCCCACAAGCAGCCACAGGAAGACACCTGTTTATCATAAGCCACTGGCACAGCTGTGCTGCCTACCTGCCTCTTTGGTGGGAGAGAGTCTGTTGCTCTTTCTCTGGCTCTAACAGGGCCAGAAAGATGCTCACGTGTTCCACAAGCCCATTTCAAGCACCACGGTCATAAGTTCAAAGAGCCCATCTCCTCCATAGTAGTGTCACCCAAGCCCACAAAGGCCCAAACTCTTCACGGTTCTCATGGCAAGGAACATGAGGCTCCCTCCCCGCTTTGGCCACCAGGATGGTCTGCCAAGGTTGCAGGTTCAATCCATGTAAGGGATAGCTGCATATTCTTGCACTGGAGGGGGTTGGACTAGAGGATCCTCAGGGTCCCTTCCAACTCTATAATTCTCTATGACTCTATGATCTTGCAAGGCTTCGTCCTTGGTCTTTTAAGACTGGAGAAGTCAACTGAAGGAAGGAAGTTTGAGTAGCAGAACTGGCTCAGGCTACAGTTGTGTCAGTCAGGACACACTTACCGTATATTCTTGAATTAAGAAGCCTCCTCTGCTGCCTATCAAAACTCTACATCCTGCCCCTATCTCAACGGAAGAGCCAGAAGGGAAGCTCCCAACTTCATTCAGATAATTCCCCCTTGAAGCCCCCATTCCCAGCAAGAGGAAGGAGACGGTGGCTGGCAAAAGACTCTCCCCTTCAGGATTCAGCATGGTTCTGCTCGGGCTTCAGCTTCTGTGAAATGGCTCCTCAGAGAGGAAGAGAGAAGAGGAGAATCCCACTCAGATCTCTCTGTGGAGAAGAAGATGAAATCTCACGCAGCAGAAACTGGAGCCTGGCTGTGAATCTGAGGCTGCAGCAGCAGCAGCTTCCCTTGGCAGAGCCTGTCAACAAGGGCCTGGTGCGGACTCGCTTGCCATGGCACTTCGCCCACTTTCAGTCTCACACCGGTTTTCACACCACTTGGCAGTTTTATTTCCTCAAACCAGGAAGGAAACGTAAACAAGTCCAATTCAGGAGAGAGTGGGACAGCCACCTCTGTCCACAATTTGCAGAAGTGGAAATCACTAAACAGGAAGTCATTAAACAAGCTCAAGGCCACCCTCCAAGTCAGGTGTCAGGCACAGACGGCCCTGGTGCACAAATTATCCTTGTTTACAACATGCTTTGTGTTGGGGGGAGGGAGAAAAACGCAGGCCAAATCATTATATTCAGGGACCAAATTTGACAGGTGGGTGGAGTTGCTCATGTGACAGCACAATGATGTCAGGTGACCTTTTTGTCCACAGGGGTCTTGCAGAGTGCTTTGCAAAGGGTTTCTGACTGGAAGCTACCTCCAAACACCCTTTCAGGTGAGCCAAGTTTTTACCTGCGTGTCCTACAAGATGTCAGATGTGGGGCATGTGAGAAATGAGTTGGCTGAAGTGGTCTGGCAGCCATAAATTTCCCCCTTGCAGGAGCAGAGCCTATAGGAGGAGCCTCCCATCCCAGAGCTCATTTGAGGGAGATGGAGGCTTCCAAGGCATAAATCAAGGGAGCACCAAAGCCCTTAACCAGAAGTGCAGGTTAAGGGACAAGAGTCCACAAGTCCAAGAAATGTTGGTAATTGGGGCCAAGACACAAGCCAACCCCAACCCTCTGTTGCATGACACCTGCCAGGAGCAGCATCGCCCCTTTTGTCCAGATTAGATCATATGCTAAGCGTTAGGATATACTCTGCTTAAAAGCATCCGTGGGTCTTGGAAAGGCCCCCAAGGAGAGCCAAGACGTTCCTCCTGGGGTAACCCCCTTCTTCCTCATTCGTGGTCAGGCAACCCCCCCAGGAAGGCTCTGCCCTGAGGAGGCTCCAGAGGAATCACCAAACCCATCAGACCAACAATTTCCCTTCCAAGACCAGCGAACCTTCCACGAACCAGGCGAAACTCGCCCGCTTGCCCTCGGCTCTGATCGCGACCCTCCTGGACAGACAAGTGGGGTGGGAGGTGGGGGGAGGTTGGCTTCCATTCCATTAAGGGACAGGGACAGGGAGAGGGAGAAGCGGAGCATCTAGGTGCCCCCCAGTTCCGCCTCCCCGGGCACGTGGGGGCTGCGAAGCCGAAGCTTCCCGGTGGAGGGCGCTTCGGTCGCCCGACCCCCATCCCTCTTACCTGGCGCAGGTGCTTGAGCAGGTCGGTGGCCTCCTCCTGCTTGCCTTGCTTGACCATCCCCAGCATGTCCTGGATAAGGCCGATCCGGCGGTGATACGGGGGGAGACCGCCGCCGCCCCCTCCGCCACCGCCCCCCTTGCCAAACTTTTCTCCGGATCGCACGACGAGGGAGGCCAGGAAGTCGCCGCGCTCCCGGGGCGACGGCAGCATCCTCTGGCGGGCGGCCGAGGCGGCGGCCTGGGGGCTGCCGGGCAGCGGGCAACCCTTGGTCTGCTTGGCGCCCATGCTGGATGGTGCCCAGCCGCCGGCCGGCCGGCCTTCAGCGGGACATGGCAGGCTCCGGCCCACGAGGAGAAGGCGCTGCTGTCGAAGCGCGGGGCAGCCGCCGGCCCAGGAAACACCGCGGAGGCGAAGAGGAGGGGGAAGCTGCAGCTACGACGGCAGCGCCTTCTCCGGGCATCTCCTGCGCGCCCAGCAAGTGCCCCCTCCGGCTCCCGCAACTGCCTCCCTTCCCCGCCCTCTGGCAACTTCGGGAAAACTGTTGCACGGCAGACCGAAGAGGGAGGGAGGGAAGGAGGAGCCGCCAGCGACGGAGGAGGAGACCGAGACGTGCCCGCCGAGTGTCCCCGGCGAGCGAGCGAGCGAGGCTCTGGCTGCTGCTGCTGCTGTTGCCGCCGCCGCCTCCCTCCGTCTGGAGCTGCTCAGGCGGGGCGGAGCCCGCCTCTCCCCGACCGGCGGCGGCCTTGTGTCTGCCTGAGAGAGAGAGAGGGACCGCCCGGCCTCCTCCTGGCTCCTCCTGCCGACGGCGGGGGGGAAGAGGCACAGCCGCCGCCGCCGCCGCCGCCGCGCCCTGCTCAACCGGGCTGCACGTGACGAGCGCGCATCTGAGGACGTGCAGAGCGCGCGCGCCACGGAGAAGCAGCTCCTCGGGCTCCCCCGCCCGTCCTCTTCACGAGCAGCTGCCGCCGCATGGAGCTCAAGGGAGGCCTCGCCACGAGTGGAGCCGGGTGCTTCAGTGGCAACACACGCAAACACACACACACACGGGCGTGGAAGACGCCTCCCCATGCGAGACCCAACTCAGGTGAGGCGGCGCCTCCCCCTTGACACTGGCCACCGGAGGTGCCAAGGAGCCCGCCTTCGCGACACCTGGCCCGGGGGAGGGGGCTGCTGTGAGGCCCGGGGTCCCGAGCGCCTCTCCTCTCCTGCCCGGAGCACCTCAGAGACGAGGAGGAGCCACCTCCCCTCTCCCCACATCCCGCGTGTGGTTTCCCGCGCCGGGGTGGTTTGCTTCCCGCGAAGCGTTTGGGACTGAGGAGCGGAGGTCTGGGCGGGCGGCTCAGCCCCGGACTGCGACCTGGCGACCTCGGGGCGCTGTTAAAACTACAGTTCCCATCCCGCTGTGCTGGCCCGCGCTGATGGGATCTGGAGCCGTCAGCAAAGCTGCACTGCAGAGCCGCCTTCGAAATGCTCAACCCATCCAAGCCTGGAAAGCAGAATTCATTGGGGGCTTTTGCCAGCGGGCAGTGGATCCACTAATGAACAGCTTGCCACGCCCCCCCCCCAAACCAGACACCACAAGCCAGCTGGATCGTTCTGTGTGGAAATTCATTCGGTGGCAATTCATTTGCTAAGTTGGTGCAGTGGACGGATTCATAGGTCGGAGGAACATAGAAAGCTGCCTTTTCTTGCCTCAGGCCATAGGGTCTACAGTGACTGGCGGCAGGGGTTCTCCACAGGCTGGCGTTTAAGGTACGGCCCCAAACGCTGCTCTTCTGCCAAGAATATACCCAGCTTTAACTCAGCTCTGCATCTCCTCCAACGTAACTGTGAAAGAAAGAGGCAAGTGTGACATTAAGAAGCAAGGGGTTGAGCCTGGAGCAGCAGCAGCCTGTGGGGTGTGGAAGATGCAGCCCTTCTTCAGAAACTCTCCCACAATAGTAAAGTTTCCTCCTTGAATACATTTGGGCTTCAGAAAGTCTGGCTCAAGAGCATTTTAAGTAAGTAGGTTCCCTCTATTTTTATTTTTTATTTGCCAGGAAAGATGTTTTGCAAAGCCGCCTTAGTGCTTTTTTTAGTGAGCATAAAAGCAGGCAACTCCCTGAGGTTCTGATGGGCAGCTATTTATTATAGATCTTGGCCTCTGAATATCAACTTTAAAAATACCAGATGGGTTGTAGGAAGCCATCTCCGCTTTCTGTCCCTTGGGTATTAAGTCTTTTTTGGGGGGGGGGCATGTATTTTCAGGTGCCTGTTATGTAGAGCACCCAGCAAGAACTGCAACTGCATCAACTGACAAGCCAAAGCGTTGTCACAGGAAACATAGGCATGAATATTCCTGCTTGCTCTTGGACCAAACTCACCCATTCCAGTTACCTCAAAGGGGATCCTGTCGCCATCTAGTGACGGCTTCCTGACACATAAATTGTGAGGTCCAAGGTCAGTTTCACAGAAGCCAGTTTGGGCTCTCTCCACATTGCCCCAGCATCTGGATTGGCAACTTGAGGTGGTAAAAACAGGGTGAGATGGTGGTACCTCAGGACCAAAATGCTAGGCAGTGGAAGCCCTCAAGGTGGCTTTGTGAGTCAACCAGGAACTCCCTTCCAGAATCACCGGCCTGGTTCTCTGGGTACCACCTACTGGACTGTTGCCTCTTGGCTGCTGGGAACTGAAAAGCCCATATGGTTTGGATCTCATTGATGATTTTTTCTTATCGTCCATTTGAAGCTCAGATTCTGGTACACAGTTCCAGATCCTGGCCCCATAGAAGGCAGAAGTTCCACATAGGAGAGTTGCCCTGTGATCATTCTAGGTGCCCTTTTCCAACTCTCTACAATATCCTTTTTGAGGTAAGGTGACCACAACTGTATTCAGCTCCAAACGTTATCACACCATAGTTTTGAATACAGTGGTATCTTGGTTTACGAACAGAATGCGTTCTGAGAGTCCGTTTGACTCCCGGAACCATTCAAAAACCAAAGTGTGGCTTCCAATTGGCTGCAGTAGTGTCCTGCAGCCAACCAGAAGCCACATCGGACATTCAGCTTCCAAAAATCGTCCAAAAACTGGAACACTCATTTCCAGGTTTTGAGTGTTCAGGAGTCCCATTTGTTCAGGAGCCAAGGAGTTTGGCTTCCAAGGTACGATTGTAATGACACTGAGATATTGACAGTTTTACTTCCCTTTCCATTCCTAATGATGCCTAGTAAGGAATCTGCCTCTTTTTTAAAAAACGAAAACAAAAAACAGTTGCTCCATATGGGGACGACATCTTCATTGAGCTAGCTGCTACAAACCCAAAGTCTCCTCCTTGGCCAGGTCAGACCCCATGAGAATATATGTGAAATGAGATTTTGTGCCCCAACATGCATCACTTTAACTTGTTTATACTGAATTGCATTTGCCATTTTACTACCCATTCCCTGGGTTTAGAGAGGCCCTTTTTGTTTAACGACCCTGAACAATTTGGTATTGTTGGCCACCTTCACTGCTCAACCCTAACTGTAGATAGTTTGTGGTGGCTTTAAAAGAGGACGAGACAGATTGATGGAGGAAAGTCTCACACTGGGTGTAAGGTGCTTCCAGAAACAAAACACTCTCAAGGGAACTGAATGATAGTAATAAACTTTTATTTTGCAAAGCAATATCCACATCTTACAAACACAAAAAATTAACCTAGGAGAGAAATGTCATTAACAATTCAGTTACTGACCACCAAGCCCAAAGGTAAGTCAAATGCCACCTTAACTCTACAACATCTCCTGCAGAGGAAGCTGTAGGTGGGTGGGGGGGAGAATAGGGAAATTACAAACCTTCATATCATGCCAGAGAAGCAAATTGGAATGGCAGGTTTCTAACGAGGAAACAAACAGAATCAAAACTGATTCAAGTAATAGTGAAAATGAAAAAGAAAAGAGGCAAGATCAATATGATCCGAACAGCCACTGTCACATTCCACTTGTACCCTCCTGCCTGGAAGTGTCTGACTTCTACATGCCCACCACCAGCCCTTCCTCCTCCTCCTCCTTGCAGATCAGCTCTGAACCACTAACTACAATGGTCTAGAACGGACCATAAAAGCAAAAGTTAAGAGAAACAACATTCTTCTTCTGCAGCCCACAATCTATTTTCCATTTAAAACTTCTGTTTGGTTGGGATTTTAATTTGAAGAGGATGCATTTTATTTTTTAATCCACTACCAGACTCCTTGCCCAATCCTAGATCCCGAAGGTCTCTGGAGATCATCCCCATATCTTGGAGACGTGACAAGACACCAAGCAAGCAAATGAACAGACAACAGACGAAGGAACTCTTCCCAATGAAAGCAAAGCCACACATCACGTCCTTCTGTGCAAACGCTAAAAAGTCATTCTCAAAACTATCGTGGGAGAAGAAACAGGGTTGCTTTGATATGGAAAGATGCCGTGGCTGCCACCAGAGAGGGAAGCTGAAGGGGGGCCCATTAAGGCAACCAGCAATGTCTTCAGAGCAGGGGGAGGGCGCGATGTCCTAGAACTCTCTACATTCTTAAAGAGTGAAACTGGAAGTGCAAACTAGGAAGCCACTCCAACGAGTGAGTCTGGAGTTGTACCCGCCTGGACAGCATCCTTTTGCAGCACAAACTGGCCCTCAGCATCTCTCTCTGCAAGCAAAAGGCACGGCAAACACCAGGCCTGGTCCCAGGGGGCAGCTTGCCCCAATGCTGGCTGCCACTTCCTTTCAACATCAGGGACTCGCCCCCCCCCCCACCAAAGCCCAGCAGAAGTTCCCAGTCTGAAGAGCAAGAGCTGACCTACACACGAAGATAATAAAACTGCATCATTCCAGACAAGGCGCTCAAATATCTTCCCACATTAAGAAGATAAAAAATACCTGCACCTAAAAAAGCAAGCGTGTCTGAGAGGCAGACAGCCTTGAATCTTGCCTCAAAATTCTAGTTTTCTACAGACTGGAAGGTGGTGACACAGGTTCAGCAAACCAATCTTTCTCTCATACACCCTGGCCATACTGTCTGGAATGGTGCAATCCCAGGAATTCTGTAGCATGTCACTTATCTGCATTAAGGGGGGTGCACTGCAGCAGCCTGATTTGAGGTCCAGGATGGCACCAATGGAGATTCTGCCTGTGTTGGCTTAAAAAATTAGCAACACTTAAACAAACAAACCCAGAGTGCAAAGTGGAAGATGCTGCTCTTGCTTTCCTTAAACTAAAATTACAAGTACGCCATCTTTCCTAACTACAGCCAGTATTAAAATATGAATATGCCAGGTGGGGTTTTTTTTGTCTTGTTTTTAAAGAAATCTAGAAATGTTGGTATCTTTCTGCAAGCAGGGAGGAATTGGGAAGAAAGAGGAACAAACACATTGACTCAGTGGCTTTAGAGCTGCAGTACAGTAGCAGAGAGGTGTGCCCTGCCTCAAACACACTGGACAGACCATGGGGGAAAATAAGGTGCTTTTTCTGAGACACTTGCAAAAGGCATCCGGACTGTCCCACTGCAGCAAGACAGACACACAGAGAAATGTCTCTGGCTCCTTCACAAAACAGCCTGCCACGAACAGGCAAAGAGGCTCCCCACAGCCCAGGGCTGTATCGGCTTAACTTATTCCAAGTAGACTCCGCCTCCTATAAATAACCGTTACAGGCACTTAAAACGTCTTTGGTTGGAATAACCCAACGTCACAAGATAATTAATTCATAACGAACCAGGGTCTAGTTCTGGGTTCGGCAGGCGATGGTTGCAGCAGACACTGTCACTTTTGGAGAAAGGAGGCAGGGGGTCACGCTTCTGAGAAAGCAACCTGGAAGAGGAGAAGCCAAGAAAGAAGGGGGGGTTGAGCTACCCATTGTGGAAGCTGGTACAGTGCCCCTGCCTGTCCCTGTCAGGGCAGAACTAGGAAGTGGGGCCTGGGTGGGAATTAGAAACTGCACACAAGTCCAACTTGCATTGAGCTCTTCACTGAGCTCCACCCAGGAAAGTGAGCAGGATGGTGCAGCAGGGGCTGGTCACACTTTGCTCCTGCCTCTACAAACCTGCTTGGCTTCTGTACTGGCTGCGGAGGAAAAGAAGCCCCTTTCTTTCCTTCGTTCCCTGAGTGTGGGGGCTGGGCGAAGTCATAGCAATCCAGCCCAATGCATTCTGGTGTTGGACATGCAGGGTGCAAAGGCCAGCAAAGACGGCAAGCGGACTGATAGTCGAGAGACAAGTCACTCTCCTCCTCTGCTGGGCTTTCACACAGGATTTGCAGGAGTTAAAATCCTCTTCCTGAAGGCTGCACATCAGTACCAAGTGGGCAGAAAGAAGGGAGCGCTCTTGGCTTCCACTCTGCCAGCCCACAGCCTGCTTTGTACTCTGAAGGCAAAGGAGGGATGGAGCACTCTGCCTATCCTCCTCCACCAGAACATTCTATGAAGGAGGAGGTGGAGGCAGCTGGTAAAACATTATGTACACTAATATTCTTGGGGCTAATTTACCAGGCTGGCATGAGTAAGGTCGAGTGGCTGGGGCAGAGGGAGCAGCCTGGCAGGCCAGGATTCTACCCAGCTCAGTGCTGTCTCTTAAGCAGATGGGCTCTCCAGGGTTTCAGGCAAGGTTCTGTCTCGCAGCCCATGTCACAAAGGAGACCGTCTCGGAGACTCCCTCCCCCTGCCTGAGCCATTGACCAGAAGAGGAGCCGCACCCCCACATGCCTGCCTGACTCTGGGGTGGCTGCGCACAAGCCGCCCAGTCAATTGAGGCAACGAGATCCCATTACGTGGGCACTCAAGGGCTCCTTGCCCACCTACCTTTTCAGGACAGAACTCTGAGTTGCTTTGCCGCAGTTTGCTGGGCCTGCCTTTGATGACTGCATAGCAGAACATAGTGATGACCATCACGAAGAGGAAGTAGCTAGTGTGCATTAAATGCAGGTTGATGAGGGAGCGGTCGTCCTGCACAAAGGAAAGAGGGGGGGGGGCTGAGATTTTTCTGAGGCTGCAGGAACTCTACATGCAGTTTCCACCAAGGATGGGGGCGGGGAGGGAAGCATCCCCAAGGCTGTGTTTTGGACACAGCGGATTCCCCTCCCCCCCCAGCATGTACAGTTGCAGAATATGAGCACGTTGATCGATTCACTGTAACCGCATCACTTACATCCGGGACAATAACCGTCAGTTTGGGATTCAACGCGTGGTAGACTTTGCCAACAGCTCCTTTGTAACACCAGAAAGGGTTGTAGTCTTGGGCATATTTGGTGTTTGAATCCCTCGCAGTGGTGAAGATCTTGTACCAGAAGGTCGCGTTGATGTACGTCTCTGGCACACAGTGCGGTGGCTGGCTGAGGGGCGAAGAGACAAGGGTGAGCTTGGTTGGTCAAAGCACAGCACAAAGCCGGCCTGAGACGCAACTCTGCCACACTAAGGTAGCTAAGCATTCCACACCCCTGTAACACCTTGATGGATTGATTCCCCATGCTGCCCGTTCTCAAGCCCCTCTCTTTGAGCTCCTGCCCCACTTTGTAAACTGGCTCTGCCTCCACCCCACCCCACCTCCGGCACCAGCAACCCATTTACCATGCAAGGGTGTGGGGCAGCCCTTCCATGCAGCTGTGCGCGCCCAAAGGCACTCAATCAACCATGGGCAAATTGAAGAGAAAAATATTCCGTGGGTTGTTTAGCAAGATTGCTCCCCTCAGCTCAAGTACCACTCATTCATTTTTGGGAAGGGGGCCCAATCTGTATGTGGATAAACTACAACCTCTGCTTGCTGCTTCTCGAAATATATGTATCAAAACGCCAATTAAAAGTTTTTAAAATATGAAGAAGCATATGAATAACCCTCAAGGAAAGCCACTTCTTGAACTGTCTCAGGGTCTCAGAGGCAAACCTGAAGGCGTTAAGCCGCCTCAGCAGCAGATGCTTACACTGTGACAGGGAAGACCCCAGCGGCAGCCGTGACGGTCATGCAGGTTGTGAAGACAGCCTGGTCACAGTGGCCGTGCAAGACGCAGTCATCCGAATTCCAGGCAGCCGGCAGCGTGAAGGTGATGTTGATCTCCTCGTGTGCTTCTCTGCCTTTTGGGGGGATTGGCAGGGGGGAGGGGGGATGAGAAAAGAAAAACATTGAATTAGGTTCAAAGTAGAAGCAGGTTATGCTCAATAAGCAATAATCAAGGGGAAAGCTGCAGCTGCAAAGAACTGCAAAGAAGCTTTGCTCCGGCCAGCTCAGGGTTCATTTGAAGCAGAGCGCAATACTCAAGAGTAGACCCACTAAAATTAGTGGGCCCAAATTAGTCATGTCTAAGCTGAAGTACACATAACTGAAACAACTGCAAATACTTCCCCCTTCCCTCCCAGCTTAATTCTCCGACATTTCCGGGTGTCTGTTTTTGGAATGCATGCCCCACCCCCCACCCTGGGCACTCCCTTGTAAAGCGCCACAGACACACATGGTGCTGTATTTGCAGAGAGGTGTGTGGACTATGTTTCTGCTCCTCTGGCAATCTCCCACAGGGCTCAGCATGAATTCAGCTGCGAGTCCTGTTGTACCTGAGAGTCCAATTTGGTGTCCGAAAATGGTGGAGCTCAAGTGCGTGACATTCCGCGAGAAGCCCCCAAAGGGCTTGAGGGGATCCAGCGTCAGGGTGATGGCAACCGAGGTGTTGATTGGACCAGAATCCTCGAGTGTCTGTGGCGACGGTGTGGAAGGACGGGCCTGACTGCTGGTCATGGCACTTTCTGGGGTCGTGGTGTCATTTATGAGGTGCTTTAGCGTTTCATTCTCCGAAATGCAGAAGTCGAGGTCGTTGAACCGCAGAAGGAAAGTATTCCAGTCCTTAAAGACAAATGGGTCTTGAGTGCCCCTCCGGCTCTCAGCCCTCACCACATCAGTGCCAAACACTCTGTGTCAAGACCAGCTCCGGGGAGCCAAACCCAACACAAAACTAACTTCAGAATGTGATCAAGTCAGTTAAATCACAGTGAAATCCTGCATTTCTGATTCAGCTGGTTAGGGAATCAAAGGTAAAGGTAAAGGGACCCCTGACCGTTAGGTCCAGTCGTGGACGACTCTGGGGTTGCGGCGCTCATCTCGCTTTACTGGCCAAGGGAGCCAGCATACAGCTTCCGGGTCATGTGGCCAGCATGACTAAGCTGCTTTTGGCAAACCAGAGCAGCGCACGGAAACACCGTTTACCTTCCCGCCGGAGCGGTACCTATTTATCTACTTGCACTTTGACGTGCTTTCGAACTGCTAGGTTGGCAGGAGCAGGGACCGAGCAACAGGAGCTCACCCCGTCGTGGGGATTCGAACCGTCGACCTTCTGATCGGCAAGTCCTAGGCTCTGTGGTTTAGACCACAGCACAAATTTCACAAGTATCCTATCATCTTTTAGGAGGCAGAATGTCCCAGAAGAAAACAGAAGAGATCTAACCTCCCTCCCACAATTCTACAGCAGACAGACATGCAATGAAATGACAATTGTCAAGTTTGTGGGCCTTCCCCATTCTTATCATTTCAAACTTGAATGGTCAATGCCCATTTGTGGTCCTAGGAGGGTGGCTGCAGAACAGAAGCACCTGAATTGTCTTATCAAAATGAAATCTGCCTTAAGCCTTTGGACCACTCACTCCTCTGACCCAGGCAGCCCAGAGTCTTTGGGCAAAGACAAGCCATCTTTTGGCTCCATCCCCCCCAGAAACCAGGCTCCTGTCCCATAAGGCAGTAAATTCATTCCTGTCCACGTGGTGGTATTTCTCTCCAGCCCAAAAGGCAAAGCCTCCAGAGCACATCCACCCTTGGGGTATGCAAATACAGACACTGCTTTGTGATCTACCTCTGTCATTTCAGGCGACTTGATCTCCTTGATTTTGAAGAAATAGCCCAGAGTCAGGAAGGCGATGGCCATGGCACTGACACTGATCATGAACACCACCAGGGGTGGGCGGCTGCTGATGTAGACCTTGAGGTTCTCCAGAGGGTTTATGTTGAACATTATTCTGGTCAGGCCTACCTGGAAAACAGGGAAACCACAAACTGGAGAGAGGGAACCACACTCACTGCCGCCAGGAACCCCAAAGGCCTAATTACTCTGAATGGCCCAGAACTCGTCCTGCAGATTAATCCAATGATATCAAAGCACACAATTGCAAAGGCTTCAGGATAAATGGAGAAGCAGTGAGACTCTGCCAGAGCAAAGGCTTTTTGTCAGTACCTTGTCTGCAAGCAAACAGAAGGAGAAGTAGCACCCCCTGTCCCCCTCGCATTCACCCCATTTCATTTATGCAGATAGAGGGATAGGTTATTCTTCCCCACCATGAAGAAAACCGAAAGGGGCTGCAATTATTCTGGAAGATCCTTAGGGAGAAGAATTCCAAGAGGCTTCTGCCTGCTCTTTTTGATCACACCCCCTACACACACACACACACACAGCCTCAAGAAAGGGGCTGGATGGCTTGCTAGTTCCCCAAGCCATCATTAGATTCAAGTTCAGGGGCTCTAGTTTCAAGAGCAAAAGTCCCATTTCAAGAACACAGGATGGGCAACCTGTTTTATTTCCACCTCAGCTGAGAAACACTGGATTGTATTATTTTGTGGCATCCGGATACCACCATGTCTTCACCTCGAACCCACCACCCCCTGGGCCCAAGCACTGGCTAGCTCATGCACTTCCTAGGCAAGCGAGGCCTTGGGCCTCCCTGCTCCCGCATTGCCTGAGTCAGGTGCTTTTGTTCTCCAGGTGGCCCTGAGAGCTCAGCCCCCTCACCTCTGCCTCATGCCCTTCTCTTGCGCTTGGGTGTGGCCAGAGAGAGACACTCAGCAGCCTCCCAGGGTCTTGTTACCAGGTCAGCAGTTCATGGTGACAGATGAGAAGGCCTAGGAGAAACGTCAAGGAGCCCCTTGTTTGCAAGAGTGGGAATCAAAACAAGCAGAACCAGAAGAAAGCCATCTTATTAACTGTCATTATTTGCTTCACAAATGCCAGGTCTCCTAAAACTTGGATTTGAATTCTGTTTCTTCATAAACAAATCCTTCCCCTGTATCAAGACTGACATTCAGGAAGTTTGTTTTAAAAAAAACAACAACCAAAAGCAGACAGTAGAAAGAAGTTGTCCCTCCATGCCGTCGGGGCTGGGACTCTGGTGCAGGAGCTGCAGTTACCTATACTTCATCAAAATTAAAGGTAATTTCAGGGACGTTTTCCATAGCTAATGAATAGCAATATGGTCCAAGGTAACAGCCCCCTACCCCAGCAAGCTACTTGCAGCTCAAGCCTAAATTAAAAAGGGGGGGAGCCCCACAAGTGAACCAGCAACCCAACCAGAGAGAGAAATGGTGTTTATGTTCAGTAGACCATTCAAAGACAGGAGGCAAACACCACTTTGAAAAATCTTTGTGCTCTCAGAGCAACACTTAACCTCACCAATGATATATGCATGTAAATGAGCAGCATGCATTTGTGAGTTTGTGGTGAGAAGTCCACTTCTCTTCCTCTGCTGCTTTTCCTCTTCACACACACACTGGATAGTCCCTGGTTAAAAAGCAGAGCCACGTGCCTGGGTGTACCAATTTAACTTGCTGGGAACACTTTGTGTCCTTTGGTTGAAAAATGAGAGAAAAACACCACCACCCCACACTGTCAAACATTACCCAAAGGTAAACAGCACAGGATGAAGATCCAAGCCTTGTAGAACAGGAAAGATCAGTTCAAGAGCCCGGCTGTCTCTGAAGCACGGAAGCAAACTTGGCGGGGTCAGCTGCCACTTGGAATACATCCAGGCGTTTAAGGTGATGCCCAGACAGACGTTTCCTCCATCAGTGGGGGATTCTTAACTTGTTTTAGAAAAAAAATATCCAACTTTCCTGCAAAAGTTGAAGGTGGCTCACAAAGGAGGAATTGTCATACCTCGGAAGTCCAATGGAATCCGTTCCGGAAGTCCGTTCAACTTCCAAAACGTTCGAAAACCATATTGCGGCTTCTCATTGGCTGCGGAAGCCCCGTTGGACATTCGGGTTCCAAAAGAATGTTTGCAAACCGGAACAATCAGTTCTGGGTTTGCGGTGTTCGGGAGCCAAAACGTCCGAGTTCCAGGGCATTCAACAACCAAGGTATGACTGTACATAAATGCAATTAAAAATTCCTAAAAGTAGCAGCTGACAAAGACATTAAGTGCAGCAGCTGAAGAGCTACTAAAGGCCAGGTGGCTTTCTGGGAAAGGTGCACAGTGGCCGAAAACCATCATGGGGGAAGGTGGACCTTCCTGGGCAGGTGGGAGCACCAGAGCTCAACCACGGCTGCCACAGGCCCTTTTCCTTTTTAAAAAAATATGCTTTATTGTTCATACTTGCATCTGTACATCAAATACATATCTTCCCTATTGACTTCCCATAAGTCAGTTTTGTCAAAACGAAAATCCAACAAAAGAATATAAGTCCTCCTACGATATATTTAGTACATAAATTTGACTTCCTGTCCTTTCCCAATTTTTCCACTCTAATAAACCTATTGCCTCAATATATTACTCATGAAATAATAATTTTCATACATATATAAATCTGTTTTCTCCCTTTGAACCTATATTACTCGCAGAGATTACTCACAGGCCCTTTTCCTGGCAAAACAGGAGCAGGCCAGTGTTGATTATCTCAATAGAGAGTTCTCTGTCAGCCTCCTCAGAACTCTGTCCTCCTGGGCCTGACTCTGGCAACAGACTCAGCTAACCGAGCATTTGCTTGTGAACCAAGCAGGAAGGCTGAGGTCAGGGCAAGCGGGTTGCAGAGAGACTGTGCAAAGGGGAGCACTTACCTTGCCCTTATTAGGCTTCCTGCTCTCTCCCTTCAATTGCTTGCCACCTGTGTCTTATGTCAGAAGCACTTCAACAAGTCCACCTGAGGACTGGAAGGCGCCTGTCTGCCTTGCCCACCAGGCTTCCTCCAGGGAATTTGCCGTGAATGCCAGAGAGGTTCTGCAACTGTTCCAGAGCTCCCAGACATTCTGTCAGTCGCAGGCACAGTGCATGGAGTCCCTGCAGGGCACTGGACTCAGCTGCAAGTTGCCAATTCCTTCCCACTCCCTGCTTTTGAGATTGGCAACAGGCATTGCACAGGAGCAGTCTCTGCTCCCGCTGCTGACCCAACTCCCAACAGCAACTGTGGGGAGCAAGGAAAGCAGTGCAAAAAGGGTTGTGGGGCGGTGGGCGTCCTCTCACAATACCTGGAACTGCTTCACCCACCCTGCTTTCCTTGTGCAAAAAGCAAGCATGACGGCAGAAGACGGGAGACAGAAGGGCCCCCCAAGTTCCGTCCACCTGGGACAGGAAACAGTCACCTGCGGGCGGAGCCTCTCTGCTACTGCTGGTCCCCCAGGTGCGGTTGCCTTCCAGTCTCAAGAGCAAGGATAAGAAGGATGGGAGCCGGAGGCCAGCAGCATCCGGAGGGGCGCCGCCCGCCGGCCACAGGTGCTCCCCTCACCTGGGATGGAGATGCTCCTGCTTCTAGCCTTTAGTGAAGGAGTAGAAGCCCAAGCCTGCCCTGCCCTAGCCCCTCCCCTTCCGCGCGAAGGCACAAGGAGCAAAGCCAGAGAGGCTCCAGGGCGGCGGCGGCCGGACCCAAAGGGCTGCTCCTCCCCTCCTGTTGCCGGAAGTTTCCCTCCTCCTGACCAGACGCTACCGTCAAGCAGGGAGGGAGGGGGGAGGCCCAAATCCGAGGAGGGCGAAGGGGCATGGAGGGGAGATCATGGGCGCCCCCCCCCAGGTGTGCTGGCTAGGGGGGGGGGAGGACCATCCCTCATTTTAAGCCCCCCCCCCGGTTCTTCGCCCGCCTTGCCGGAGGGCAGCGGCAGCCTCCCGCTTCCTCGGTGTGCCCCAAACAGGCCTCGGGACCTGGGGGGGGGGGGCTTCTCCCCTCCCCGCCCAAGGAGACGCACTAGCTGCGGTGGGGGGCACTCTGCACATGCGCAGAGGCCCGCCCAGAGCTTACCGGCGGCAGGCTCAGCGCCGGGGCTGCAGCATCTTCCTCTTCCTCCTCCCTCCGGTTGCTTCCCGGCCGCGGCCGCCGCGCGAAGACCCTCCTCGGCTGCCCCGCCCGGGAGGAGAAGCAGCGCTACGGCGGCGCAGCGGGGACAGACTTCCTCCGCCGCCCGCGAACGGCAAGATCCGGGTGACGTCAGCGCAGCGTCGGCCAAGCCCGCCCCTGCCGAGTGCAAACGGAGTTCCGAAGCGCCGGCTAAGAATGCGGGGAGGGCGCGAGGGAAGCAGAGAAGGGAAAGGAGCCGGCTGGGGCTCTGGGCAAGGGGGGACCCGGCTGCGCCCTGCAAAGGTTGAGCCGGAGGAAGGGGGGCAGTCGCATAAAAGGCCCCTTCCACAGCAAGGGCGGCTCTTGCCTCGTGGCTCCACCTGGTCAGACTCGGGTCAGGTAACCCGTCACTGGCTTAGAAGTGCGTTACACTTAAAAGATAAGATGCGCCCGGGAACTCAAGCGGGGGGGGGAGGGTGGTGATGAATGAGCTCCCTCGGTTTCTTTCTCTGCCTCCCCCTCCCCCTTATTCTAATGGGGCTCCGGTAGGGATGGGGCAAGTGCGACCCCCCTCTCCGGTCATCTCACTGCAACTCGCATCATCAGTGAGCATGCATGACCCATGATCAGCCACGATGGGGCTTGCACTCGAGGGTCTGCAGGTTCCTCACGCCTGGAATATTTCTATGCACTACTTCCAACTGAGAGGTGCTGGCTCAAGGCCTCCTGCACACACTACACCCATCCTTCCCTCAGAAGCAGCATCTTCCTCACCACTGGGCTACTCATGTGCAACTCGGACCACGGCACAACGGAACAAGGCAGCCCCCAACAGCCTGCTGCTAAATCAAGCCTTTGGAACCCCTCCTTTTTTCTTTTTTTTGCACAGCTCCCTGAAGTCAAGGTGGCCTCCAGAGGTCTCTGATGCTGGAACTCTGCCATAGGAGGGCCCAGGGGATGCTTGAGACGTTGATGGGCTCCGTATGAGGGAAAGGCAGCATAGAAATGTAATCAATGCATAGATATTTCCCACTGGCTCCTCCCTCCTCAGCCCCAATCCACAGCAGGTTTCTTTCCCCACCATAACACCAGAGCTAATGGAAATCCAAAGAAGGTGAAAGTTGGAAGCCTCCAGACAGATAAAAGGACTTTTTCACACAACACACAGTAAAACTATGGAACTCGCTCCCACAGGAGGCAGTGGTGGCCTCCAATCTAAATGGCTTTAAAAGAGGATTGGATAAATTCATGGAGCATGTCCACTAGCCATGATGACTATGCTCTGCCTCCACTCTTCTTGAATACCAATTGCTGAAAACCACAAGAGGGAGGCCTCTTGTGCTCAGGTCCCACTAGTGCAGGGGTCAGCAAACTTTTTCAGCAGGGGGCAGGTCCACTGTCCCTCAGACCTTGTGAGGGGCTGAACTATATTTTTGGGGGGGAAATGAATGAATTCCTATGCTCCACAAATAACCCAGAGATTCATTTTAAATAAAAGCACACATTCTACTCATGTAAAAACATCAGGCAGGCCCCACAAATAACCCAGAGATGCATTTTAAATAAAAGGACACATTCTACTCATGTAAAAACACGCTGATTCCCGGACTGTCCGTGGGCTGGATTTAGAAGGTGATTGGGGCCTTAGTTTGCCTACCCATGCACTAGTGTGTTTCCCATTAAGGGCATCTGGTTGGCCACTGTGAGAACAGGAGGCTAGACTAGATGGGCCGCTGGCCTGATCCGGCAGGCTCTTTTGATGTTCCTGTGTTTGTATGAAAGAAGCCCTGCTGGCTCGAAGGGGACACTCTTCTGAGTGAAGACCCCAACGACTGCAGCCCTGCCAGGTTGAAGACCACCAGCAAGCAAGAACTCCAGATGCCACACAGCAGCTCTGCCAGCAACATTTCAAAGTAGTAATACTAGGAATGTATTTCATTAGATGCTTCCCTCCAAAGGAATGATGTCCACTTCTATCTGAAAACCACCAAGCAACTACTGCCTGTGGTCTGTTCATCTGGCCTCACAGCTTGCTCCATCTTGAAGGCTGGGAAAGAGCACACAATGAAATTTGCACCTGAAACATGCAAGTGAAACAGCAAATCCGAGCTACAAGCTTCACTCCTGCCACCAACATCCAACCTGTGCAAAGAAGCAGCATTCTAGTATTTCTGCTCCCTTGAAAAGACTGAGCTATTTATTCCAAGGCCTGCCACAACTTCCTGCTGCCCAGTCACTCTTGCGCCTATGAAGCCATCCACTTGCTCACTCTGCTTGAGCTGTCACAGAGTTCTTCTGCAGAATACATGGCAGTCAGAACTAAGGCTCCAGTCTCCACAGACAGTGAAAATGCTGAGATCTGCCAAATCCAGGGTAGGAACTTTACTTGCAACATGAATCTTTGATAAAGTATTAATTGTATTGATAGGTAGCTACATATCAGGCTTTAGGGGGGGGCACACACACTTGAACAGTCTTTTACAATGATAAAACACTGCGTTTACTTACTTTGTCAGGTATGATCTTGAGAAGCCATATTTAAACACATGAGGTTCAGTTAATTTTTTTAAAAAGGAAGCTTTAGAGACCAAATGCTGTTAGTTTATCCTCCCTGCTTCCTAGGCTCCAGGCTGCTCTTCTCTGAAATAAAAGCTCACCGCTCATGATCCCTCAATTTCCCAAAGCCCAAAACGTTTGTCTATGGATAAAAGTGGGAAGGGGCGGGCTCCCACTTTGCCAAGGGGAAGAGGCAGAAAACCCAAAGATGGACGACTCATGGAAAACTTCAACAGGGCAAGGCAGTAATGTTTTCTGCTACAGGCAAAAAATATTCTGGGTGCTTCACAACTTCCTGCAGAACAAGGGGGAAGGGTGTTGGAGGGAGAGCCACACAGAGAAGAGCTTCCCAAGGAAGAAGGAAGAAACAACAACCTTTGGCATTGGGGGACATTTGTGGCAAGGGAGAATGAATCAACCAAAGACATTCATGTCATGAGAACAGAAATTGTGACAGAATGTAGGCACACTTCCTATGCTGGGGGCAGTGATCCACCAGAAACTGGCCCTTGCAGCTGCTCCCACCAGTTCCACTCTGGCTTCAGGCCTGAGTACCACACCCAGCCAGCCTTGGTTACCCTGTGATTTGTTTTAGCAGAGAGATGCAGGGGACAGAGTGCTATCCCCTGCTTAAACCCTCTGAGGCTTTCAATACGATTGATCTTAGTATCCTCTTTGAGCAGCTCTGGGAGTTGGCATTTATTGCTGTGGTTCCACTCCTACTTGCAGGGCCACTACCAGATACCAACACTGGCAGACAAATGCTCAGCGCCTGGCAGCCTCGTTGTGTAGCCTGCAAGGTTCTAGATTTTGTCCCACATGCTGTTTAACATCTCCTGCTGGGGTGTGTAGTACGGATTTGTGATGCAGCAAGCATCAATATGCAGATGACACCTTACTTGCTCCTCTCTGTTCCATCAGAATCAGGAGAGGCTGTGCAGGTGCTAGGCTAGTTGACAGCCTACAAACGGAAGCTCTGTCCCTCTCTCCACCTGTGGAGACCTGGCTATCCCTTATCTTGCATGCACTCAAGCAGCAATTTAAAACTTATTTGTTCCTGCAGGCCTCTATTAGGTAACGTAATTGATGTAATTGTCAACTGTACTTTATTGCCAATTGTGATTTTGCTTTGTTTTTAGATGTTGGTTTTGTGGATTGTTGCAAGCTGCCCTGGGCTCTTGTGAGAGGAAGGGCAGGGCAATAAGTGCAATAAATACTTCTAAGGCTACTACTACTATTACTAAGAACAATGATAATTTCAAAAGGGCCTGCACAGGAGAGGCTCTCATCAGGCACACTATGGGGCGGAGCTTCCATTCAATCCTATGCACACACACAACCATATTCTTCATATATATATATAATTTGAACTGCACATATGAAACCACCATGGTAGCTTTCACACTGTAGCCAACAGCAAAAAAAAATAAATCACAAACATATATATATATATATAAAAGTTAGTATTTCCAATGCTGGATTCCTTTGAACGTTACAGATGGAAATAATTTTAAAGTTACTTTCAAAGACAAAGAAAAAGCACCTTTCAGGATTTCGTGTACCCTTTTCAGAGGCTTCCAACTGTTCAATCTTCATTTTAAGTAGGAAAGGATCCTGGAAACAGAAAGCCAGTTCTGGTGGGTTCTATCCAGCATTGCTGGTGTGGGCTGTTGCTGCCTTCACTTGGGATTTGCAGCCAATATCATTCCGGAGGAGGAAGAGCAGGCAGCAGCGGCCGCTGGAGCTGGCCCTCAGAGCCTGCCCCAGCTGGCAACCCGTAGAAGGACCAAGGAGGTCATCAAGTCCCAAATTCTTTGAGGGAACTGCTGGAACCATTTCCCCCTCTTAAAAGAAACCAGTACGTGGAAAGCCTAAAGAACATACAAGTCTCCTACAAAACCCCCAACTGCTTTCTAGGGGAACAAACACACAGACAATCACTCACGCACTCTCAGCCAAGGTCACCTCTCTCTGCCCCGCAGGGCCACCTTGCACCGCAGGGATCGGACATTCAGCAGGGCAAGAGGCTCCTGGGTCACGCCGGGCCCGGCTCCCACTTTGGGGCCGAGGGCAACAGTCACCTGGGAGCGGCAGCAGCAGCGCCCCAAAGACCGTCACGATTCTGTGTCTGAGCCTGAGCTGCTCTCCCGGCTGATTTCGATCTGCAGCGAGGGCAAGTTGTCAAGGCGGCTCTTCTTCTGGCGAGACTGCTCCTTCTCTTTGATGAGGGCCCCCCAAGCCCGCTGGAGCTCAGAGTCCTCTTCTTCGGGAGAGGCCGACGACTTCTCTGCTTTCTCGGGGACCTTCTCCTGCACCTTTGCTGCGGATCCTAAACGGGTCCATAAGTTTGCTAATAATATAGAGAGAGATTGGAAGAAGAATTGTTAGCAGCAAGAAAAAGGAGCCTTTTAAATGTGTTGTAGGAGGGGGAATTATTGGTTTCTGTTTTTATATTGTAATTTTATTTTGTGAACTGCCCTGAGATCTACAAATAAAGGGCAGTACACAAATTTAATAATAATAAAGAGTTTCATCTACATCATACTCATCTTCCAAGAAGTACAAAGCGGAATTCTCGCCTTGCAACAAGGAGTGAAAGTTAGGCCAAGAGACTGATTCACCCAGTCAGCACCACCACGCTTTTGCCACACTATCATTTCTGCCCAATGGTTGAGCCTCAGCGTACTTGGCGATTCTGTGGTCCTCTCTGGGCCACCATTGTTTCTATGGCAAGGTCGGTTGACATTATGTAGCAGCTTCTCCCCCAGGGACTGACCTGACTTCTTCTCTCTGGTATCAGAGTAGAGGCCTTTCCCGTCCTGCTTGGGGATGCCCAGTCGACTGTGCACATCGGAGAGAGGCTCACGGTGGGACGTGGAGGGGCTTCCAGGTGGGGTGTGGGCTTCTGGGGAGTGCGGCCTCTTGCCAAGCCTCTGCCGAACATCTGGAAATAAGGGAAGGAACAGTCACCCACTGGACTTAATTCTGCTTGCTATTATTCCCACATTCCTCCACCTGCTGCAAAGCATCCGTACAAAGCTGTGTGTATGGCAAGAAGCCTTTGATCCAGAAGTCAGACGGAAGGGCAGCAGTGACAGACAGGTGGGAGAGGATAAAGGTGGAGCAGAGGAGGAAGACAATCCTGGGAAGGCAGGGGGAAAGCTGGCCCAGGATGAGATCACGAAGCGTCCCCTTCTGAAATGGATTCTGAGAGGTAGCAATGAGCCTCGTTGGCTTTCCAGCTCCAGGATGGCATGTAGGAGCATGGTAGGTGCTGAAGCTGAGGACCCTCCCAGCAGGCAACTTTTAAGGATCAAAAGGGCCAATCAGAAGGCAAGACAGCAATTTGCGGCTTCACCAGATGTTTGCTTCAAAGCACGGGAAAATGCGAGAAGGAACCTGGAGGGTTGGGGGATCTCAGAGGTGACTTTGTTGAACATACAAAAGACATGAAACTCCTTCCTCTTTGGGCAAATATTTTTCTTATTTATGTACAATGCACTGTACTGTGTGTATTCAAACTGCTTCCAGGGCATTGTATATCAATAATACAAAAACGCTTACAAAAACTAGATCTCCCTAAAGCAGAAGCAGACTGGAGCAGCCCCCTGACAGAGAGGACCCCCATACCTGATCTCACGGAGTTCAGTGGCTGGCGTGGGCTGGGGTTTCCCTGCCGCTTTTCCTCCAAGAGGAGCCGCACATCAGCCACTTTCTCTGAAGTCCCTTTGCTTCCAATTCGGTTCTTGATGTTGCTGGCTGCAACACTATCTGCTCTCATTGAGTTCCTGTGATGTTTAAGGGGAAAAAAACAATTCTTAATTGGCCCAAGGCTTTCCAAAAGGCCTTTCTGCATGGGGGAGGGGTTTTGGGGGTGCAGGTGTGCCTGTTGGCGGTGGGGTCAATATTGCACCCTGGAAAGAAAAGGCTGAGGCACATTGCTTTTGTTTCTCCTCTCTCTCTCTCCCGGTGTGCTCCCAAAAAGTGGTGGAGGGGCTAGCAGATCAGCCCTTATACCAAAATAAAGATGCAAATTCCCCCTGCATAGCTAGAAGACCCTCTCACACTCTGCCCCACTGAGCCAATGGGGATGTGCCTCCCAGGGAAACTAAAGGCCTTGAATGCAGAAGGCCCAGCCAGCCCTGGCCATCCGAGAAAGGGCAGAGCTCACACACTAGCACTCTGGCCACCACCTCCCCCTCCTGGCACTAATGGAATGGCTCAGTCCACTGCTACTTCACTAGGATGCCTTTCTGAGAATCGGAGGCCTAGCGGTCATACCTGATACTCTTCAGCTGAGACTCCACCTCGTCGGCATACATGGTCATCTTCATGCTCTTCTTGGGGGAGGGAGTGGAGATCATCTTCAGCTCCAGGTCATAGTCCATTTCATCTGAGTCAGACTCGCTGGCTGCGCTGGACCGCCGAGAGGCACTCCGCTCCCGCGACTGCTTGAAAGCCTGCAGCTCATCCCTGTACTCCACAACCACCCGGTCGTCTTCATCCATGTCCTGGTCATCGTCATCTTCCTCCTCCTCTTCCTCCTCAATAGGTTCCTCAGGAACATTTACTAAACCTGCAGGGCAAGAAAGTCATTTTAAGAGACAGCATCAGAACTGCAGAGTTGGGAGAGAGTGACCTGAAAGTCATCCAGCCCAACCGTCTTGGGAAGGAAAGCCTTCACCACAGCAACACCCTTGAAGGGAGAAGATGACCTCTCCTGGTCTCTGCTGGAAAACTTCTAAAAATGAATAACTCACCACCTTCCCAAGTATCCCAGCAATGGCTGGAAAGTCCATACTGGGGCAGAACCCGTCCTACCAAGGTGCAGCAAGGGGGACATGGGGAAATAAAGTAGGCAAAGGCCAAGGGCAAAATAAATGGATCCATTTGCATCCCAGCACAAGCCTTTCTGCTCTGCAATCACCATCATTAATTGTACTCAATAGCAGAAATAATATGAAATGGATTTTAACAGTTTTTAAAAGAAGCCCTATAAATGGGCTAGCTGCTAATTAAAGTACAAGAATTTCCAGAATATTGTTGGAAAGTTCTTATGTTGGTTTTTAAATTAACTGTATAAGAATAAAATGTGTTTTCCTTGTATTCTTGTCAATCCTGCATGGGTGTTTTATTTTTTTTATTTAAAAAAATCATTTCTGGTTTTCATAAGGAGTAATTTTTGTGCCTCAGCCAGAATTAGCCTGACTCAGCTTACTAGAACCATTTTTGTTCTCACAAGACTCTTCTGTACTTCCTTGAAATATGCATCCCTCACCCTGCCTGCTTTTCAGGGTGTTTCATTACCAGGCTTCTCTCTCCTTAGAGGCTGTTGGGTTAATATACAGTATTCTAATGCCACATTTCAGAGCCAAAGCCGCATGACACATGCAGGCTTTCTACGTGACCTAAAACAGGGAACAGCAACAATGAAAAATCCAGCCCAACATCTTTTAATGACCAGGCATTGGGCAGCAAGAGGGTCTTTTCCCCTTGGCTGTGCTCAGAGACCGGCTGCCTTTGCAGCTTAACAACTGATGCCTGAGTTTGCATCTTTCTTCCTGCCTCCATTTTTTCCTTTCAGGCCATATCTCTTAGACTGTAAGTTTGAAGGCAGGGACCGTTATTTTTTTACTGATCTGTAAGCCACTCTGGGAACAAACTAACCATGTTTTGAATAAGCAAAGCAAATTAAAACAAAAAGGTCTTTGCCCAACACATCCTTGGGGTTCCCAGAGCAAATTGCATGACACCTCAAGCAGCCACATACCTTCAAGCAACCAGAGGTATTGGCTTGAACCTCTCAAGCCCCTGAAGGCAAGCAAGGTCACCCTCTTCCCCAACATGCCGATTCCACAAGGCCCCTCTGCAAGCCAATAGCTTCTTCTGCCAAAGGGTTTTGCCTGCATGCAGAATCCAGCCGCTGCCTTTGTTTGGGAAGAGGAACCCTAAAGGAAGCCTTTGCTGTTCTGCTTTTGCAAGGCCCACAAACCACATGGGGACACATTGCACCTGTAGCTCTCAGGTACCTGAGTGGCGATGTTTATAAGGAGGCGTGAGGCCAACATCATCCCCAATGAGAGTCCTTTTCTTAATCACGTCGCGGTGGAGCCTGCGTGAATGGTATCTCCGCTTCCTGGAAAGCCACACAGAGAGGACACAGCTGTCACACACCACCACCAAGAACAGAAGGAAATACCTGTCTGTTCCCTTCCCCGGCAGGGTGGGTCACAGAGCTATAGGCTGCCTCCCTTCCTCACTCACCAGGAGTTGCTCAATATGCCTTTCATGCCTCCATAATTGGGATTCCCATATTTCATGTAATACTGGCTCCTCCTGGCAGCCCCAAGCTCCTTTTTGTCATCTGCAGGAGCAAAGCACAAGCTCAGGGACTACCGTCGGATACTTGCTTTAAAAGTGCCCATCCTATCAAGAACCCCCAATCGAAAACATTTCAAAAAACAGGATGCAATTTTAATCAGCAAGGCAGCAGCACAGGCAAGACACACACACCCCAACAATGAAAAAGGCCAATGGAAGACTCAATTGCCATTCCACCCATCTACCCTCAGAAAATGTTGTGTTTTCATAGAGCATCTAAGACCAAGCAAGGGAGTGGGAGAGTCCTGCTGGAGGAGGAACCGCCCGTCCTGTTTATTTTTACACTAGAACAAACCATCCCTACAGGAGAAGCGCTTTACCTCTGGTAGCAAACCTCATGAAGAGCTTGTTGCCTTTGGCCAGTTTACTGGCTGGACGCAGGTCATTCCGCAACAAGGAGTCTTCCTCCGCCTGGGAGAGTGTGTCCAGCTGTGGAAAGAACACCTGTCAGGCTCAATCTCTCTGCAGGGGCGGAAACTACTGCAAAGGCCTGATTGTTAAAAAGGGGCAGCAATTTCAGCTTCGCCTGAAGACACAATATGGGCGCGGAGAAGCCCAGAGGTCCTGTACCCCAGGGTTCAGAGACCGATCCCAGTAAGGGGTGGGGGAGGGCTTCTTGGAAGCATATGGCTGCCCTCTGAGGGGAGGAAGAAGGCTTAACCAGATAGGCCACTTTGGTGTGCTCCAGCAAGACTCTGCTTGCCTTCTCATGACATTCCATGGGAGCAGGGAGGAGAAAGAGAGAAGTGTTCTTATATGGATAAATAGCCAAGTATTTGATTGCTGAAAGATGCTCTTCCTGGCAGCCTTAACATTATCGGTTTTTTATTACAGCTTGAAAAACAAGGAAAACATGATACAGAATACCCTGTGGGTATAGGGTGGTATACAAGTGTAATAAATAACAACATCAAGTACGAAGCACTTTTTAAACATAAAAACTAAGAGAGAGAAAAGAAGGGGGGAAGCAAAATACTTCTGATTCTTTGTCTATCAGCTATATAAACTTATGCAAAATACTTGCTCTTCTACTTTCCATAAACCATCCTTTTTTCAGTCCTCAAACCCAGATAGCAGTAGAAAATATTCCTAGGCAAATGGGGAAATGAGTACGTCTGCATCAGAAAATGTTCGGCTGCCCAAGTGAAACATGCCTAATTCAGCACGTTTATTCTACTTTTATTCTTTAGAAACTGCCAAGTTCACCTAATGTTTATCTGACACTGGCACCCATTCACTGTTACTAGTGAATTTTCCGCGGAACTATAAAGCAGTGAAAATTTCCTGACCCAGCCTCCTGCACTGACCTCGGTCTCATTTGGATGGTCGTCTTCCACCTCGCCCTCCTCCGCCTCGTCATCAGAGCTCTCTTCCTGTTTCTCTGAAATGAAGTGCACACAAAAATGAATGTCAAAAGGTGGTGTGTGCCATTGGATGATGTGCTGCTTCACCACCTCCAACTGCCACAACTCCATAGAAACCACCCCACGAAGTGGGATCCCTCCACAGGAAGGAGGGGAGAGGAGCAGGCAGCTTGTGCAACAACACACCAGCACCCTGAGCCACATGGGGTTGAGAAGCAGAAGTCCATCTACAAGAGGGAACCCAACTGAGAACGCTCTCAAGGTAGAGCTTTGCTTTCTCACTGAACAGTGAGGGATGGTGATATTCGAAAGGGCACACAGCTGAAGGGCAGGGAACCTCCTCTGCATGCATATGGCCCCAGGCAGCAGCAGTGGGGCTGGGGAAGGCATGGAGCCCTGAAGGAACAGAGGATGCTGCCCTATGAGACCGAGACAGGCCTCTGGTCTCTCCAGCTCAGTACTGCCTACACTGACTGGTAATGCTCTTCAGGGCTTCGGGCGGAGGGGTGTAACCAATGTCAGTCGCACTGAAATTTAAGGGCATAAGTGAAGTTACATCCATTAATTTGAATGGCTTTGCTCTGAGCAGCACTAACAGTTGCCATCCTGGGGGTTTTCAGTGATACCAGGGATCTGCATACCAAGAGGCTGCTCTGCCAGTGAGCTCAGCCCTTTCTGTAAAACATTCAGCGTTGTCTCAGTGATGTAACTCAGTGCCAAGCAAGCAGTTTCATAAGCACATCCAACCTGGGCTGCAGGTTATTCATGACCATCGGTAGCCACCTTGAGGGTCCCATGTGCCAGGATGAAAATAAGACCACAAACATCAATTTTAAATATATGACCGTGCAAAGCTGCCTGACGCTGCCAGATTCTGCTGGCAGCTATGGCAGCACTCAGAGGTCCTTCCCAGCCCTGCCATCCAAAAGCCTTTTCTCCCTGGGGACAGAGACAAAGCACACTGAACTTTGACCCCAGGCTTTTGCCACCCTGCTTGTAGCCTGCCTTTTCTTGAAGGAGCTCCAGGAAGCAGCGACTTTACAATGGGATTTCTCTTTTCCAAGGCTGAGAAACAGTGAGGCCTTGAACCAGTACTTCACATAGCCAAAGGCAATACTCCAACCAGTGTGCCACCCTGGTTGGTCCCAAGGGTGGCACTCCAGACATGCACTGAGCAGCTCTGAGTGCAGGTGCCCAGGCGAGCCATGCCTCAAAGGCCAGAGCTCAGGGACCCCCTCCCCAGGGAACAAGGAAAGGTCAGCTTCCAGAAGCATCTACCTTTCTTGCTTGCCTCCACCACCGCCACCTTCTTGCTGTTTTCTTGGGGTTTCATCTTCTCCTCCTCAGGCATAGAGCTCATGTTGATGAGCGCTCGGGTGGCTGTTACCTCGTCAAGCCAGACAACGTTGCCTTCAAGCAAAGGAGAGCCAGTCGGTGGCACAGCCAGACAAAATGGCAGTGCTGCAATGTCCCAATGCACAGGGCAAGCATGAAGCTTTGTTACGGTTTGTCTTGTGCATGAGGTGAACAATCCTGCACTGTTAGCATCTAAACACAGAATGGGGAGCAGGGGGACATGACAGACAGACAGACAGACAGACCTGGGCCCAATTTATCCCACATCAGCCAAGAGAGCCGAGGGATTACACACCCTCAGCAACTTACATGAAGTGTCATCCAGCCACTCGATGTGAGCAGGAGGATACTCCTTGAAATAGGCAAAGATGTCCTGGGTGCTCATTTCATCAACACCACAAACGTAGATGGTGTCCAGCCGGACTTTCGGGATGGCTGCAAAGAAACCCATTATCTCCTTTAGCTGCCAGCAACAGGAGGGAGAAACACACAATGCGGAAAGGGAAAGGAAGAGCACGAGAGGCCTCGCTAGGAGGCAATGATGAAAAAGTCATTGCAATTTACAGAGAGGCAAAGAACTGCAAGAGAGGAAGATGGTGGGGAGAATAACAACCCACTTCATGAGACATTTTTTAGGGGCAGGGTTTGAGAAAAACTATTAGACTATTTTATTTTAGAATGAGTCAGTTATGTTTTAAAGAGAGGGTTTAAAACTATTTGCATTGTAGCAGCACTTTCTCCAGTTTATTGATAGAGCTGACTCTTCTTTCCAATTTTAAAAAATCATTTAGTTTACTACAATGCTGATGTTTTCTGTATCCGGTATCATTTCTCTCGCCCTCTTCCTATATATTCTCAACAGGTAAAAGCCAAGCTCTGTTGGGCTCAATCTCCAACATGGGGGCATATTTATGTAGAAAAAAATTATAAACCACTTAATAATAACAAGTCTAAGCAGTGTACATACATTAATTCTCAATAATAAAATAGGCATACATAACTAGATTATGCCTGGACGTTTTCCACCAACAGCCTTTTCTCCCAAGTAAATAGATTTTATTGCTTTATAAAACAAGAAAACTCATGAGGAGGAAAAGCCCCTCCTTCACAAAGGCCAGCTCTGGAATCCCCTGATACAGAAAGGAGACTGAAGCTCCAGAAGAACAAGATTTCTCGTTGCTTAAGCCACTAAGCCACACACAGCTCCAAATACCTTTCTTCACCATGTCTCGGTCCAACGCCACGTTTCTTTGTGCGAGATTCACCTCTGCACGGAAATGAAAACGCTTTGCTCTTTGCTCCTTCTTCTCAATGGCTTCCTACAAAAAGCAAAGGCATCAAAAGGAGAAAGAGCCAGCTAGTCAGGCATCATAGGCAAACCAGGAGTCATAGAGGAGCTGGCTCCTGACACATGAGGAACAGAGAAAGTTCATCACAAAACCCATCAGCTAAACCCCTCGTCTGACGAAGGATTGCCTCATTACCTGACACAGAACAGCAACAAAACTTATGGTCTGGTACTTCAGGAATGACAGGCCTGTTCCCTTAGAACAAGCCTCCATGCAGTTTGGACATTTCTGCCTCTCCCGAATTGGGTGATGAAATCCAAAGTAAGTATGGTGGGTGAAGTAAAACCTAGAGTCAAGTTAGCGTTGCAGCAAAAAGTGCCCAAAAGAGTGGCTTAAAACAGGGATGCAAACATCTGAGGGAGAATGCTGGAGGCTGGCTTTTGAGGCAGTTACAACAGTTTGGTGACACAAACTTTCTTTGGGTTTGATGGCTGGAACCTTCCTCTCAGAAGACAGGCGTCAACTGGCATAAAAGGCTGTTTGGAAGCAAGTCCTAGCTCTACTGCTAGTACCAGCAGACCCCCCCCCCCCCCGAACAAAAAAGGGAACAGTTTCCTTTCTGAAGTAAAACTCCTCTAATAAAACAGGGCAGTAGAGGGGCTTTGCAGCCTCAATGCCATGACACTCGGATACTTCGTGTAGCTGTGACACAGCCATCCACAGCTGCCAAGAACTGCTTTCCAGCTGCCTAGGGAGGTCTCCCCTGCTGAGAGCCTGCCTCTCTCCACCTGGCCTAGGGCAGGGCCTGGCTGGCCTCATAAGGACTGCTGCTGCGGTTGCTGTCCAACAAGGACTGGGGTATTTTGGGGAAAGTTTTGTTGGGAGTTTTTGCTGTTGTTACTGATATTAACTTTTTGTATATTTTTATGTGGAAATTGTTCAGTTTGGTTATGTAGATTTTAATGTGTTATTTTTATGACTATTTGCTATGTTTGTAATTATGTAAATCTTTTCATATTGTAAGCCGCCTTGAGCATTGTTTTAACTGTGAAAAGGCGGCATACAAATAAAATGATGATGGTGGATTCGCAGCAGCTGCCACCTTACGAGCCTCCTACACGTCCAGAGGTGGCATTCTCAGCCCTTCAAAATAATACCTACACAGGGTACAAAAACACAGAAAGAGCCATTTGGCTCAACCCCCGTAACAAACCCAGCCTCTTCAATAAAGTGTTACAGCACAGAAATACTGTGTGCAACAGCCAAAGACAGCTTGTGTCACAAACATAAAGGTGCCCACTGTCAACTGAATGCGTAAAAAACTAGAAACATAACAAATGATATATCAGCTGTAGAAAAATAGACCAACTGAGTCTGAAACCCGCCATTTGCTAGAGCAGGCATGTCCAACCTGTCGATCACGATTTACCATTCGACCGCAGGGCATCCCTTGTTAATTCTGGACGACTGCATGATACTGAAAGCTCCCCCCCCCCCAAAAAAATAGCTCAACAACTTTGGTGCAGCCTCCCCCAAAAAAGCTTGACACCTTTGGTCAATCCAATGGGAAAATCACTGCCAGTATTTTTATGGTGGGAGTAGACTGCAGTCTCTTGGGAGTTGGACATGCCTGTGCTATAGTTTCAGGTTTAGTGTAAAACCTCCAAGCACGCATGGAATACCTTTGAAGTGACATCAATCCCAGTGATGAAGCTCCCGGCTTTGTTTTCGTATCTTCTGCTGGTGTCCTGAAATGAAAACAAAATCATAAGTAAAGCAGATAAGCAAGCTACAATTCTACATCGGGCCATACACAGGTGCTGCTTTTGAGGCCTCAGAATGCCAAAGGACACCAGACGAGAAACCGTTTACTGATAAAAGTGGGGAGCCCACCACTGCTGCCCACCTTCCGTCGAGAGCTCCAAACCAGGTGACCTTCTTCGCAGGGCCAATTCACAAGGCCGCTTCCACCTGCTGCAGCTTTTCCCTCGGCCAGGGCAAAGGGCAAGTGCAGCCAGCCGGCTCCCTTTGCCAAGCTACAGTAGCCCACTTAAAAACCAAAAGCGGGGCCTTCTTGAAAGCTGACCCCGCCACCCCCGTGTTACGTGGGGCTGGAGAGTGCCACGGGCGACCCTTTGTCTTCCGAGCTCTCGCCGACCTGCCAGAGCCCGGCCCTGAGTGAGGAGGCGGGTGCGGAGGGGTCGGAGGCCCCACCCATCGCCATGCGGGGATGGGGGGCACGAGGCCCCTCTACCCGTGGTGAAAATGCACTCTGCCCATGCCCAAGGGAACTCTCTTCTCTCCCGACTTTGCAGGCCCGAGGCATTCCCGCCCCAGCCCCCTGTCTCCGTTACCGGCAGCAGCTCCCTCAGCGAGCGCCGCACCGGCACCTCCAGCTCCTCCTCTTCGCCGTCGTCGTCCTCCTCGTCTTCGTCGTCTTCTTCTTCTCCTCCGGCGGGGGCGGCGTCGGGCGGAGGAGGCGCGGCTTCTGGGCCCGGCGGGGACGGCCTGGCCTGCACCACCAGCAGCTCGCCCTCCTCCACCTCCATGGGCTCCGGCTCGGCCGCCTTCACGGAGATGCGGAGGCCCCGCACCGCCGCCATCGCCTCACGAAAAAGCCGCCGCCGCCGCCGCCGCCGCCGAGGGAGGGAGGGACCGGAAGCAGGAAGGGCCCACAGAGGGAAAGGGTGTCCGGATGTCCGGAGAGAGCGTCGCCGGAAAACGGCAGGGGGCGCCGGTGCAGAAGAGAGAAGAGGCACAGAACGGGCCCAGGACGAACGCCGTCTCGTCATCGCCCCCTTCAGGCGCGTCTCGGAACAAAACGTACCAACAGCTACCAGCAGGGTTTAGGCCGCGCCAAGCTGGCGGACTCTGACCGGCAGCCTCTTCGGGGCGGGCAGGGAGCACGTTCTTCTCACTGCAGCTGCTGCCACCTTCTTCATCTCTGGTGTGCTTGTCCCCTCCCTCCATAAATTGGTCTAATCCCTCTCTAAACCCATCCAGGTTGGCAGCCACCACTGCCTCTTCTTGTGGCAGAGAGTTCCACAGTTTAATTCTGCGCTGCTGCATAAAGAAGGTCCTTTCTCTGTTTTGCTTGTGAATCGCCTTCCCTTCAGCTTCAAGGGAGCAGTCCATTTGAACTCTGGGGCTCTGAACTCTGCATCATCTCTTATTATTCTATCAACTGGGACCCAATTCATGAGGCCGAGGTCCCTTTGGCCCCCCAGTAAAATATTTGAGGGCACTGGCCCCCCAAAGTTGATGGGCATTGCCATTCAGATGGTGTGCATGCACCACATCTTGTGATTGATTATGCGGGGCTTAGCTGGGCCTCCCCAATATTTTATTCAAATTGGCACCCCTGAATTAGAGCAAATAATAAAGATGATAATGGGCAACCTTGTTTTGTCCTGCAGCTAAATGGACATTTCTTTGTGAATCCATATTATCCTAATTGTAGGAGATGTACTATCATGCATATTTTCTAATATTCTGACAACTTTAGGGCCAAATGCATTCTTTTCATCACTGATTAAATACTTTGGTTCCATGCAGCCAAATGCTTTAAATTTAAGTTTAATGATAAACAGGCTAGTGGTGAGGTAGTCTGTTTACTATGGTGTATTATGTTTAATAATTGCCTAATTGAGTCTGTGATTTTACACACCAATACAAACCCAGCTTGATCCAGATGAATCATTCCATCAATTTTGATGGGAGTTCAGTGGGTGATCGTTCATTATTTTCTTGTTTCACATAGTCAGCCAATAAACTGTTGCCAGGTACTTTAAAAAGAAAAAGTTCTGGCATGCCTTGATCGGTCCAGACTTGATTAGTCAATGCATTCTTTTTTCTTAAAAGGCCAAACATCTCCACATTTTTATCATGCTTTGGCCTATCCTGCCCTTTCCTGTGAGCTCAAGGAGGGAAAGAAAGAGCAGAGAAGAATCCAAACAAACCCATCTGGTGCAGAAAAAGCGGCCAAGTCAACAGACACTCGGTCCTACTTGATCCTGGCCCTGGAATGCGAGCCCAAAGTGGGAGCTCTTGGCCCCAGGCCCCCCAAAATTGAGGGGCAACAGCTTAAGGTTCACAGAAAGCTCCCTGGCCAAGGACACTGAGACAGCCTCTCTGATATACAGATGGACATCTGCCTGTCTGTCTGATGCAGCCTGGCTGAGGCCTGCAAAAAACTGATGCAATCCCACCAGTAAACCTGGTGTAAGGCCTGTCTCTGCAGCTTGCCTGTCACCCTTGAATGTGAAATGCCTCCTTGCCACGGAGACACAAGTCCTCTTCATTTCTGATTTTTAAAAATGAAACCAGGGCCAGCTAGGCTGGTTTTCTTCCTACTACTGAACCTCCAGCCTGGCAAGGCGGTCCCAGCTGACAAGTGCAAATGGAAGCCCCCTCCGGCAGCCTGGCCTGCCGAGGAGGAACTGTTCCGTTCCCATATTTTACAGACTGATTTACAGTTGGGCTATGGCTGTAAATCCGTCCTCTCCTGGACAGCCAAGATTCCAGAAGGGCTGCAGCCATCCTGGCAATAAAACAAGCCAAGTCCGGACACATCTTGGGAGAAGAGCCACCTGGGGTGGGGTTGAGGTTGGGGCTGGAAATCCTGTGGGGAAACTGCCAGATAGCGGAAGTTGGGATTGGAGGAGGAGAGGGAGGGCAAGGGAGGCTTTGGGGGGGGGAGCCCAGTTTGGCTCCTGAGGGAGACAGACAGCCAATGGAGCTGGGCAGTGGTGAGGAGAAGTTGGCAGGGTTAGAGGGGACAGGGGTTAGGATAGAGGCAGTATGGTGTAATGGTTAGAGTGCTGGACTAGGACCTGGGAGAGCAAGGTTCGAATCCCCACTCAGCCCTGAAGCTCACTGGATGGCCTTGGGCCAATCACTCACTCTTAGCCTAAGCTCCCTCACAGGGTTGTTGTGGGAAAGAAATGAGGAGGAGGAGAACCAGGCACATCACCTTGAGATCCTGGGAATATAAAAGTATATAATATATACTTATAAAATATATAAATGTAAAAAATAAATAGGATGTGGGAGCCAGGGAGAGTAGGGGCTCCTGGCTTGTGGTTTTCCTCAGTCTTGAGTGTCTCGAATGTTTTAGGCCAGGTGAATTTGACCTGTGCTTAATTCATTTCTAAACTGGGCAACTTTAGAAGAGAAGGAAAAGGAGCATTTCAGAGTTTCCCTCTTCCTCCTCCTCCTGGTTGCCTTCCTTGACCTCCCCAACCCCCAGGCCTAAATCGTAGCCTTGCCAAAGGAGCGACCCTAAGCAAGGAGCCTCTTTCGCACCCAGATCTCCCCCTGACAATGTTGGCTGGCTTTCCACACCTGCTTGCCTTGGCGGTTCCAAGTCACATTGAGAAAGAGAGAAGGGGCCACGCCAGGAACAGCTGCCCCTTCCCACTGGTGGCCTGGATTAAGGGAACATGATAGGCCTCTCCTCCAGAGCAGGGCAAGGGAAGCCAAATGCAGTGGAGACTAAGGGCCAGCTCCCCCAGGACCAGGGCAAGGAGCAAGGCCACCTCCTTTGCAGGAGCTGGTTACGAACCCCTTCTGGAAGCAGGATTTGTCCCTAGAGCCCCCAAGTAAGGCTCAGCCCTGGCACTTGGGAAATCAATGTCAGAGAAGTCTGCCCCTGAGCATGTGCAGAATGCCTTTCACTCATCACAGATCCCTGTCAAATATGAAGGAATAATAACAAACCTATTTCTCCCCGGCAAGGTTGCCAAGTCCCCGCACAGCCCCTGTGTTTTTAAAACCTCCTGGGCTTAGAAAATGTGAGCCAACATAGAATCATAGAGGTGAAAGAGACCCTGAGGATCATCAAGTCCAACTGGCTGCAATATGCTGTTGTCCCATAAGGGGATCGAACCTGCAACCTTGGCATAATCAGCACCAAGCTCTAACCAACTGAACTATTGGTTGGATGCCTCTTGTTTGACTGCAGGAGGCAGGGGCACTTGAGAGCAGCAGCCTGCCATTCTATACAATGACAGGCAAAGGGCTCTGGGAGTAGGCAGGGGACAGCAAACTTTTTCAGCAAGGGGCCGGTCCACTGTCCCTCAGACCTTGTGGGGGGCCGGACTATATTTTGAAAAAAATAATGAACGAATAAAAGCACACATTCTACTCATGTATAAACACCAGGCAGGCCCCACAAATAACCCAGAAATGCATTTTAAATAAAAGGACACATTCTACTCATGTAAAAACATGCTGATTCCCAGACCGTCTGCGGAACAGATTTAGAAGGCGATTGGGCCGGATCCAGCTTCCGGGCCTTAGTTTGCCTACCCATGTAGTAGAGCTAGTGAAGGTAAGAAGCGCTTGGGGGAAGGAGCAAAGCAAACTTAGCAGGCAGTTGGGGGGGGAAATAAAGGGACCCTCCAGGGTGGTGCAGCCAAGTATTTGTTATCATCCGCCAGGAATGTGTGGGGAGGATTGGCCAGAACTCCTGGAGAAGTGTGGCTGTCAGCGTGAAACCGGTTCTCCAGCGTTGGCCTGGCAACTCAAGAGCCCCCAAGAGTGTCCTTTAAGGGGAGCTGCAGGGGATAAGAATCATACAATTGTAGAGTTAGAAGACACTTAAGGGTCATCTAGTCCAACCCCCTGAAATGCAATGATGATGATATTATTATTATTATTATTATTATTAATTGCCATCCAACATGGGGCTCAAACCTACGACCCTGAGATTAAGAGTCTCGTGCTCTACCAACTGAGCTGTTGGGGCTCTGGAACGTCCAGGGGGTCGCCATATAGAATCCAGTGAGGAGGCGAACAAAGAAGACGAAGGAGAGCACACAAGCAGGATTTAGGCAGAAGAACCCTCTCCCTTCCTGTGGTGCTCAGCAACTGGTATTCAGAAGCATTATCACCTCTGGCTGTGGTGGCAGAGCCTAGCCATTGTGGCTAGTAGCCATCAATACGCTTCTCCTCCACGAGTTTGTCTGGGCTTCTGAAGTCACCCAAGCTGGTGACCTTCACTCTCTCTTGTGGGGTGGAGTTCCACAGGTTAACTCACTGCTGCGTGAATCTTCCAACGGTAGGCGAATTTCCTCAGCATTCTGATGCAATCCCACACTGCAGGGAGGACAGTGTGCAAGTGGATAGGGTAGCAATGAAAGGGGGGGCAGTCTCTTGGGTCTTTCCCACCGGACAGCTGCCTGTGTCCCCTTGCTCTGCGGAGTGACACTGCCATGCCAATGTGGCTCCACCACGGGTCTTGCAAGTAAAATGCTCTGCAGCGGTTCTCAACCTGTGGGTCCCCAGATGTTGTTGGACTACAACTCCCATCATCCCTGAGTTCTGGTCTTGCTAGCTAGGGGTGATGGGTGTTGTAGTCCAACAACATCTGGGGACCCACAGGTTGAGAACCACTGCTCCAGAGGATGCCAGCCGGCCTGCCTGCCTGCCTGGGGTTTTCCATGCAGCCAAGAGATTCCTTCCACCTTCCGATACTGTGAGCAAGTTGGCCGCTGTGCAAACATTTGATCCTGTCCTTACGGCTGCAGCTGCTGGATTCCTGTGCCTGGAGGAGAATGGAGGAGGAGGAGATAGAATAATAGATTCTTAGAGTTGGAAGGGACCCAACGGTCATCCAGCTCAACCCCCGGCAATGCAGGAATCTCAGACAAAAGTTTATGAAATAATACATGGCATGGAGAAAGTAGATAGAGAAAAGTTCTTCTCCTTCTCACCTAACACTAGAACTGGTGGACATAAAATGAAGCTGAATGTTGGAAGATTCGGGGTGGATAAAAGGAAGGACTTCTTCATGCAGAAATGAGTTAAACTGTGGAACTCCCTCCCACAGGAGGCAGTGATGGCCACCAACTTGGATGGCTTTAAAGCAGGCATAGGCAAACTCCAGCCCTCCAGATGTTTGGGACTACAATTCCCACCATCCCTAGCTAACAGGACCAGTGGTCAGGGATGATGGGAATTGTTGTCCCAAACATCTGGAGGGCTGGAGTTTGTGCCTGCTTTAAAGGAAGATTGGACAAATTCAGGGAGTCGGAGAGGGCTATCAGTGGCTGCTAGCCAGGGTGGAAATGTCCTACCTCCACAATTGGAGGGAGCGATGCCTGTGAACACAAGTTGCAGGAAAACACAAATGGGGAGAGTTGCTCTTTCACTCAAATCCTGCTTGCAGGTTTCCCCCAGCCAGCCACTGTGAGAGCAGCATACTGGACTACATGGGCCATTGGCCTGATCCAGCAGGCTCTTCTTCTTACATTGTTAGGGAGGAAAGCCTCTGGGAAAAGTGGAAAGCAAAAGAAGAGAAATTCCCCCCCATTTGGGGGCACATGAATTCCACCTCTGCAAACACCCAGAGTGTGACTCCAAAAGGCTCATTTGGCTGTCCGTTTAATTTGGTTAAAGCGCATTAAAAGTGTGTTGCGGTTTCTGGCACATGGGAGGTGTGCAAGTGTCCCCAGCTCAGTCATGCCTGCCCTCCTCCCAGGAGGGGAGACAGTCCAGGGGGATGGCTTAGCCCTGTGTGCAAAAGAGTCCTTGTGGTCTGTCTCTTCTCTGCAAATAAACCACGAGTGGAAATTGAGGCTTCTTTGTAGTTTAACACTTGCGGTTTTCTGGAGGAAACAAACCTCCAGCCTGGGATCATGCGCAAAACCCCAAGCCAAACTCTGGTTTCATTCATATATATATATGTGTGTGTGTGTGTGTGTGTGTGTTTTAGCATATCATTTTCAGCAGTAATTCAACATACTTTTACATCTTATTCAAGTTTTTTGACTTCTATCAGTCCTGTCTGAAAATTTTCCAATCTAATCTCTTAGTATGCATTTCTTATTTTCCCTATTACATTTCAGACTCATAACCAATATCTCTATCTTTTTCTACTTTGTAACACTTTGTATATTTCTCCTTACAAAACTTCTTGTAGTCCTACTAGCATAATTTGTTGATTACAGTTGCTCTTCAATAATTCATATACTTCTTCCAATCTTCTGTAAATCTCTGGTCCCGCAGGTTTCGAATCCTTCCTGTCATTTTGTCCAATTCTGCATAGTCCATTAATTTCATCTGCCATTCTTCTTTCGTCGGAATTTCTTCTTGCTTCCATTTCTGGGCTAACAATACTCTGTTGTTGCATATAAGAACAGTTTGTCATCTTATCTATTAATGTCTTGGCCTATAATACCAAGTAAAAGTGCTTCTGGTTTTTTAAGAATCTTTTTCATTTCATTTTTAAGAATCTTTTTCAACATCTTTTTCATCTCATTATATATCATTTCCCAGAAGTTCTTTACTTTCTTACATTCCCACCACAAGCCAGACTCTGGTTTCTTTCCTCTGGGAAGACATAGGAACATGAGTCAGGTTTTTGCTCTATCTAACTCAGTATTGCCTACACTGACTGACAGCAGTGGCTGCCCAGGGTTTCAGGCAGGGGGCATTCCCAGCCCTGCCCCGAGATGCTGCCAGTGGGGACTGAACCTGCCGCCTTCCGCATGCAGGGCATATGCTCTAACCACTGAGCTACAGCCTATTAGAGAGGGGGCAAGCACAGTTAAGCCCCATACACCATTGTTTATTTTTAACTATGGTTTAACCCTACATACAAACCTGGCTCTTGTATGAGCATTTAGATGTAGTGTTCGTTCATTCATGTAGTGTAGTTCATCCAGCACTATTCATGCTCCCTTCCTGCCAAGGAGCGTACAGTCTAAAATTTCACACGGGAGATATTGGGGGGCACAGGAAAAAGCGCTTAGTCGTTTCAGTCCCACATAGTGATGCTCAGGATGGCAGAAGGACCGGGAGGCAGAAAACAGGGTTCTGGATGGGGAACGTCCAGGAAGTGAGGGATGCAACTCCTCCCAGAGACATCCGGGGTGGGAGTCTAGCAGGTATAAGGAGCAGCGAGCGAGAAAAGGGGGTCTTGTGCTACGGACTTAAGGAGCCCCAGAGCTTTGCCCACCTGATTCTGGGCCCAGAGGGGGCAGGGCAAGGAGCTTCCCTATGCACAGAACCCACCCTCCACTCAGCCCCTGCTTCTTCTGAGGTCCTCCTTCCCCTGCCTTGCTTGATCCATCTGGCCAGCAGGACTAGCAACTCACTTTTTTAAAAGAACAGTTCTGAATCCCCTCCTTCCCCCTGCCCCGCGTGTTTACACTCCCACATATTTGCTGTCAGGGAAAGTGGGAGGTGGCATTTGTGTGTGTGTGTGTTTGCATGCGTGTGTGCCTCCTGCAGTCGCTGGTGAGGCAAAAGGAAGGCTCAGGTGCCTCTGGAGGATGGGGGGAGATGCTTATCTCTCAAATGCCCAGGGGTGGGTCTCTGGTGCCACCTCCATGACACATCAGGCCAGGCATGGCTTTCCGCCTGGACCTTTGCTCCTGCTGCTCATCCTCCTGGGCTCCCTGCCTTAGAATAACCCTTCCTGGGTCCACCCATCACAGCTGGGTTATTTTGGGGGCAATTGAGCTGTCCCAAGGGAAGGGAAAGTAGGACATAGACGCTGCTCTCAGCTTTTCATCTCCATGCTCCTGCTGAACATGGGGCAGCCCCACTTGTGTGTTCTGGGCGACTGGGGTGTTTACTACTTTGGGATTTTGTGGAAGGAAGCCCTTATGTGAGGAAAGGTAGAGAGATATGTTTAGGAAACAAGATGTGGTCTAGTAGCCATCATTAGCCCTCTCCATGACAGACCCTCCAACTGTCCCTCTTTTCCAGAGATAGTCTTGGATTTACAGCAGCCACCTCAGTTTCTGATTTAATCCCAGAATATCCCGCTTTTCTTTAGGACGTACCTATTTTCATCGGAGAAATGTTGGAGGGTATGCGGCCTGGAAAGTTATGCAACCCCTGAGCCAAGGAGATAAGTAACTATACAGTGCAAGCTTTAGAAGACATCTGAAGGCAGGCAGGCCTGTACAGGGAAGTTTTTTTGTTTTTTAAAAAGTTTAATTATGTTTTTATATATGCTGGAAGCCGCCCAAGAGGCTGGGGCAACCCAGTCAGATGGGCAGGGTATAAATAATAAAATTGTTGTTGTTGTTGTTGAATAGGACGTCCCTATTTTCATCAGAGAAACATTGGAGGGTATGCAAATTTGTCTAATGGTTGTTTTAAGCCATCCACGTTGGTGGTCATCACAGCCTTGGTTAGGGCATGGGCATAGTCAGGATTTGGGGGGGAGCAGAACCTAAGACCAGTCCCAGAGCCAGTTGCGTGCCTCCCCCCCCCCGCCCCCTCCATCTTCCCATCTTGCCTCTCTCTGCCAGGGTATATCATGTTGCCTTGCCCTGCACACAGCTAGAGCTTTGCTCTGGAAAGAATGGGAGCCAGCCCAGGAATGAAAGAGATGGGCTGCTCAGATAACGCTGGGCGGCTGCCGCTGCTCCTCCTGAGGGAGGTGGGGAGCTGTCCAGTCGGGCCCAGCCCTGGCCGGGAGTCAACACACACAGGGAGAAAACAAAGTTTGCAGCCATAGCAGCAGCAAATGGGTGCAGAGATGGGATTCTGCCTCCCGGCTCTCCAGGGGTCCGGTTTCTGCAGACCGAGGGAAGAGGCCTCCTTTGGGATCCTCAGCGGGGCGGGAGGCAAGGAAGGGAGCCAGTGTTTGTCGGCAGGGTCCGGGCACAGCGCAGAGCCAGCTACCTAGTTGGCCGAAGAGCTGGATTCATGGTGGAGTGTTGGCATGAAGAATGGAAGGGTCAGCTCAATCCCTTTCCTTCACCAGAAGACTTGGAGCCCAAGGGGAGCTCTCTGGGTCTTCTGAGGCAACTGTGGGTCCCGTCCCCCCGTCCCCCCCGCTGAGAACATCTTGAATGGCTTTGAGAGAGGATTAGGCCAATTCATGGAGGAGGGCTATGGATGGCTGCTGGCCACAATGGCTGCACTCTGCCTTCATGGCTGAAGGCAGCAATGCTTCTGAATACCAGCTGATGGAAACTTGCAGGAAGGGAGAGTGTTGCTGTTGCACTCAAATCCTGATTGAGGGTTTCCCATAATGGGCATCTGGTTGGCCACTGTGGCAACAGGATGCTGGACTGGACGGGCCATTGGCCTAATCCGGCAGGGCTCTTAGGGTAGCAGGCAAGCCTCTCTCCATATGCTCCCAGCTCCCCCCTACCTTCCAAAGGAAACAGGGCTTTCCTTGGGGGGTCAGAAATGGTGGTTGTGGCCTGTTCAGAAACAGCCCACCAATGAGGAAGGGTGAGTAGAATCACAGAATAAAGAATTGCAGAGTTGGAAGGCACACCAACTTCCTGCAATGCAGAAATCTCAACTAGATCATACATGACAGATGCCCTCCAACCTCTGCTTAGAAAGCTCCAAGGAAGGAGAGTCCACCACCTGTCATGGGAGTCTGTTCTGCCATCAAACAGCCCTTAAGGTCAGAAAGTTATTCCTGATGTTTAGTAGTAATCCCCTTTCTTGTAGCTTGAAGCCATTGATTCAGGTTGGGCCCTCCGGAGCACGAGAAAACATACCCAATTCCTTCAACCAGTCCTCATCAGGCTTGGTTTCCAGACCCTTGATCATCTTGGTTACCCTCCTCTGCACATGTTTCAGCTTGTCAACATCCTTCTTAAGTTGGGGTGCCCAGAGCTGGACACAGGACTCCAAGTGTGGTCTGCCCAAGGCAGAATAGAGTGGTAGTATTACTTCCCTTGATCTAGACTTCTGTTGATGCAGCCTAGAATTGCATTGCCTTTTTTTGCTGCTGCTGACTCCTGCTGACTCCACTTTGAGGTTGCTTTGCTTTACAATCAAGCGGTGTATACGTTTTGTGAAATAAATAAGTAATAAATAATTGCACAACCTGAATTTGTGATATGTTATCAAGGCCCAAGGAAACTGAGCAACATTCTGAAAGTGCCCTGCGATGGGTCCAGGTGCCACCTGTGAAATTACCTTGGGGAGGAAATCCAAAAATGGGGTAGGGTGGGTTGATTGGGTGGGCAAATGAGATAATAATGTTGCACACCACCCCAATCTCTGAGCAGTGAGAGATTCCAGAGCTTCCAGGTACTTACCTGGGGTTCGGTTTCCATGGAATGAGGGACAGAGACTGTGGTGTCTTTATGATATATGGTTTATTTACACATATCAACACAACTTGAGCCTAAGATGGAGGGGCTCACAGCATAAACAGCCCCAAAGGTATTGCTTCCCCCATAGCCACGGCCTTGGTTTCCGTCAGAAATAAAACGCAGCTCTGTTTCTCCTGCTTCTACTTCTCAGTCCCTGCACCCCACAACTCCGGCTCTGGCTTTTGTTTTCCAATACTACTAGCCAGGTGAGGCTGGTATACCTTTTGTTCTTTGGCACAGAGCAACTTCCTCTGTGGTACTGAGGAAGGTTCTTAGGGCCATTAACTCACCAAGAAACTTGCCTGACTAGTTCAACAATGGAATCCGCCATTTAACACTTGATGGATCTAGGACTTCAGAAATTAGAAGGCATCATGCAGACTTACCCCCTAAATCTCACAACAATCATTATTAACGCCTCAGTGCACAAAACCATAGAATTATTGAGTTGCAAACCCTCCAAGTTTCCCTGTTTTCCAGGAACAGCCTCGGATTTACAGAAGCTATCCCGGTTTCTGATTTGATCCTGGAATGCCCTGCTTTTCCTTAGGACGTCCCTATTTTCATCGGAGAAATGTTGGAGGGTATGGAGTTATCCAATCCCTGAGCCATCTGAAGGCAGCCCTGTCTAGGAAAGTTTTTTTAAAAATGTTTAATGTTTTATTCTATTTTTATATATGTTGGAAGCTGCCTAGAGTGGCTGGGGCAACCCAGTCAGATGGCCAGGGCATAAACAGTAAAATTATGATGATGACAGTAAAACTATGATTTTTCATCGAAGAAATGTTGGATGGTATGGAATTGTAGAGTTGGAAGGGACCTCAGAGGTCATCCAGCCCAACCCCCTGCGAATGCACGGTGCTGAATGGTGGTGCTGTTCTAGAAAGAACAATTTATTATTATATCTCTTTCTTTTTTAAGGCCAGTCAGCCATCCTTTCTAGCTCTTGGGCCTCTGTGTCTTCTGCTCCTGCTCTCCTGCACTTATTATTATTATTATTATTAATTGAATTTATATACAGCCCTATACCCGGAGGTCTCAAGGCGGTTCACAGAATAAAATCAAAATATAAACCCACAAAATACATAATCAAAATAAAAGCAACAACCCAATAACCCCTGCCACACACACACTTGTTTTCCCCGGAGGATTCCTCGCTTGCACAACGCCGATGGTGCCTCTTCTTCCCCTGCCTTTGGGGTCTCAGCCAACACCAAGCAGAGATGACTCAAAAACAAGTTGCCTCTCGGCTGTTTTCACCAACCGAAGACCCCTGGAGGCAAGCCAGCCTGGACTGTGTGTTATATCTCGCTCAGCTGATTTCCAGTAAGCTCCCCAGATTAGCCCTAATGACTTCAACATCCAGCCCTCTCTACAGAAGAGGAGGAGGTGCCGGAGGAGGAAGGGGAGGAGGGGTGGTCTGCAGTGGGGTCTCGGGCTGAGC